AAAAAAAAAAAAAAAAAAAAATACCCAGGAAAAAAACCCTGCGCGTGAGGCGCGAGTGCAGGGCGATCGTGTCCAGGACAAAATCTTAGCCACCCGATTAGTGAGGATTAACTCCCAGTGGCCGTCCCCGTTCGCCGCGAGCGCCCCTCCACAAAAAGTGCCCTGCTGCCACACGGACGACAATGACAAAGCGGAGCTTTGCCTGTCACGGGTGCCGCAAGCTCAAGATCAAATGCGACTTGGCCCGCCCCCGGTGTGAGTACTGTGGGGCCCGGGACAAGCCGTGTATCTACCCCAGCGACGACGAGCCCCTGCCACCCCCCTCGGAGCTGCTGCTGGTAAAGTCGGTGTCCCACCTGCCCCAGCCGCAATTGGTGGTGCTGTCGCTCAATGCCCCCTCCCGCCAGACGGGTCTTTCCCTCCAGGAACAGGAGCTCCTCAACTTCTTATTGTACCGCATCGAGGTCCACTACGCCCCGCAGCGAGATACTGAGCCCATCTGCGCCGTGTTCTCCTACCAATTCCCCGCGTTGTTTATGGAATCGCCCATGACCCGTAAAGTGTCATTGGCCTACGGTCAAATGCGGCTATTGGGGTGCTACCCCGACCGCCTCGACCGCTTGCTTAGCCATGACGGCGCCATCGTCGAACGCGACGTGTTGAGTATTGTCGAAGGGTTCCTGGCAACGTTATCGTACGTACAACAGCTGGTGGACGAAGTGGCCACCCTCGACTGGAGCCACGCCGCCACCACACTGAGGGTGCTCGAACTTGCAGTGAGCAACTTGTACGTGTTTGAATTCTTGACAGTACACCCTCATCGCCTCGTGCCATTAGTACTGTTCACGGGAGAATTGGATTATATGAGTTTCATTAAAGGTGTGCGTGAATTCTTCGCCACGTTTGCTCCTGTACTTATGAACACTCGCATGGCCCTGTTCTACCGTCCCCCAGTGCTCGCAAACACCCCCATCATACATCCGTGGTGTGCCCTGCTACTAGAGGATATCCGGGTGGGCGAGCCCGATGCTGGCGTCCGCGACCTCCTCGGGCGGGTAGTACTGATGATGCTGGCGATAGTGGCCACGGCGCAGGCGATGAATTCGCTGATCCCCTTGTACCAATGGGTAATGATCCAGTCGCTGGGCGGGTTCATGAAGTTGGTGTACGCCAAGCACATGTTGGCCCTCAGGGTGCTCTACACCTACGCCTGCTACGCATTTGAGTACCGCATGTACGTGCTGGCATACGCCAACATCTGGTACGAGTACATCGAGTGGTTTCACCAATACAACCTCGACACCTTCGGCTCCTGGGTGTACCCTGACGACGAGTCCAAGCTCAACACCGTGCGAATCTGGCAGGCCCAGTTCCCCACCACCACATAAGGCAGCAGCCCCTAAGACCTATCAGAGACATTTTACTGAGACACAGAGACATAATTTTGAGACAATTTTGAGACATTCATCGAGAGAGCAAGTCATTCATTTAACCCGTGATCATCATCCTAATCATAATCCCATTGGGGGTTTATTTCCATGCTATATACGCTAATCATAATGTGACACGGCCATCAACGCTCTGTAATCCACAAAATTAAAAATGACGTAGTTACAATGTTAGTCAGGCACCAGCCTTCGCCTTAACGGCCAAGCAGGGTAAATGCGTATTCCATGAATGATCGTTTGTTAAAATGCGGTTTCGGTGGTTGTAGGTTTACTTACCACCTTTAGCAAGCTTCTTTAACAGCTTCACCACTTGCCACAACCGTTGGTCGTAACCAGCAATGTTAAGGGCAGCGACAAAACCCCAGGCCGCTTTATCGTCTTTGATCGGGTAATCCAACGGTGGGGGGATCGCTGTTTGTACACCCAAGGCCCTAAACACCCGCTTATCCAGAATCACCAGTTTCGCGGTACACAACCCCTGGAGCCCTTCCTCGCCACCAAACTTACCGTAGCCACTTTGCTTAACCCCACCAAACGGGAGCTGGGCCACATAGAAAGTGGCAAAGTCGTTGATGGCAACGTTACCGGCGTTAAGCTGGTCACAGATGCGGTTCAACTCGGAAAAGTCGCTACCAAATACCAGTGCCCCGAGACCGAACTCAGTGGCATTAGCAAGGCGAATGGCGTCGTCGACATCTTCGGCTTTAATCATGGTTAAAATAGGACCAAAAACTTCTTCGTGGAAGATTCTCATCTCAGGAGTAACTCCCGTAAGCAACGTCGGCTCAAAGTAGTGACCCTGAGGGTAGTTAGGGTGGTTATAGCGCTTGCCACCACACACAAGGTCGGCCCCCTTGGCCACGGCATCGGCAATGAGCAGCTCAAGTTGAGGGAAGCGGTTAGCGGAGATCATTGCGCCCACATCAATCTCGTCCAATTGGTCGATATCCAGACCCACACGTAATTCAGGTACCCGACGAGTGAATATATGTTTGAGTTGAGCGTACAGCTTAGGAGTAGCAATCACTCGCTCGATACCAATACAGTTCTGACCCGCGCTCTGGAAGGTGCCTCTCATGATGACACTGCTCAACGCGTCGATGTCCTTAACGGAATCGGTGACCACACAGGCATCTTTACCCCCTAACTCGACCACACAGGGAGTCAACCGTTTCAGGGCCGTGGCCACCACGTGTTTAGCTACCGGCTGCGACCCGATAAACGTGATGTGGCTGAGCCCAGGGTGAGCGGTGAAGTGGTCAGCGGTATCGGGGAAACAGTAGCACAATTGTACCAAGTTTTCGTCAATATCCATCGCTTTAAGCGTAGTTCTCACCAACAGCAAGAACCACTTAGACAGCCACACCACCTGTTCGCTACATTTGACGACGATGGCGTTACCAGTAAACAACGCCGCGATGATCGGACCCATAAGGTTATGGAAAGGGTAATTCCACAGCACCATTGCCGCTACCACGCCCACCGGCTCGTAGCGCACTTCGGCGCTCTTCATGAGGCCAATCAACCAGTTAGATGGCCCCGGACGTTGCGAAGGACGCAATGCTTTTTCGCCATGAGCGACAATCCAGTTGATCTTCTCCAACGTCACCATGATCTCCCCCATCAGCGCGTCGAGTTTAGTCTTACCCAGGTCGCGACAGGCGACTCTAGCGATCTCCGTCTGGTGGGTCAAAATGTAGCGGGCAAGCGTCTTTAACGCCTTCCTCCGAGTAGTGAACGATGAGTGTTTCCACAGTTGCTGAGCCTTAGCAGCAGCGGCGATTTGCGCGTCCATTTCGTCGGCGGTAGTAGCCGGGAACACTCCCAAAAACTGCCCTGTAGCCGGACAATACCCCTGGATCTTAGTCGGATCATCTTCCACGTGGATCAGTGGCTGGTATAGCCGCTTTCCTTTCCAATGGGGCTTGGCCTCGTCGGGGACTTTGACCAGCACTTTGAATGGTTCCTCAAGCTTGTTGTGGCGATTGGGCAGGTGGGAGATGTACTTGGCCCAGATGTAGTAGACGGTGGGAACAATCACCCCCAACACGAACGTGGTCAGGATCTGCCACTGCCAGCGCCATTCGTGGACGGCAAAGTCTATGGCAATCATGGTGAACCGATTTTCGCGTCGCTCGCTGATGGGTACGGGCCAATGGCTGGTGATGCTAGTATCGTCAATTAAAGGAAAGTTGAAGCCTGGAAAACTTGGTTTGGGGAAATTTCTAAGTGTAGTTTACGATAGTGGTGTGAGTGAGATGATGATAGTCTTGTCAATGGGAGATCAATGGCAGGTGCTACCTAGTAAGCAAACACCGAGCAATCGCCGAGACATCTTTTCATCAGTGGTGAAAAACCGTAATTTGAGACTCTTGGAGGTAATCTGGTTTGCAGCAAAAATTGTCTCCGTAGTAAAATTCCAATGGGAGCTCTATTATTCGGAGTAGCAGCTATTAATGGCTTGTCGTATAAGGTGCTTGCGTAAGCGGACGCTGCAGATTGTTGGGTGACGTGCTTGAACATACAGATCGACGATGCCGGTGGTACTGATTGCGACATTCGGGGGTGATCTACGGGGGAGGTATCATTGTGTTAATGATCGCCAAAGTCAAGGATTTAACACTGCTTATGTGACCATAGTTTTAAAGGAAAGATCAAGATCATCGCATTTATGAAGAACTAAGAAATAAAGATAGCTCTGCCGATATGGAGATGGTGTTTCGTTTGCGGGTCTTAACTGCCGGTGGGGTAATAAATCGACTTTTGTCTGAACGGCACTACGAATGTCGATGCAGGGAATCTAATACTCGTAAACCTATCAGAACTTTATCTAGAATGCCTGGCGGCTTTAGAAAGTGGGGAATGACTCACACTGAGTGTCGAAATAATGGTTACGCTGGCTAATTAACATTATTCATTCATTTTCTTGTCATTACAAACATAAACGCAAGCCCCCTCCCCTTCAGGGGGCACAGTATTAGCTAATCTAAACCTTAAACTCGACGCGGTCGCTTTCGGCAATCGAACCCGACTCGCGGGCTTCGTCGTGGTAGTCGTATTGTTCGGTAGCATCGATCTCACGGTCCCGGTCAACATCCAACGACGCGTGACGGTATTCGGGACCGAGGAAGAAGATGACAATGTTGTAGGCAAACACTGCCCCCATGAAGATTGCCATCGTCTTGCCGTAGTCATACACCTTGAACGAGCCATCGGGGTTGTAGATGGGGAAGTTCTTGGAGATGGTGGCCTCGATGGTACTCAGAGCCGACGAACACAAGTTACCGAGTTGGTAAGCAGTACCAGCAACTAAGGTGGCAAAGCGAGGGTCACAAAGTTCCATAAGGTAGGCAGGCACCACCCCCCAGGCACCTTGGACACCGGCTTGAAGCCAGAAAGCACCGGCGTTAATTCCCAGTCCCGAAATAAACGCCCAGGGGTAGATACAGGCACCACCAAGAATAGAGGCAACAATTATCATCAACCGTCTCCCGAAGAAGTTAGACAAGTGACCAAACATGAAACCGCCGAAAATCGCCCCTAAGTTGGCCACGGCGTTGGTCACGGTCGATCTGTCCGCCAGGTAGCCGTATTGGGCGGTCAACAATGTGGGGAACATGTCCTGAGAGCCGTGCGACGAGAAGTTCATCCCCGACATACACAACACTAAGAACACGGTAATCAACCAGTATTTTTTCAACATATTGCCGAAGTCCAGAAGGAACTGTTTACGCTTCTGGCTTGCGGTGGTGGTATCGGCCTTGCGAGCCTCTTTAATCCGTTGGAAGGCATGAGTTTCGGGAGAGAAGAACCGCCAGATGATGAATAACACTGGCACCCCTGCGGAGAAGTAGTGCATGTTTCTCCAGCCGCCGTAGGGCTTCGAGGTGCCGAACCCGATACCACGGTTAAACGCGACACAAAGCAAGTTTCCTAGACATTGTTAGTACTTTGTTGGTTATTGATGTCATTGACGTATATGGTTTTTTCTTCCCCACATTTAGTGCGGCAAAAAAATATATCACGGAAATCGACTTACCCAAAGCGTACCCCTCCTGGTACAAACCCGATAACACCCCTCTGGCCAGCTTATCGGCGTCGTCCAACGCCGTCAGCATAGCCACCCCGTACACCGACCCCATGGCAATGCCAAAGAGCGCCTTGACTGCCAAAAACGACCCGTAGGAGTGGACGTTTGCGGTCCCGATTTGGAGCACTGAGAGCAATATCATAATGACAATGTACGCCCATTTCTTCAGATAGGCGTCGGCGAACACCCCGCCCAACACTGCGCCTAACAGCCGGAACATAAGCACAAGCGTCATCCCCCACGTGATTTCCTCCACCGAGCAGTTCAACTGGATCAGGATGGCGTGCAAGTTGAGCGACGTGATAAAGTAGTCGAACGCGTCCCACGTCCACGCCACAAGCCCGAGACCAAACATGTTCCACTGGTGGCGGTTCATGTGGTACAACGGCTTGAACGGGTTGACGACGTCCCCCCAGTTGATGTCGTTCCACTCATCCTTAGTGATGAAAAGCGTTGTCGGGCGCAGGATAATATACTGGCCGATCGCCTTTAACGTGATCGTCGGCGGTCTGACCACGTTCTTGTTGTGGAGAGCCACGTCCTTCTCGGTGATCTCGTAGGTGTCACTCATGATGGATAACAAAGGGAAGAGAAGATGGGGGGGATGGTTCAGGCCCTTTTATAATTTTTTGCAACAGCCGCTAACGCAATCTCCGGGGTAGTAACAAAAAAAATTAATTATGTGAATATAGGAAGGGCTTTGCGAGCCGCTTGTATGCTCGGAGAACGCTGCGTCTAATCCGACGAACGCCTCCCCCACCGGGGTGGGGGGGTCCCCTTACTGAGCCAAGGTCTTGGCGATGAGCTAAATCACTTGGCACACCGGTGACAGCTTGGTCTTTGAGTCGAACACCACCGCTATCACCATGGTGGCTCACCCGACGGTTTCAGTGTCTGTGTGACCCCGGAGATTACTGCAGACGCCCACGGCGTCGTGGCGTGCTTTGCGTATTTTCTTTACCCCACGATGAGACAAGCTAACAATAGAGCTTACGTAATATTCGGGGCACACCCTGGCGGATTCGGGGTGAGAGTTTGACAGCGGGAAAAACTGGACAATGGCGGCACGCTGATAGCCGAATGATAACTATTGTTAGCAAGAAAGGGCGCTGCAGAAGATTGCCAGCCACCACAAACCCGGAACAACTACCACCACCGGTGGCGTACTGTTAAAAATGTCTTCGTCGAGTGCGGCGTTCTTCCCCGGAAACGATAGGGTTAGCCGTCCTGTGTGGTGGGGCGGCTACAGAATGTCCCCATGCGGTCATAGTTTGGAGCCGCGCACCGCAAAGTTATTCGCCAATAAAGCACCGCGGCAATATCGGCTAGTGCAGGTGCCGCCCGCGTTTGCAGGCAGAGGCACGCAACTAAGGGGCAATCTTTCCGAGATTTTTGACATCGGCAGACGCAAACCCGTTCTGGCAGTGTATATCTCGTGTGGGCCTCGGTGGGGAAGCGAGAGACGCGAAACTTCCCCCGCACGGAATTGAATGTTGGGGCACATTAATAATTGGTCCTGAAAATGCCTCGGAATACCCGTGGACAAACTGGGATGGAGAGAGAAGCCTCCAGCCCCTCTAGAGCAATAGGAAAACCAGAGGTGACGGCAACTGAGGCCATCGTTTGAGACATCAGCGTTTGTTTGGTAGTCTTGCTTTTGGCTGATCGCAACTGATCGGCGCCCCATCCACGTGGCTAGTTGCCTATGGCATTCCATGCATCGAGAAGAGCGATTTGGTGGCGCACGTACCCCCGGTTAGTGTGGGGTTCGCTAGCGTCTCGTATGCCGACGTCGCCAAGGTCGCTGTCGACGCCGTACACGGGCGATCTCGGGACCTTCGCCGACTCCTCCACCCCGTTACCCCACGTCACTTTAAGATTGACCCCAGACACCGCCGCCCCGTGCTCGTTTAGGATCGCCCGTTGAGCGTCGCCGCGGAACATGTACACCACATTAACGCCGTCATCGTCAGCGTCGTGAACGCCTAGAACAATGCCGTAGTGACCAAAATGGTTGCGAAGAGCTTTGGCACCAATAATTGACGATAACTTACCCGTATTCGCCGCGGCAGTGACGCATACCGTAGTGTTGAAGGGGTCAGTATAGCGATTGAGCGCCGGGTGGGTCTGTGGGGTAGCAATGCGGGAGTAGTCGACACGTTGGGTGGTGGCATTGTCCAACATCTGCACCGCAATCTTGGCACTGCCGATGACGGCATCGTTCATTTCGGCGGCTGCCCGCTTCGCTGCCTCAGCCGAAGTAAACCGTACAATCGCCCCTTGGCGACCCTTACTGTCGTGTTCTCGGCCTGAGGGCACGTGGTCAAGCTTAACCTGACGTATTTGCATCGGGTACTTAGCGTTAAACGCGTCAAAAAGCTCTTGTTCCTGGAGACCATTGATACCAGTCACATACACCGAATTGGTGACATCGCCAGCATTATTCTTCAACGTACGGCCTTGGCGACGGTCCTCCTGGTCCTTAGTGTCGCCAGTGCTGCCGGCAGCCCAGTTAAGCTTCAAATAAACCCCAGGATGGCCGGGTACTGGTTGTCCACTGAACGAAATTGCCTGCGCCGCCAATTCCTTCGTGGCGAAGTTGACGAAGCAGAAACTGCGGCCGCTAGTTCCTCGGTCTTTAGGAAGACGAACAAATATCGGTTCCACCCCTAACTGTTGAAATATTGAGCGTATATCAGCCTCACTCCACCGCGAGTCGACTTCACCCATCCACACTTGGTGGTTGTTCTGGGGACTGGAATAATTATTGTGGCCTCTCCCACCGCTGTGACCGGGCTTGCGGACGCGGTTGACATTAGCAGCGCCGTAGTAGGAGCCGCTGGAGGCCCCACCGCCATGGTAACTGCCAGAGCCATTATAGCCTCCCCCGCGACCACCGCCGCCCGAACTTCGAGAGTTTCCATCGCGCTGGTATCCTCCGTAGCCCGAGCCTCCTCGTCCACGACCCCGCTGGCCGTAGCGGTCGCGCTGGTACGGGTTCGATGACATCAATCCGTGCTCTGTACTGAAGGTGTGGTGTATATTGTGGTTAAGTGCGCGCCCATCGATCGTCTACCGCAGCTTAGGTAAATGCTTACCAAATGGAGCGTTATGCTGAAAAGTGACATAAACTGACAAAACGGTTGGCGGTTTTCGGCCCCGACACTTTTCGGGTCACTGGTTTGACTTTGCTCAATAGGTGGCGGGACATTTGTCAGCCATCCCTTGAATGGACAAAAGCGAAGTTCGTCAATCTAGGCAAGCAATGAGAGGATTCCCCCTATGCGATCATCAACTAACCAGATTCCCCGCTTAGGGACCCCACCATTAACACAAAATACTACCATACTTAGTAACATTTGTTTATACGACACTGGTAACCTCTATCACTTTGCTAAACCTCTATTTACCCCGTTGTCGTGGTGTCTGTCGTCGTTCTTGTTCCGCCTTTCTCTTAAAATTTATCCGCGTCACATGACCGTTGCCATCAGCCTTACACCATACGCCTCATTAAGGTTGAGGATACGAACTGACTCCCCACAACAGGGCCCCTCCCACCCCACCATACCCTTACCCAACCCCTCCAGTCCATTAAAGGCGACGTTTAAACACCTACTGACGTGGGCCTACCACCAATTCCTCCTCCCACCGCCCTTAACGCGCCCTCCCCCATGAGCGAGGTCCTGGCCAAATTCGTCGACGATCTCGTCAAGGAGCAACGAGAAGCCGCCCATGCCAGCCAGCTCGGTAACGACGTCGAAGTGCCGGTGTTTGCTGAGCGCGTCAATCTCCTCAGCGACACTGTGGTCGAGATCGCCACCCTCAACGCCGCCGACGACAAGCTCGTGCTCAAGCTACTATTCCAGACGTCCACCGTGCTCGGTATCGTCGTCAAGTATAATGTCCACTACCTGAGACTTGTGGGCACCGCCTCGGCCCCGTCGCGTGAGCTTGGTGCTGTTGGCGCTGCTCTCGGCAAGATCAACGCCGACGTCAGTTTCCACGTGCAACGGTGGTTGCTGAAGTTTATGGAGATTGGCGACCGCTACTGGAAACTCAAACCAGTGGTTCCCGAAGTTTCTCGCTTGCTTGAAGACATCCTTGAGTTGGTGACGATGGACCGACTGGAAGAAGCGCGGTTTTTGGACAATTGCGACCGCTTGCTCCAAACGGTGCTGGACATCCTCTACAACACTGTCGACGTTGAACTCAAGTACTTCAGCGTCGTCGCCAAGTTCCTCGCTACCACATACTACATGGGCCAGTCGCAACTTGTGGTGCGGTTTGTCGTCGACAAGCGGTGGCTGCTGCGGACCGGGATCACTGCTATCAGTGCTCGCGTGTGTGACTTTAAGGACTTGGACATGTTCTACCGGTATATGGCGTTCAACTTAGTGCAGTACCGGATGGTGCTTAACCAGGCCGACCCGGAAGCCCCTGATGCCGAGCCCTATTTCAAGGTACTCCTCGCCATGCCCAACCAGTCGCTTGATCTCTACCAGCAAGATCCTGCCGCCGCTGATGTCGCCGCTGACCCTGAAGCCCAGCGCAACTGGTTGGCGTACACTGAGCGTCGAGCCTACCCAGGTAACGGCCATTTGGACTTAGGGTACGACGACCCCGAACGCAACCCGCGCCAGGTACCTCGGGGCATGAAGCCGCACCCGAAGAGCCGGGAACGGCGGGAAGTGGCGTGGCTCTACTGTGTCAACTACTTACTCACCGTGAGATCGATCCAAGCGGTGGTCGATGGTCCCGAAGTGTTCCACCGTGAATTGAACTATTTCGTTGCCGATCTCTCTACCCACTTGACCAACCATCTCAGCATGAGCTCCCAGCCGAGTCTGACCCACCTGCTGGTGGTTAACGTCCGCGAGCTTGAGGCGTACCACCAGGCGTCGATCGCCCAGACCGTGGGTAATCCGCTTCGGGCGCGACTGATTGCCACCATTACCACGTCTGGCTCGTACAAGGAGCAGTTGGTGCTTGTGGTACAGTTCTTCCGCTACTTCAGCGACGGCAAATTGAAGGACTTATTACGCCGGTTTGAGGACGAATTCGGTACCTATTCTACCCGCTTCGCCAACCAGCCGGGCAAACAAGTATACCTCAACGGCTTGCGCCAAATCTACATGCGGGTGGCATGGCTCTTTGCCCGCTACCACTCGGTGTTCATGTTGAACGCGCCTCCCCTCGAAGGGCTCGACGGCGAGTTTGGGTTGACCCCACGCGTCGCGCCCCTGATCAACCACTTGGTGAATATCCGTCGCGAGATCGACGACATGAATCGTATCATCCACCGCAATCCGTGATTGTGGCTTTGTTTAATTTTGTGAATAGCGAACGATACTAATGAGATATGTTATGTCAGCGTTATACGTCATAAATCACCGAGGTTGACATGTCCGCCAGCTGGTGGCAACATGGAAAATAAATCGGTCTCTCTATAACACTTCGTAGGCAGTAAGAAGTAAACCTAAACGAACGCAATTCATTGAGCCTTCTAGTTATATTGCTCTCTACTGAGGAACAATATTCCTCAACTCTGTATCATTGCGTTGTTTTGCGACGTTTTATATTAGTGTATAGTAAATGCGTGTAATGAAGGGGCTCATTTAAACGTGTAATCGCAACCCCCGATAGTGGATATTGGAACGAAGCTTTGATCATGTCGACCTCGAGAAACCGCTCCAGATCTTGGTGTGCTGGGTTTCGTTGAAAAGATTTATCATGTTGGTAAGATTTCAGGATATTCGTCAGTATGCTTCAAATCTTTTACAATGCTCATCGATAAGTCATCTTTCACATAAGGTAGGCATTGACACTTTGAAGAGTATTTCGCAGCGGATTCACCCCTTGAATCCGAGCTAAGTGTTGTTTGATGACGTCCTTATTGATACGAGGTGGTTGCTCGAGTCGAATCCAGTCAGTGGTGTAGCGTTGAGCCAAAAGCACGAGAATAACCCCAATACTCAAGTCTTTGCCAGTATCACACGCAACAATAACTTGCGATCCAAGTTCAGTGATGAGTTTGGGTAGTAAGTCTCGAAGCTGCTTGGCACCCTTCTTTCCCTCATCAATGGTGAATTGCACAACGGAAGACTTTTCGGGCACATCCAATACTCGATAATATTTAGAAAGAATCACAATTTGATGGTCAGGGTGATCTTTCACAAGTTGAGTGTAAGCGACATTGTGAGTGATTTGTGCATATCCTAAACCAGTGTCGCCAACTCTTGTGACAACTAAGGATGCTTCGTCTGCTTCAAGCAGTTCTTGTTGGCGTTTGGCTCGTCGTTCGTAGATCCACGTTATCATCTCTTTCAACTCGACATCAGAGTACTCATCTAAATATCCACTTTCTCCAATTAGTTCTGGATAGACATCCCAAAACACTTGTGGCAGTAAGAATGGCAAGTCGGTAGCCCATAGTTCGTGATCGTCTCCACTTCCTTGGATATAGTACCACAGGGTCCCTTCGTGAGTGACTCTTTGAGTGGCCGCCACCTTCTTAGAACTGGTAATCAAATATACAGGGTACACGTCTGGAGGTGGAGTGGGTATCGGTTTTCCTGGATATATCCACATGGGATACATTGGTTTAAGAATGCTATCAAATGTCAGATCAGGAATTAAGTCGCGGGCTCCTGCAATAAAAGGCTCAATTTTGGATTCAATTTGTGAATGGATTGACGGAGATATCAATTCTGTGGGTGTGATCAATTTGGGGTCGTTAACGTTCGGGTTAAGACCATTCATCACCGCGATCCAGATGGGGATCGTTTTGGATAAAGCATCGGGGATGAGTTTCCCTTTCCTGGTGGAATCAACGATGGCAAATCCACCACTCTTCTTCAAGTGGTCAAACAATTGTAGATTAAGCCGTCGTTGACTGAAGTTCCACACCTCATTGTGACCATCGGTCAGCTTGAAGTAACAAGTACCGTCGGGATGAGGCACGTACCAAAGACCACAGCGCTCGTTGGCAATCAAGGGAACCGCTAGTTCAAGGCTAGCTACGTACTTGCTGTCATATACGACCAGCTGCAATCGATTTCGGAGGGAGAGAGACTCCTTTCTGAGCTCGCTGACTACCGAGTACATCGACGCAACGACATGCGCATGGTTTTTTTGCCTCAAAACTGAATTGAAGATAACCGTCACAGACTGAATGATAACATCAAGAATTTAAAACAAATGTGAATTTGGGGTTTCCTAGTGGTGTGCAAGCAAAAAAGATGCTTATGAATGGTCAAAAACATGCCTTCAGCCAGATTCGAACTGACGATCTCCTCATTACTAGTGAGGTGCCTTACCACTTGGCCATAAAGGCTCCACGAAAAAAAGAAAAGAAACCCTATACCGCTGGAACAACTTGTAAGTCTGATGTGCATGTTTTCTGCGGTTAATTACTGTTAAATCTACAGAAACTCTGCTATAAAACTCTAGAAGTCAAAATTTGGTATCCTTCTGAATCTGAAGGCTTCACAGTTCGGGGTTCTCAAAGAGAACTTAGTTCTTTTTTACAACTAATCGCCAGAATGGTCAAATCCCGAAAGTTTACATTCAAAAATAGTTAAATTTCAACTTTTTCAAAAAGCTTTCCGTCGACAAGTTAATGAACAATAAATCTGCCATTCTCACAGATGGTAATGATCTCCTGAGTGTAGTAGTCGACCACTATAAGCGATCTTCCGGAACCATAACCCAATAAAAGGCCCAGGCGCGTCGGTCCAGAGGCATCCAGAAACCGCATGAAGCAGCCAAACGGGCTGATTCGCTCAACCTCGTTCGTCTTACCAGAGAACAACGTCGAAGGCAGCATGTCGCTGTTAAATCCGGGCCGATTATCGGCCATCAGGTTGTGTGTGAAAACATAATGCTTGGCGGCGAACAAGGCATAACGATGGGGAAGTCCCAGCGTTTGAAGGAGCTTTTCGCTGGTATCAACGATGATTCGGTGAAGCCGGGAACCCGCTTCAATGCCTGTACGTACTTTGACTGCCCTCTGCGCAGCCTCTATCCAACATAAATGGTCGAATTGATGGTCATCAAGATACCCATAGCGAGCGTTTTTACGGATTTCTGGGAACCAAGTCATATGGTTAGTCTCGATCCAATGTTGGACCTTTCTGCGGGTAAACGTCAATTCTTCTGCAACTTCGGGAGTCTTGACGAATGTTAGCTCATAATCTTCCTGGTTCTGGGCTAGTTTCACAAAATTATGAATTACAAGAAGAATGTCATAGCCACTTTCAATTTGTTGCATGTAATAAAATCCCGAAGCCATGTCGTAGAAAAACACACACTTCACAAGAAATCCGCTTTTTGAGTCGGACATCGATACCCCTTCAATTTCAGCCACATCAACAAGTACCTCCTGCATCGGCTTCGTAACCGAATAGTCGAAGGTGGGGTGTAGTGGAGTCTTCCCATGAATTTGGCAGACTTGGCATTGAACCTCCTGGATCTGGTTAACGTCAAAAGGCAAACGCAACATGCGGATTGTGTTACGAATATGGTTGATGTCAGCATGGGCGTACAGTTCATGCAAGCACTTACTGTTGGAGTGGATAACGGCTCGATCAACAGCGGGCTTGCGGCGGTGGTGGGTCCCTTTACTCTTGGCCATGGTCTAATTGAAAGGGTAGAAAACGCAAGGAAGTTCTTCAATTGGAGACACGGAACTGATCTTTATAGTTGACTCATTTTAACATCCCGTGTAGTCATGCTTACACTGTACTTTCCTCAAGAATCATGGAGAACAGGAATCAAAGGGTGGGTGAAAAATCAAGTAAAGGCAAGCTCAATAAAGGCAGTCCAACAATATCAGCTAATCTTTCAGCATGGGTCAGATGGCTAACAGAAAGCTATCTGTACGAAGTTCGGCTAGTAGCGGTGCAATGACACAAACTTGTAGAAAAATGGAACAATGGGCTGGAACTAGTCCGATTGAAGCCAGAGTAGTTATTTCAAATTGAATATTGTTTGTTCGGTAGGAATTGTTATTATGGGCGATTCAAGCATCAATATCAAAATCAATATGGATTTCGACCTGTACCTCATCAACATTATTATCAAACCTCAGACCTCAAAACCGTCATACACTGTAGACTACACGTGTAAAAATACACTTTTGTTAAAGCTTATCATCATGTTTAGGCAGTCTTTGCGTTATATAAGGTTGAGGAGAGGCATCTATGCAGTACATTTTGGTCATGCGAAAAGTTGCTACAATAGGGATATGTATGGTCTCTTGTACCTAATCAACCAAAGGAGAGCAAAAATGACGACCATTCACGTGGATCAAAGGCGTCATTCAGACACTAAAGGAGTTGATCGACTCAGACACTAAACGAGGTCTGGTCACGAGGTCTTATTGTTAACAATTATTGATATATAAATTTGCCCCCCCTGGATTCAAAAGTATAAATACCCGAGCAGAGTATGGAGGAAGAAGTTTCAAGCAAGACAAACATAAGGTACTAGAGTGCAACAGTCGCAACTATCCTATCTTGATATCTTGCCCGAGCTTTGCTTACCGTATTCTTCGGGATATTCCAGGTACTGTATGCACAATTTCCATCACAGTTCCAGAAACTTCGATATGGTCACGTGACCTTCATCTCGCTAACAACAAAGAATTCAAAAGTTTTATACATTCGATATGAACCATCAGAGCAAATCAAGAGAAAGAGTACTGAGTTCTAACGGTACGGTTTCAAAGCGGTATCAGCCGCCGACGCTGTCTCCACCGTCACCACCACCACCACCACCGCCACCGCCACCTCGATGCGAAGAAATGGTGCGACGTGGTCCGAAGAGGTTGTATAATGAAACTTTGGACTACCCGGAAAAGGGAACCATTTTTGCAACTGGATCGCTATACGAGCCAGTGATGAAACAAGTGAGGTTCAAGGAAGCCGATGATGATAATGATGATGATGCTGATAGAGATATACTTGAACAGTATTATGTCCAGCTGTTGGAGCTATTACATTCGGGCTGGAACCCGAAGATAGCCAGTGATGATTTCGAGGTGTTGCTCGACCTGTACAACGAATATCTCAAATTTGTCGACCTGATACGTGCGGTGATTGGTTTTTTGGACCCTAGCGGCGAAGGTTGGTTGACGGAGGCGAAGGCCCAGGTTCTCGCCAAAGCAATCACTCATAAGCTTGAGCTTAATGACGATACTAGGACCGATGATAAGTGGGAACAAGGCCGTGAACTCCTCAAGAGATGCCCGACGGCAAGAGTTTTCCAGTGGGTATTGGTCGCGTTCGTGGTAACGCCCGAGATGCTCATGGCAAGGATGTATTCCTTCCACCATTTAGACGAGTTGAGCGAGGCCCAGCTTGCGGAAATGACTCACGACAAGGTTTTCGACGACATCCAGCAGCTTCCATTTTACAGCACGATGGCACTGCTGTTCTTGCCGTTGCTCATTACGGGTGATTGGCACACGGTTCTTCTTACCGGGGTCGATCGGATCAAGCGCTTCAGGCATGAAACGCGAGACTGGTACACAGTTTTACCGACGCACAGCCTACAATACTTGACTGAGATTGATCAAGCGGTAGAAGCGAATTACGGGTACGTGGACCCAATCAAGAAAGCTATGAGTGCGTCTCCGTTGCTGACATCTCCAGAAATGTTGGCGTCTTCGGAAAGGCAGGCGTCGCCGGAAGGGCAGGCTTCTCTGGAAGGGCAGGCTTCTCTGGAAGGGCAGGCTTCTCTGGAAGGGCAGGCTTCTCTGGATGGGCAGGCGTCTCCAATGAGGCTGGTGTCTCCGGAAGGGCAGGCGTCTCCAATGTGGCTAGCATCTCCAGTGACGCCAGCCTCACCCGAAATTTTCCTGGTTCGGGAGCCAACCGTTGATACGTCCCCCGTGAGTGTTTCTCTGGAGGTAAATTCTGGCAGTGTTGCTGTTTCTATACAACCACCTCCTTTACTGACTCTACCACCTAAAGCCCCGCAACCTACGAAGGTTTTGCCAGTTCCAAAGGGCCCCAAAGTCTTCAAGGTCTTCAAGGTGGTGAAAAAACAAAGAAGGAAGCAACGGAAAAACAATGGGAACGAGAATAAGCATAGGAATGCTCCGAACAAAGTGAAAGTATGCCACGAGTGCGGGGGTATAGATCACCTAAGGAATAACTGTCCCCAACGTGACAACTCGATCAATGACGTGAAATGCTTTAAGTGTGGTCAACGAGGCCACTACAAATACCGGTGTCCCAACCCCTCGAAGAACACTCACAGCAGGCCTGCTCAGATTCTGACAAGCTAGGCAGTGCAATCTGGACGGTTGATCGATCCTGAAATTGAAATTCATTTCTTGTGGGTCCTAGATTACGGTTGATCTCTTCTCTTCATTGAAACTTATTTTCTATGGGTACTAGATTACCGTTGATCCTTTCTCTTCATTGCAATTTATTTTTGTGGTTACTATTAAATTACGGTTGATCCATTCTGTTTATGGGAATTTATTTTTGGCGTTTTTTATTTCGTGTGGGTACTAGATTACGGTTGATCCATTCAGATTGTTGAAGTGTATCACTTGTGGATACCAAATCGTACCTTCTTGTTCTGTATTGCACCTCGATAATTTCACAAAGTAGGTTTTCATGAGGATTTCGAAAAACTTTCGACGCCTACATATACCTTTTTGAATGAGTTTTGCGAAATTTAAATTTTTTAGGAGTGGGGCAGTGGCTCAACGGTAGAGCTTTCGACTCCAGATCGAAGGGTTGCAGGTTCAAATCCTGTCTGCCTCAATTTCCTTTTTTGCTAATGAATGTTAATTCAGTATGGCCTACGTTGAGTTCCGAACGCATGCCAACACACCGTATTGTCACTTTTTTCATAGATTCCAAAAATTTGGAATTTATTTGTTTTTGCCGCACCGTCATGAACCTGTTCATCAATCGAATACAAATCAAAATTCGTTTCACTGCTTGTTCTCAAAAGGTGGGGGTTTTTGCGATTTCAATTGCTTTAAGTTTATGCTACGGTGTGATAGATAGTTCGGGGCGTTGCATAAATTGTTAGCATGCTAGTGCATTGCCGTCCTCGGTTTTATGAGACTGTGCATTTGCCAAGCCATGGCTGAAACATAACTTGACTCGCACCTCATCAGTATATAGCCGCACGATCCCTCAACCATGGAGGTCGTGAACTCATACAATTAATTAGCAGATCCTAACTCCCGATTGAATACATACTGTTTGCCCCGGTAACTCCTGACTATGAACAGCTCCTTAGCGGCGGGGTCATCCGACCCTCGAGCCGATTCTGGCCATTAAAGGAATCGTGTATACAAATATAGATTGAGATGTAACACTTTCCTGTGCGTATCCTTCAAATATGCCAAAGTTTTTAACATTTTGCTAGTTTTGAGAAAGCATCGCGATATTGTAAAATTTAACAATTAATTCTACTCATCAATACCCGCAAAAACAGAGTTTTGACATACATGGCAGCTTATTCTGATTTAAAAAAGAAATATAGCGCCTAAATATCTTCGTATCGAGAGATATCCATCAATTTTGTACTTCTCAATATACACAATCTCGTATGGGACACTTATCAAATTATTTTTTCGTGTGAGGTACAGTGGTCGAGAGGTTAAGACGCTGGATGCAGGTTCCAGTTCCATTTGGAGCGCAGGTTCGAACCCTGTCTGTGCCGAATTCTTTTTGCCAGTTCATTAGATATTAGCGGCAGCTTGCTTTCGCCCCATCAAATTCGTTTCTCATTACCGACTGTCTAATTTCCATATCTATTACCTATCCTAATTTACTCATCGTCACTGTCATGTTGGGAATTTGCCTTTGCCTCCATGTGCTTGCGTCTCTTCAGAGCCTCGATCATTTCCTCTCGCTGCTTTCTCTTTTTGCGAACCACTTGAGGCACGGTAGTGATCTTCTTACGTTCAATTTCCTTTTTCTTGATATCCTTCTTGTCTCGCAGGGAAAGTTTGGTCATGTTGTTCATCCACTCCAGATACCCCAGCTCGCAGCCACTCTGCTTCATCACGTTGATAATGGGTTTGACTGCCAAGTTATCTTCCTTGGTGAAAAAGGTCACAGCCCGCCCCACCTTGCCACCTCTCCCAGTTCTACCAATTCTGTGGACGTAAGCTTGAGCGGTTTGCGGAACATCGTAGTTGATCACTAAATTCACCCCTTTGAAATCAACACCACGAGCCAACACATCGGTAGTAATGAGCACCCAGATATCTCCCTTCTTGAAGCGCTCGATGACCTCTTCTCTTTGTTTGGGAGTACGTTCAGCGTGAATCACATCAACACGAAGTCGATCGTATACAAGTTCGTGGTATAACGCCTTCGCTCTAGGGATCAGTTGAAGGAAAATAATCACCGGTGGCTTAAACTCCAGCTCGCGAATCATCTGGCGAATGGCGAGAAGCTTACCTTCTTCGTTACCGGTGTACACCAACTTTTGGTCAATGGTATTTGAAGCAGCCTCTTTGCGACCAACGATGATACGGATAGGATCTCTCATAATCGAATGAGCCATTTCTTCCACCCCCAGAGGAATGGTAGCAGAAAACATCGATTTGCGCAACTTCGGCAGAGTGCAGTGTGACAAAATGTCGTCAGTTTGCTCGACAAACCCTTGGTCAAATAACTTATCCGCTTCATCAATCACAATTTGCTGGACCTTACTGAGATCGAGACACTCAGCTTTCACCAAGTCAATAAGTCTGAGAGGAGTGCAGACAAGAACATCGTACTTGCTGCCCGGCACCTGGCCTTCTTTGAGTCTCAGAGCTAACAGTTTCAGCACCAACGCCACCCGCAACTGCTTGTTCTTCCCCTTGACAAGAGTCTCAAGTTGTTGGAAAATTTGAATCGCCAACTCGTTGGTGGGGGAAATGATGAGTCCTCTGACACCGTGATCTTTGGTGTCAGGGGTGGTGTTGAGAAGCAATTGTACAAGCGGGATCAAAAACGCTAACGTCTTACCCGAACCAGTGGGTGCACAGCCGATCACATCGCGACCGTCCATCGCCACGGGGATCGCCTGACACTGAATCGGGGTGGGCTCGATAAATTGGGCTTCCAAAAGATTAGTGAGCACCCGCTTGTCGAATTGGTAACGACCTTTCAAGTCAGAGAATGACCCAATTGGGAGGGAGATATCATCACCCGTGACCTTGATCTTATTAGCAGTACGCAATACTTCGGCGTCCTCTTCATTTTTGATAGTGAGAGGAACGTCAACCTCTTCTTCCACCTTATCCTCTCTGCGTTCGATGTGGGGAGCAGGGGCATGCTTCTTCGTGTGGAAAAAGTCGAGCTCCTTATCAACCTCCCATTGTAATTGCTCCTCTTTCTTTGCCTCGTGATCGACCGCCTTCTTCGGCTGGGTAAACTCTCCCAGCGCTTTCTTGGTGTTCTTTACTTGTGCCCCTCGACTGAGGATTCGAAAGATATCCATGCTGGTGAGATGCTCATCTCGAGCCGCACTAAATCAAATGGATGAGGGGGGAGGATCGCGCGGGATGGAATTGACCAAAAGTGGCACAGAATTGCTAATCCCGACCAGTGACCCAAGAGAAAACTAACAAATATCAAAAGTCTGCTGTGAATCGGTATATCATATATTCTGAAAACAAATTTTTTTCTGTTGAATAAAATCGAATTTTCTCGGTTGTGTTTTACTAAAATTACTTCTGGCTGGTCAGAGAACTGACCACGGGTTTTTATGGACGAAGTTTTGAACCATGGCAGTATATACACTCGACACTTTCGTGCTTTCGTACAGATTAACATGGAATTAGATTTCGTGGTTAGGATGCGGTTCCCGAGACAAATTTAGCGGAGCGTTGAAATGAGAAAAACAAATACAAATGCAATCGTCGGACTAAGATGAACGTTTTTCAGGGTTTGGATGCAACCAATCATGCTATACCCGCCGCATAGGATTCTTAGGTAATTAAATCATTTCAATGAAGTCTTGCATAACCCAAAAAATTTCAAATTGGTTCCGTAGTCTAGTTGGTTATGGCGCATCCTTAACACGGATGAGGTCCCCGGATCGAGCCCGGGCGGAATCACTCTTTTTTAACCTTGGGATATGCTACTTTTTATCTTTCAAGTTGCTTTCATCATGTTCGTGGTTTGTAGATTTGCAATCACACTCGGCCACATCTTCTTACATGAATCTAAATTTTTTGTGCAACGATCTCCAGCCATTGCACAACAAGTTTACGTGTATAGGATACTATAGAATAAGCTATACCACCGGTGACTCGTAGTATGACGATATAATTCATACGTAGCTACAGCGTGTGCATCGCTTAGGAGGATAGTTTAAAGTGGCAAAACCACTCACTGATTAAGTTGAGAGCGCCTGGCTTAGCTGTTTCCAGTCATCAAATTCAGTGGCCGACAACGTATACTTGTCAAAATTATTGCTCAATTGATTGAGAGTATCAACCACCAGTCCCAGCAATTGGGTGGCGTTTTGACACACGTTGCGCTCAATGCTCTTGTAGTGTTGGGTCATTTTCGCAAGCTCTGCTGGCGTCAGCGTCTCCTTATGATTCTTGACAATGAGATTGGTAGTGAAATTGTTGGCAAACTGGATAGAGATCGAGTCGTGATCAGGGTAGGCGCGTGGGATGGTGACAATGATCTCTACCCCTCGTTTCCAAAGATCAGGAACTCTATTCGGAGGAACGGGAAGTTTGATACGGTACTTCGTCTCTTTGGGGGCCTTTTTGAATAACGTGGGGCTCAATTTAGCCTCAAACTGGTCCAATAACTGTTGACGACGAGCGAGACATTCACGAGAAACCGGTTGTTCCTCCTCAGGTTCAGGGGATGGCGTAGCTTTGACACTTGGCAGGGGTGATGCTTTAGGAGTGGGGGTCGGCGTGGGGGTGAATATTGGGGTAGGCGCCGCCAGTTTCAGCGGCTTGACAAATTGGATGGTGGTGCGCTCTTCCTGGGCCAATAGCAGTTCTAAGTTAGCATCAAGCTCTTCCAATTGAGCCACAAGTGGAATCGATTGACGAGCAATCTTCTGGAAACCCATCTCCACATTCACCGCCACCCCACGGGGAACATCTTCGTTGAGAACCACGATCCGGGCTTTGGTTTGAGGATACAGCGAGGGTATGGTGAGATTCACGTTGAGCAGGTCCATGTCGAAGGGAAACTCTGGATCCAGAGGTTTGATCATTAGCAGAAGATAGATTGCTGATTCTGGCAGCTTCTCCATGAAATCCGCCACGTATCTCAACGGTAACAGTAGTCTGGCATTATCAGAGAACCTCAGAGCGTAGTATTGCGCGTCTTCGGTTTGGTTAGCCTTCACTTCATCGATGATGGCGCGAGTAGTGGTGCCATTTATGGTAACGGGACGGAACTTTTTCACCACTTGGGCGATCTGCTTAAACCGTAAGCTCAGTGTCACTCCCCGAGGCTTGCGTCTTCTAGCTTGCAGGCTCAGCTGGGTGTTTGGCGGTCTGCTCATCGACTCGGTGGCGGGGTATATAGTAGCGGTCGCGCTAGATGATCATCAAGTACACGTTCAAGTATGTGCTATACAACAAGCAGTGTGGCACTGTTTGTCACGGGCATGGCCCTAATCTGATGCTCAGGAATGTGATGTCACAATTTGCTGCTTTGGAGCCGGCAAAAGTGATTAAACCGCAGGATTTCCGCCCCGTCCATCGTCTTGATAAGAATGTTAGTGGAGTGATGATGATCGCCAGAGACCAAGAAGTCGCTCGCAAAGTGTCCAACAGTTTATCAGGGAAGCCGAGCCCATATCAAGTGACCCGACGATACGTGGGTCTCCTTGATGGCGTGGTTCCTCCGACAATTAATCCTCAAGGGACGATAGCATTACCAGTGCCAGTTTATACTGATAAAGTAGCCCGGCCTCCAGTGGAAGGGATCACTCATTATCAATTGTTACCTCTGGTTGGGTCAGTAACTCCGATCGTTCTCCAGCTAGATACAGGAAGAAAGTACCAGATTCGCAGCCACTGCCTTGATTTCTTTGGGCTACCGTTAGTCAACGATCTGGCGTTCAAAGCGTTTCAACAGGGAAAGAGTTCAATTGATCCCGGTCAAATTGGCCTTCATCTGGGTTACTTCAAACTTGAGAATACGAAACGAATTATGGAAGAAGTGATGGCGCCCATACTCGACGATCCTACCGGAATATGGGCGCCTTTCACCGATGCTGAGGGGAACTTTAAAGAACCTATACGATCAGCGTTAGCGAACTTCAACCCTCCTGAAGCAGTCAAATCATAAATGGCAAGTTCATCAGCCTCATTCATTATCAGTATACTAATGACATGCTTGCGCGACCATACTAAGCATTGATGAATACGACTAATATAATGAACTATTCACGTCAAAAACTTGTAGTGAGCGGTGTTTGACTAAATTTCTGGATATCGTAAACTACCAGCATCAAAACATTCTAATTTGGCGTAAATTGTTGTCTTGCCCCACACCTCGACTGGTACTCATCGCGATCTCATCGCGAAGCGGACGCCGCACACCTCTACACACACCTACCGGTCTATGGCGAAGAAGGACAGAAAGCTTCAGCGGAAGAAGGAGGAGGAGGAGCTCTCTCTGATTGCCCAGCGGCTAGCGCTGTGGCCGGCGAACCTGGAGCCGTCCAAGTTCGCCGAACTCCCCATCTCCGAGGCCACGCTCAAGGGGCTCAAAGGCGCCCTGTTTGTCCAAATGACGGATGTCCAGCGGAAAACTATCATCCCCGCGCTCAAAGGCGACGACATCTTAGCCACTGCCAAGACGGGTTCGGGGAAAACGCTTGCTTTCTTAGTGCCCGTCATCGAGGCGCTTAATCGGGCGCAGATCACCGAGTTCGATGGGTTGGCAGCGTTAATCGTGTCCCCCACTCGTGAATTGGCAGTGCAGATCTTCGAAGTGCTTACCAAGATCGGGAAATACAACTCGTTCTCGGCTGGTTTGGTCACTGGGGGTAAGGACGTCAAGTTTGAGAAGGATAGAGTGCTGAGGATGAATATCCTTGTGGGTACTCCGGGGCGGATCTCGCAACATTTGAACGAAGCCGTGGGTATGGAAACTCTGAATTTACAAGTGTTGGTGCTTGACGAAGCCGACCGGTGTCTCGATATGGGGTTCAAGCGTCAGATCGACGCCATCGTTGGCCATCTCCCTCTCGATAGACAGACGCTTTTGTTCAGTGCCACCACCCTGGACTCAGTCAACGACTTAGCACGGTTATCCCTTGTCAACCCTAGAAAGATCGGGGTGTCCCAGGACCAGGCGGCTACCCCGGACTCGTTGGACCAGTACTACGTTAAGGTGCCGTTGGAAGAGAAGTTGGATGTGTTGTGGAGTTTCATCAAACTGCATTTGAAGCTGAAGATCCTTGTGTTTTTCCTGAGTTCAAAACAAGTGCAATACGCTTACGAGCTGTTCCGTCAGCTCCAACCTGGTATTTCGCTTTTGAAGCTTTATGGTCGTCATAAGCAAACCCTGCGGATTGAGACCACCGTCAAGTTCAGTCACGCCCAGTACGCGTGTCTTTTCGCCACCGATATTGTCGCTCGGGGGCTTGACTTCCCCCTGATTGACTGGGTCATCCAGGTGGACTGTCCCGAAGACCCTCAAACCTATGTCCACCGTGTGGGTAGAGCGGCGAGATTTGGTAAGCTGGGTAAGCTGATGCTTATGCTCACCCCTACCGAAGAAGAACCTTTCTTGGCTAAGCTCCACGCAGCCAAGATCGACCCCAAATTGATGACGATTCGCGGTAAGGCCAAGAAGACGATCAGACCCCAATTACAGCTGCTTTGTTTCAAAGACCCCGTGCTCAAAAACTTGGCGCAAAGGGCATTCATCTCTTACTTCCGCTCAGTGTACGTGCAAAAGGATAAACTGGTATTTTCCGTCGAGGCTCTTCCCGTCGACAAGTTTGCCTCGTCGCTTGGTCTCCCAGGGGCGCCTAAGATTAAGATGGGTCTGTTGAACCACGATAAGAAGAACGTCAACCGCAAGTTGGCCCAATTAGAAAAGGCTAACGATGATGGTGAGATCGAAGAGACTAAGAAGACGCGTACTAAATACGACCGGATGTTTGAACGTCAAAACCAAACGGTGTTGCTGAGCAATTTCCGTAAGATGACTGAGGACGGTGAAGAAGACAGCGAGGACGACTTTATGCTGATTAAGCGTCAAGACCACGCGTTGGAGGACGGTGACATCCCTGACTTGCTGGTGCCAGTGCTGAAACGACAAGCGAAGCGGGCGCTTCTGCGGGCGGCATCAGCGAAGGCGCTGGGTGAGCTGGCGACTAAGCTTAAGTTTGACGACGACGGTGTGGCTCACCCGATCTACGAGCTCCAGGACGAAGCCGATTTCAGAGCTGAGGGTGATGCTCTGGCGTTGAAAGAAGAGTTCGTGACTAAGGGGGCCGAACAGTTGGCGGAAGCCGACGTTGACGATAAAGCTTTGGCTAAGCAGAAGCGTCAAGAGAAGAAACGGAAGCGACTCGAAGCTGAGCGTCGCGCGTGGGAGGCCCAACTTGATGCCGATATGGAGCTGGGTGACGATGGTGAGGAGGAAGCGCAACCCAAGCGCGCCAAATGGTGGAAGGACGAAGAGGACGAGGACAAGGCTCGCGACGATATTGTCGAAGTGGACGAACCGGAAACGGTGGAAGACTTGGAAGCCTTGGCCGAGAGATTGATTGGTTAGCATTACGGAATCGCATAAAGGAATCAAATAAATGTATAATAGTGAAACTTTTGTAGATGAATACTCGTTAAGTAACTTAGTGTTTTACGTCGTAATGTATTATGCTGATAAAAACAAAATTAAGTGTAGAAAACATGCGTCGATCGCGGTTACGACCCGTTACGTTGAAGGTCAATTTCGTGGAGTAAGTCGTCGGGGTTCACCGCCTCCATCATTTCCTTTTCGTCCACTCGTTCTGGGTAGTAGTTCCCGTCGAGTTGTTTGCGGAATAAGAGGATGTAGGGAATCAACCAGAGAAGGCCGAGGAGAGCCGTCAGTCCAATGGCACACGCAAGCGAGATACCTACAACTTTGCCCACCAGTAACTTGCCCACTTGAGGCATGAGTTTGGGGGAAAGGTACGAGAACCGGTCGTCTAGAAGCAACGACAGAATCAGTCCTGCAGTACCATTTTTGAGGCCATAAACATAAGGGATCCACAGCGAGCCATTGTACAATGCCAACAGCACCGTACCATAGTCCTTGAGCGAAAAACGACCCGAAAGCCCAAGCACATATGACGAGTCAAATAACTCACCGTTATAGTTCTTATTAGCTTCCTTTAAGTCGATCAATTTGAGATCCAGGAATTGTGGGTCAGAACCAAACTCACTGTCAATCAGCTTCCACGACTTGCCGTCGTAGCCCAGGACGAAATCGTCACCAAACGCCACCATACGTCCATCTAAGTCGGTGTTTTTAGCATCGTTGACGATGAACTTACGCACCGTTTTGTCTGTGCCCAACAGGTTGAGCTTACCGTCATCATCGGGGAGCAGGAACGTCAGTGCGTCCAAGTCATAAGTGACAAAATTGACATTGCGTCCATCAAGCTTGAGAGCACCTGCAATGAACACTTTGTTGGCGGAGAAGAATCTGATATCGTGAACTATTCCTTCCACCTCCAGTCCATTGGCTCTGGGACTTACCCATCGCGTAGCACTGGTATCGTAGACACACAACCCAATGCAGTCCAACAGCCCTGCCAGAGTAAAATTACCTCCCACAAGCACTTTGTTCTTGTACAGAACGATCGAATTCACCAGGATAAAGTAGTTGTCATTAGTCAACTCCGACGGCTGGAACAGCGTGAACAGGTGATTCTTCAACCCGTAGATGACGAGCCCCGGGTTGAATTTCTTATCGGAAACGGTGAGAGTTCCGTTGATGCCCATGAAAAGCAACTCCTCGTCATCGGTAACGTACAACGTTTGCACGTGAGTATCTGTTCCCCATTCCTTGACACCTTGAAGCCCGTCGACCAGGCTATTGCTAACAAACGCCACGTTGTCGAGGCCTTGATCCGTTGAGAAATGGCCGCCAATCACCGACACCAGGTCGTTGATGTAGAACGAACGAGTCACTACCCCCAGCGAGATGGTAAGCCCCGGGTAGCTCGTGAAATTCGACGAGGCATCAATGTACGCCTGGTCAATTCCATAGTAGTCCATGACGCCAAACAGCGAGCCACCAAGCACCTGTTGGGTATCCGATAAGTGGGCGGCCTGGCGGATTTTCAAGTCGTAGCTTGGCGCGGTGTCTCGCTTGCCGTGAGTCAGCTCCCAATCAGACACTTTCATCAGGTAGTAGCCATCATTATCGGAAAACACCCAGTACAAGGTGCCATCAATGGTGGTATTGGTGAACTGAGTCCACGGACGCTGTCCGTCCTGGTTGATGGTGTACCAGTTGTGGACGCTAGTGTCGAATACAGCGACGTTTTTCAAGTTGTTGTTGGTGGTGAAGTTGCCGCAAAAGATCCAGTACTTGTCGTAGACAAACGCCTTAGTGGGAGATTGCAGAAACTTTACCCCCTGAATATCTCTTTTAGCCAATAAGTTAGACCCCAAATTGGTGATCCCGGCTCCGGTAGAGTTATAGCCAGTGACTTTAAGCAGCACGATATCGGTTACGTTCTCCATACGGCCAAGCACAACAATGGTACCTTCAGGACCAAACACAAGCTCGGTGATGTTTGCCGGTTCTCCGAGAGACGCAGAGAACTGGTTAATCAGCGAGTTGCCCACATAAATGGTGCTGTTAGTCTTGTTGACTTCGTTGACGTCAAACAGGGAGAAGTTCTTAAGCAGGTATTCAAACAACCCGTTCAAACGCACGTACTCCATTTTCAGCTTGGTAGTAGTATTCGTCTTGGTCGAGTTGGTAATATTGGTCGTGTTGTCCAATTTGACAATGATGGCCAGCGCTTTATCAGCAACGATATACGGTTGAGTATCAGGGATGATTTGACCCTGGTAGGATACATCAATCCGATAGCCCTTACCTCCCTGAACGGCGCCGTCAAGATGACCATTGTACAAGTAGTCGAACTTGTCGTAGTCGTTATTCTGCCACACCTGGTGGCTGGCCAATACTTGGTTCAGTCCTTCGTCGACCAAGTTCACGTTGACAATACCCCGACGCTGGCACAGCCCATCAGCCACACACCCGGGGGTGTAGAAGTTGAGCTGGTAGTCACCCAGATACTGGATATTGGGAGTCATGCTGAGTTTGGCATCGCTCAGTTCACTAACAAGGTAATTCTGCGACGAGAGCGCGTTGGGGTTGGGTGCAAGTTGCAGCACGTCCGTCCACTGGCCCTCCGTCGACAGCAGCAGCTGGTTGGTCCCCGCGGCACCGGCACAGTTCGGGGTATTAAGCTCATTATTGGCATAGGCCAGAATCGTGTTCAGATAAAGCTGGATTCCCGATAACGCACCGTACTCTCCTGTCCAGCCAAGCACTGTGACGGTAAGACGAGACACGCCGATATTATTGACAAACAGGAACTCTTGCCAGTTGCTGCCGTAGCCCAATGTTTGCACCTGCAGATCATCCTGGTATAAGTTGTAGGAGCCGTCATTGCTGATATAGGCGCGGTCGTCGGTGTTGTTGGTATCCTTGTTATTGTTGGTGGAGTTTTGAAGCTGAGCCAACGCCGAAAGCGGACACCACGCGTCACAGTATTTCACCGTATTGTCGTATGGGTCGACGTAGGAGAGGTTCATGATCCCGTTACTGGGGAAAGTGTAGATACGGAACAAGTTGACCTGGTTTTCGCCTTGAGGCATCGTCAACCGAATCTTAGTGGGCATCGTTCCCTGGATGCCACCGGGGAGTTCCACCGACCACTCAGCTCCTTGGCCAGGGTTGGTGTGCCATGTTTCATCGTCCAGAGGACACACAAGAGCGTTAGGATCGCCCTGGCCGTTCAGAGTAATTTTACCGTTGGCAATAGGTACACTCTGTTCCACCGTCACAAGCAGCGAGTTGGTGGTATTGGTGGTGGTGTTGGTGGTGATGTTTCGAGCTAAAAGCTCGGGGAACCCCAACGTGTTGAAGTTGCCGCCAAACACAATCAGTCCCAGCAGTCCGTCGTTATTAGGGATTCTGGTGATGGCGTTAACAGTACCATTTTCGCCAAACCCGCGGAACGGTAACAGCAGAAGCAGTTTGGACTCAGTGTCGTAGACAGCAGCCCCGTGAGACCCGTTAAACTCAAACTGGCCCCCCAAATATATGAGGGTACCGTCAACCAACATCGTGTGGATATCACCATTAAGCTGGTTATTATCTCGTTTTCCTGAGGACTGTGGAGCTATTGGCAGCACTGAGCGGTCACTCACGTCAAATATGAACGGCAGTTGTACGTCCTGGTCGCCAACTTTGGTGATATTACCGTTGACAACCACCTGGTGGTCGTTGAGGGGTTCCATCTGCGATACGATGCCGTTAAACAGGCCCACGGGGACCAGCTTTCTCTCTTGGTCGTCAAACGAAAATAACTTGTCACCATTATCGCTCTGCTGGTCGCCAGTCTCGCCCACAAACGTATACTTGGAAAGGGAGTCGTAGTCGCCAAAGAGGCCGAGCCGGCCGCCGATGTCGTCGAACTTGAGCTCGGGGTGGTCCACCGGGGTGCCTGGGTCGGCGGCCCCGACAACAGCCACCGCCGTTGCTAGTAGAAGCCCCCACATCGAATGGTCTGGAGTGGGTTGGATACGCCGTGTGTGATTTTGCGGAATGCGCGACTAGGATTAGGAAAGTGGTGAGGACCAAACAAGGCGTTGGCCAAGAACCGCCAACTGTGAAAATTGAAGAAATAAAGAGTATGTTAACACCTTAAGGTTAGTTGGAAGTGTTTCGAGTGGTTGGTTTTTGTTTTGATGTTATTGTTCTTTAATATTTTATGGCTACTGGGGATGGCGGCGCTCCGTTTAGGGATTTTGCCTTAGTGCGATGAACTGAGTTAACCGAGAGATTGATTCGGCGATATGTAAACACGTGAGATGCAGGAACAAGACGCGTTTTGTAGTTGGGGTTAATCGCCCGGGAAACAATAACCAGCACACGTATCAATAGTTTTGAAAACTGCTATGTCATGTCCTCATATCGGATGATTTTTTGCGATGAAACTGATGATTTGGTGCATTCATTCTGGAAATGTCAGTTTGCTCTGCCATCAGGGGAGAAATGAGTCGACCTAAAAGCATGCGATTGCAAGAAACCAAACCACCATGAAGTGGTGGAAATTACCATTGTTACTTCCTTTGATAACTTGTGCTTTGCTCCAGTGGCAATTCAATGCTACCTGGAAGACGGTGGAAGTTGCTCCCGGTCTTACTCGATCAATGATTGCGTGGAATGACCAGTGGCCGCTTCCGACACTAAGAGCTCAGGTCGGCGATATTGTACTGCTTACCATCGTCAATCAACTTGATGAGTCGACTCTGGTCCACATCCACGGCTTACCGTTTACTGGAGTCAGTTCGATGGATGGCACAGAAATGGTTAGTCATTGTCCCATTATGCCAGGCACTCAATTTACGTACGAATTTGAAGTGACGCAAGAGGGGACATACTGGTACCATAGCCATCTGATGCTGCAATACGGTGATGGTCTCAGGGGTTTATTCATCGTTGACGACCCTTTCTCTCCCATAACCTACGACGAAGAAGTCGAGATTTTACTCGGCGATTATTACGAATGTCGAGCGAGGCAGTGTCTCAAACAAATTCGTCAAGGTCACTTTAAGCGGATGATTCCTGATGTAGTGTTAGTCAATGATACCAGTGATTTTAGGTGGTCAGTCAAGCCTCATACCACCTATTTGCTCCGCCTAGCCAACGTGGCGGTGATGGCGGGAAGATGGTTTTACATCGAGGACCATGATATGACGGTGGTGGAGGTGGATGGTAAGTGGACAGAACCTTATACAGTACTGGTGCTTAATATCGCTCCCGGTCAACGCGTGCTGGTGTTAATAACCACAAAATCTTCGACGGAGTCTAATTATATTATTGGCACAGCGGTGGACAAGTACACAATGATTTACCGTCATGATCAGCCCAGTTTTAATGTCACCAGCTGGATGGTGTATAATGAAAGTGCTTCAACTTCAAAGGAAATGGCATTGATTGATCCGTCGCAAGCGTACCAAGATTACGATATGAAACCGTTACCACTGCAGCGACTTTTAGGTCCAATTGACCTAGTGATTAGGCTTGAGATAGCCGTCACTTACCGCGAGTTCTCGGCTCAATCGCTGAATCCTGGTGGTCCAGGAGCGTGGCATACGCTTAATGGTAAAACGTATAATGCTCCTAAAGTGCCCACGCTTATGACGGCAATATCTGCCCCCGCCGATTTGAAGCATTCACCAAAGCTTTACGGCGAAAATACTCATACCTATGTGGTGAAATACAACCAGGTGGTAGAAATCAGGATCGATAATACCGATCCCATGAGACACCCGATGCACTTACACGGACACCGGTTCCAAATTGTCCTGATCAACGGGCGGTTTACTTCACCTTCAAACCCACCGCAACGGGATACCGTGCTGGTAGACCCCTACGGATCGGTGGTATTGCGGTTCAAACTGGATAACCCAGGGGTGTGGCTTCTCCATTGTCACTTGGAGTACCATATGGACCAGGGAATGGGTATCACCATTGTTGAAGCACCTGACCATATTTCGGAACTGCTAGGACCCAATCATCATCAGCTCTGTCACCAAGCAAATGTGCCTATGGCAGGAAATGCTGGCGGTACCATCGATTGGCACGACCTCAGCAATCAACCGCCCCCTCTCTGGGACACAAAGTAATAGTATTTTAAAATAAATGCCCACAGCTTCTTCATGGTAGTATTCATAGCCAATGATGGAGATCGACTAAAATAACATTTCTGTGTCATTAAGCGAGCCTCGGCTAATCATACCAACAGTTACGGCAAATAATGTGATTTTGTGTTTACCCCTGATTTTGGGAACACAATTGCAATGATCTGATCCATGCTGGTGTCGGATTTTAGCTGATTGGAGATATCAGGGCCCAGTTGTACAGCCACACCTAAAATTGCCGCGATCATGATTCAATTATAAACACGACAAGACAACCACAACGTTTCCCACTGCTCAATACCAATTACATTCGTCCATCGTCACTTAACAAATCGATTACCATTGAACCACATCCTGTCAATTTTAGCCTTCGACTCCCCTATTTTCTCAACCTTTTATTGTTTCCTCACAACAAAGGTTCATTCGCCACTGGCCATTCGCCACACACTCCAAACCCCCCACACAACCTGACAATTGCTATCTCTATCCTCTTCTCTACAACTCCCTACTTCTTCAAACCATTGTCCCTCTCATTCGTGTAATTGCCCATTGGCCTCGGCTTACCACTCCCATATACCACCACCACCCCCACCCTCACTGCGCACCCTATGGACTACCCGTTTGGCCTCGACCCCTTCACGTGTCGACAGCACCTCTTGCACCACCACTACCTGCCGTTGGTGTCGGTGCACGCGTCCCACCACTGTGACGTGCTTTTGCAGCGGGTGTTGGGCGTGCTGCTGGTGCTGGTGCTCCAGGTGCTCCGTCCCTACGGTAACAACGCCAAGTATAGCGTCCCCCGCCAGAACTACAAGATCGTCAACAACCAGTTGATCACCAAGAGTTACCACCTGTTTCCCGTGAGGTTTGGTCCTCCTGCCAATGAGCTCATCGACTTGCAAAAGCATCAAGGGTCCCAGCAGCTCTTTCTGTTGACTCAGCTCGAAATGTTGCTCAATCAGGCAGCCCACGACGGCGACACAAACGATCTCTACCTTAAGTTGTTTGACAAGGTGGTGCTGACACATAAAGTGGTCCCCTTCGAAACATTCAACCACCCTGTTGCCCAGGTGTTTTTCGTCGAATACGGCAACGATACCTTAGAGCTGCTTCGCCAGGCGCTTGTTGAATTCCGCAATTACGCTTTCCCCAAATACTTTCAGTTAGATGACGTGTTGATGCACGTCTTCGTCGTCTACGACCCGCAAACGGTGTCCAGTGCAAGTGTCCACCAATTCCAACAGGAGATTAAGCTGAGGCTATCTCTCGTGTCAACAGCGTTACCGGTGGATGCTAGCGATGATGAACCCACTCCGCTTTCCCCTGACCAGCCGCTGATTCGCCCACGCAGTGGCACCGCCAACTCTATGGCGCTGACAGGGCTGGCCACGGCTAAATTCCTTAAAGTGCCCCTCTACGACGGCTCCACCATCACTGAGGATTTACAACGCCTTTCTCTTGGCGACAGTCAAGGGCCAGAGTTCATCCAAGTCCCCAAACGGTTTGACCGCACTTTGAGAACCACCCTCCACGAATTCTTATCGAAATATGTCATCGCTCACATGCAGTCAAAAACCCGCCAGTGGGACGACGTCTACCTCCAGCCCAAACGAAGCATTACTCTGAGGTTTTTCAGCGCCTCGAAGCGAATGTTCAGCGGGTCCCGGGAGGGTACTCCTGAACCGACGACGCTGCTGGGCCAGTATAATTCTCACGATCAATACTACCATCGTCTGAGTCCCGAACAGATTATCCGCAAACTTGCTGATTGGCTGTTAGCGCTTAAGGACTTCAAGTACGCCTATCTGACCTACGATCTCATTAAGAAGGACTACACCACTGATAAAGCCTGGCTGTATGTGGCGCTGACACAAGCGATGTGCTGCATCCTGCTTCTTCTCAGCCACACGGTGCTGCTGGCGCCGGCAACCCCGCATGACCGTAACACGTTGCGTAAGATTCGCCACGATATCATCGAGCCCTACATCGACAGTTGTCTCTACACGTTAAAGCTGAGACTCGGGCTTAAGACATTTGCTCTCCGCACCCTCGTGGTGGTCGTCGAGCTTCTCCTCTGCTTCGGGGTGGCGGCAAACTTACTGGGTTGGTGGAGCGAGTTGATCCAGCGGTACCTTGTGCTCTGCATTAACGACGTTGACGGTCACTTGGCGGCTAACAACTATAACCTGCTGACGGTGGTGCGGGCGTTGATCTACGAGCGGGCCGCCTACTCTCTTGGTCGGTGCATATTCCTCAGTGACCTCAACGTGATCTCCTTTAACGAGCTTATCATTAAAAACGTACTGCACCAGGTCCCCGCCACCATCACTGACCACCTGAACATCAAACGGATCACGCTGAATGACGAACCCGCCGAGTTTGAGGCTCAGGCGGATGGCCAAGCGAGCGAAGATGGTGACGATCCTGGCTACTACGTCAACCACGCTAAAGTTAACCCCGCTAATAACGCGGCCATTGCCGGAAAGACCCGCTACCGCCAGCTGGCGCTTTGGTACTTGCTTGCCGTGCGTGAATGGCTCAATATGAAGGCGTACACCCACGTGGATACGGTGTTTAATAACATCAAGTTGGTGTACGACGTGAGCACCATTGACCCTGAGCGGTGGTACGACCGCGCCGATCTCTTGCTCGGCTTCGCCAAGCGGCTGGTGGAGGAGTACTGTGACGGGAGAGAACACAGAGTGTCGGCTCTGTAATGCATTTTATTACGATTACATGATCACCCTACTACGAGTGTTGCCCAAATATACAACATTCGCCTACTAATAATAGAGAAATGTTACCCGATAGACGTCTATGACACCTCATCTCTACTCCCCATTGTTAAGCCATTGGCCTGATTACTGTTGCTAGGGGGACTCAATTTGTGGAGAAACATGCCGATATGTGTGGTTTTTGGACTCCATTGTTGGGGATTACAGCGCAAATTATCTCCTCCTTGGTCATTGTTTACCCAAGTCTACTCACGAATAGCAGTGTCCCCCCTCACGCTGACTATTTTCTACCCTGCTATTGGTAGTCCCCCACTTGATAACACGGAATTGTCGCCTCATTTGGATCCGCCAACGCGCTAGGTGTGCTTGGGGGCACAGCCGCGAGCGGCTGGTGGTACCGAGAGGGGAGAGTCTGGGGTACAGCACCGTCGGAGCCAACTTCCGCGCTCCCCCCTCTCCAGCCCATTACTCCAGGCACTATAAAACCCGCCATTGAACATCCTTCACTACCCTATCATGCTCTGGTTTACCCTCATCAGTGTTGCTCTCGCCTACGTCTCGCGGCCCGACCTCGATCCGCCCGCGCTCAACGTCACCGCTAATGCCGGTGGTCTTGACGGGTACATTTTTCTTGGCCCCTATCTCGGCACCCTTGCTCAGCCCGGGGGTTATATTTACGATTTCTCTGGTGAGTTAGTGTGGCTGGGCCACGGCAGAATCAGTGGTTGGGCGGGGAACATCCAGGTGACGGAGTACCAGGGCCAGACAGTGCTCCAGCTGGCCGACACCGTGTTTAATGTTGCTGGGTTTGGTAGAGGCCACACCAAGCTCTTGAGTCAAAACTATACCACGTTGACAGAGATTTATGCTGGCGAAGCTCACTTAGCTGACTTTCACGAGTTTAAGATGGTAGGGAACGACTCGGCTGTGGTGACGATGTACCAGCCGACTCCAGTGGACCTTAGCGTCATTGGTGGACCCAGCAAAGGGTGGGTGTTCGAGCTGATCTTCCGAGAAATCGATGTGATTTCAGGGGACACCAAATTTGAGTGGCGGGCATTGGACCACGTGAGGCTTGAAGACACGTTGTGGCCGGTGAAAACTCGTGGTAACTCGTCGACAAACGCCTTTGACTATTTCCATATCAACTCGGTGGATAAGGACGGCGACGACTACGTGATTTCGTCGCGGTACTACTCGACAGTCTACAAGATTGATGGTAAAACTGGTGATATCATCTGGAGACTTGTGGGCAACCAGGTGAAGGTGAGACTGGACTTTGCTCACGACTTCCAATTTGACAAGCAGCACGATGCCCGTCTCCACAACGGCACTACTCTTACCATTTTTGATAATGCCATGAACATTAGTGACGTCAGCACGGCCAAGATTATCTCCCTCGATCAGAACAACCGCCAGGCGACCCTTGTGGCTCTGATGGAGCTGCCGGACCATTTGCACGTGTACTCGCAAGGCAATAATCAGCTTTTGGCCGACGGCGGTCTGTTTGTCAACTGGGGGTCGCTGGGGGCCATCACCAAGTTTAATCTGAACCACGAGGTGGTGTTCCACGCCACGTTGCCGGAAAAAGCGCAAAGTTACCGTGGGTTCCAATTTGACTGGCAAGGGACGCTGCCCGAAGCGGTAGCCGTGGCTGTCGACGCTGGTAAAGTATATGTGCTGTGGAACGGTGATACTCGGGTGACTACTTGGACCATTACTAAAGACGACAAGCCGGTAGCCAGTGCTCCTCGCGAAGGGTTTGAGACAGTGCTTGATCTTAACGTTCTGGGGACGTACAAGGTGGTGGGCTACGATAAGGAAGGCCAGCAAGTTGGGGAGTCCTCTGAGTTTACCGTCAATGATGATGAGGCTAAGGCGGAAGTTACCGAAACCGATGGTTGCCCCTGTACTACTTTACGTCAGGTTCGCTAGATAAGTCACATCAGACACAGCAAATAAACGATCTTTAATACTTAATTTGGTCACTTCACTGAGGCTTTACGTTCATATTCTTCGAACTACTGATTTCATTAGTAACACATCATGAATGTTTCTTAGATAAATACGATATAGTGTTCAGTTTGTTTGCGCGTCGACAAACCCCTTGATCAACGCCAACAAGCCGACGGCACCAGGGTCAGGGATACCACCTTCGGCCTTAAACTCCAGCGAGTCCACGTACAGAGCGCGACCAAACTTTGCCGTCATCGTCTTGGTGGCTTCACATCCCTTCTCCGCGGCTTCTACCGCCTGCTTGATATCGCCGGTCTTGACAAAAGTATCGACGAACGGTTGTAAAGTGTCCACCAATGTTCTGCCGCCCTCTCTGGCTCTAGTATACTTGAATAGACCATCGTAAAGAGCTTCCTTCATCGCGTTAGCCACGTCTTGATGCAGAGTACCCTTAAGACTCTTCAGCAAGGCTGTCAAATAGATCAGATAGAGGCCACCGGAAGTACCTCCCATCAGGTCTTCAACTCTCTCGGTGATGTGGACAAGAATGTTTACTGGGTCATCGCCGTAGTCCTTAACTGCACCGACGGCTTCAGCACCCAGCTTAAGCGTTTCACCACAGTCACCATCACCGACGACAGTATCGTAGTGAGTGACTTTAGGCTCGGCAGCAATCACCAGCTTCAACGCAGCATCTAAGTGTTTGCGGAACTTAGTGGCATCGATACGCAAGTCCAGCTTGGGAAGAGGTTGTTCTTCCACTTGTTCCAGAATGATTTGGTTAGTGGAATTCCAGCCAGACGCAGGTTTGGGGCGCCAGCCAGCAGCATCGGTTTCCAAGTCCAAAAAGCCCAAAATTTCCTGCTTACGGTCGTCAAGTTTCAAAATAGTGATGGAGAAACCTGGAGAGTTGAGCGAGGTGACAAAATCAGCGAGATACACTCTGGTAGGCGGTTTCTTGAAAGGGGAGAGCTCAACGGCGTATTCGGTGATAGCGTTCATTTCCAATGTCAGCGTGCCACCAATGTTGTTAACCAATAACACGTAGTCGTCATTGGCTAAGTCAAAGTTGACATAGTGACGTTGGTCATCATCTGGACTCGTCAACTTGGTGTACATGTCTTTGATGAGGGAGTCAATTTCCGGGATAGGAATCTTCGTCCCCGGTTCGTTATGGATGCCAAGCCCCAATTCAGCTTCATCGTCTTTACAGAATTCCACCTGGTCGTCTGCCAGGCGTCCGGGGACCAGCGTGCGGTCCAACAGCGCCCCCAACGTGACAAGTCTCTGGTTGACATAGTTACCAATTTCTGCCACTTTGTCCACGTCATATCCCTGAGAGGCAGCTCCACCGACAACTTTATGAATCAAAGCAGTGCCGGCTAAACCACGACGGCCCACCATGGCGTTCTGGTCTCTACCGACAGCGACGTCGTCGGCAACAATGACGGTATCCACTTTATACCCAGCGGCTTTAGCTCTCTCACACACGAGGCCAAAATGGAGCACATCGCCGGTATAGTTCTTCACCACAAGCACTACACCCGCCTGTTTTGAGGCGACGGCGGTGATGGCAGCCATGATCTGTCTCGTCAGTGGCAGGGCAAAGATCAGCCCCAGCACGGCAGCATTGAGCAAATTGGAACCAACGTAGCCGGCATGAAGAGGCTCGTGGCCAGCACCGCCGCCCAGAATCACCGCCACTTTATCTTTGGGCGATTCCCGATAGACGACTTTCTCTTGCTCTAAGAGACGCAATTGCGGGTTAGTGCGGACGAGCCCCTTCAAATTGGTGGTGACTAAGTCGCCGTCAGGGTACTTCCAGTGTTTGTTGAGGGTCATTTGATATTGGGGGTAGACGAGGGGAGGGTTCGGGTGAGATATATCTTTGAGGTCGCCGTCGGGTGACGTCACTGCGTTTAACCCTTACATTGTAGAATAAGTGCGATGATTGTTAACGCCGATACATATTCCAAGTGGTGCCACTTTCCAGCAATTGAATTAAGCCTGCTTCGAATTATTATTTAATTTAACCTTTGAATTATTCCGAATATTGTAGCTAGCCGTGCTATTATGACATTCGGAATCATTTGTGGTATGAGCCTCGGGATTGGTTGATGCGTTGTGATGTCTATTAGTTACCAGATTATATGCTAGGGGTTTAGTTTCTCACCATGATACCGTGAAATCTTCCGGGGAACATTTCCTCGAGTTCAGGTTCGTTAATCAATTCAAAGTCACCGACTCCGAGTGTAACAATATTGATGATGCCGTCGGAATTTACCGCATACACCGTAGGGGAGTGGCCCATCCTTATTTTACTGTCACGGGCTTGATTATAGGCGACCATAGGATTATTAGGTGCTCGCCGAAGCTTTCTGCCTGGTTTCTGAGGCCGAGGAGGCACCCCTGGTGACACTTGGGCTAATGAATGGACACTCTCTAAAGTAGGGAATGGGTCATGAGCCAGCACACACACGACGTGATAGTGAGGTGGTGGCGGGTCCAGTTTACGGAAATTGGGGGTAGGTTTCCATACGGCAAACCCCTGAGGCAGCGGTGGTGGCTGGGTGGAGAAATCGTCCACTTGTGGTCGCAGTAAACTGGCAAATAACTTATAGTATGATGTGAAGCGAGTGAAATACTGCCACCACGGCGGATTGTATGATACTTTAGGGGTTGTTTCAGTATTTGTGATATTCCATCGTCTCACCAAATAGCCCAATCGCTTCAAATAGGCGTAGATTTGATATTCATCGATATCGACTCCCGATGCCGCGTAGAGCTCAGCCAAGTCACACGCGGGTAACCTTGTTGTATCCACTTGACGGAATTTCTCGGCACTTTTCGTAGTTTCCAATTCTTGTTGGAATTGATCATCACCCAATAAAACTGTAAGCAGCCCTCGTTCACAAAGGTAGATCGTCTCCACGGCGTCTAACTGAAGGATACCTTTATCGCCAGCACTACCCATATCTCGGAAATAGTTCCCCTTTGGAAACGGCACCACCAGGCGGTCGCCGATCCACACTGCTTCCACATGTTGTCTTAAGGAATGGCCCCGGGGGAATCCGAGCGCCGAAAACATCGCTTCTACAGCTTCACTGAGCAGCCCCTGTTGCACGTCCAGGCCATCGGGTTCAAACTCCTTTTCGCCTCGCTTGGGGAGAGGCACGCTCCGCCAGTCGATCAAGACCTCATCGTCGGAGTCCATGAGCCGCACCGAAAACTAGCCCTGGAAAATAGTGAGGCTAACACCGCCAAAACAACGATCAATTAAACTGGACGGAAATTCATGAGATTGTGGAGAATATGATAGTTCGTAATGTTAGTTCAATTAAGCCATGTTGGGTAATTTGGATTGAGGTTGAGGGGGACAATAATCCGAAGGTCGGGGTTCCGGAGTGGAGGTCAGTAATATTGCCAGTCGCGGTGTCGCGATTAGGGGGAGAGTGGGGATCAAATTAGCCATGGAAGCACCAACCCCACACGGGGGATCCGGGGAAAACGCTGGGTGCAGTTGGGGTTTTTCCATCGGAGATATTTGAGGCGTCGCCCCAACGGAAGATAAGAAAAAGCACTGAGGGGATGTTTAAGTTGTGTAGCGTGTGGGGCTAGTGGGGAACGAAGCTACGAGAAATTAACAATTACTGTAAAACACTTCTGAAGCAATTGTAGTTGTTATCATATGGTTGGTATTTGTAGTTGTGGACGTGGTGCGGTGAGGGACTTAGGCGAGTGGTATTACGCCGGTTGTCGCCGAGACGGGGGTGTGCCTGTAAGCTTAGTTACGTAAGCCGGTGATGGCTGATCAAGAGTGCGCGCGACGACTTTGACCAGCAATGAGCACGACCGACGAGGTGGTAAGTAACACGCTATGGTGAGAGGGCGACGCCGGATCCCCCTAGGCAGATAAAGACGACAGTGTAAACTAACCCGCAAGGCGTCCGTGGTGTTCCGGGAGATGGTGGAGGGGTTTGTGCGGCGGGCGGCGTTGGATGTGGTGGCGCGCCACCAGGCCCAGCCGGCGCCACCGCTCAACCACACGCCCACCACCGACATCTTCGGGGCCAACCAGCATAAGGTGCGCCAGAACGACGCCGCCCGCTACTTCGAGTGCTCGCTGTGTGGGCGCAAGGTCGCCGGCGCCCGCTTTGCCCAGCACATCTCCAAGTGTCTCGAGCGGAAACGCCGATAACCCCCGCACATCGCATCGTCAAAATATACATTCTAGCAAGAAAGAAGACACTGTAGCAAATCTGGGCACCAGGCTTTAGGGATATTATCGCGAGATATGGTCAAATCGTTATCTCCAGGATCCGTCGACTTACTACTGAATCGACAACACCGCTATCCAGGGGGTCCACGAAATCGTCAATTTGTTATTCCGTGTTATTCCGTTGACTACAGGCGATTTCTTTTTTTCCGTTATCGATGGTGTCTGTCGAGGGTTGGTGCGAAAAATGTGGGGTGCGAGGTTGTATGGCGAACCCTTACCCCAAAAAAAATCGAAAATACCCCTCCACACAAACCCCGAAATCACACCACTAATCTAGATTGTAACTCGTGGTAGATACAGATAGCCCTGAAAATGATCTTATTATCTACTTTATCCCACCACTATTCACCACTACCTCATACTCTGGTTTTACATCACGACTGGAAGCTAATCACTCTCAGTCCCTGCTCTCCACTTTATTTTCCATGGAAAACGCGTTCCCCGGGTATCGGAGCCGGAGACGTCACTAGTGCGAGGTGCCCTCACAAAGCTGTATGCACTCCGGATACTCGGGGCTCCCCTCATGGCACATTACCCCAACTCCGACCCCGACCTCGAGTGCCGCGATATATAAACCGCCTTTGCCCTGTCTCCCTTTGTAATTCGAAAAAGCTCCAGCCAATGGTCGTCGCCACCACTTCCCCCTGCGAGCCCCTCTTCGCCAACCAGCTGTTGGAAACCGCGTACTACCGCCTCCCCTTGGCGCCGCTGGCGGTCGGCGAGGCCGTCCCCACCACCAAGCGGACCCCGAAACACCTGGCGGTGTACCGCAACCGGGCTTTGCCCCTGCGCACGGTGCTGTGCTTGCACCCTGGCGTCGACACCTACGCCAAGTTGTTCAACAACTCCGTCGCCCTTAACGGACCCAACCCCTGTCTTGGCTGGAGACCCTACGACTACGTGCAGAAGAAGCACGCCCCCGACTTTGTTCTGCTCTCGTACAACGAGGTCCAGCAGAAGAAGCGCAACATCGGCGCCGGTATTATCCGCTCGTTGCTCTCTAACCCGTACAAGAAGGACACCGACGCCCACCAGAAGATCGACGCCCACTTGACCCGCTACCACACTTATGGGGTTGAAAACACCGGTACCGACAACCCCGACCACATCATCGAAAAGCTGGCGTCGTTCATCGTGCTGATCTTCGCCGCCAACCGCGCCGAGTGGATCATGACCGACTTGGCGTGCCTGGCGTACTCGATGACCAACACCGCGTTGTACGACACTTTGGGGCCTGACGTCACCATGTACATCTTGGAGCTCACCAAGCTGCCGATCGTGGTGTTGCTGAAGGACAAGGTGGAGACGGTGCTCACTTTGAAGAAGAACCACCCCAAGGAGCTTGAAAACCTCATTTCGTTGGTGGTGATGGACCCGTTGTCGACTGTCGACCAACAGTACGTCAACCAGGCTAAGGAATTGCAGGTCACCTTGCACGACTTGCTGCAAATTGAGCAGATCGGGGCCACCAACCCCATTGAAGAATTGCCCCCCTCGGCTAACACTTTGCAGACGATCTCGTTCACCTCGGGTACCACTGGGGCTAAGCCTAAGGGGGCGATGTTGTCGCAAGCCAATGCCGCCGCCGCCATCTCCGCTTTGGCCTCCACTGAACCCAAGGCGCTGCCGGGTAAGAACAAGGCTTTCATTTTCTTGCCGTTGACCCACATCTATGAGCGTCAGACCTCCGGGTACGCGTTGCTGGCGGGTTACTACCTCGGATTCCCCCAGTTCACCTTCGACAACCCCCGCCCCGACGCGTTCAAGGACTTGATCACCGATCTCCGCATCTTCAAGCCCACCTACTTCTCGCTGGTGCCGCGGATCCTCACCAAGTTCGAGTCGTTGATCAAGCACACCGTCAAGCAGTTGCCTGACCCCGAACGGATTAAGGTCGAAGAAATTATCGCCTGGAAGCTTGCTAAACAGAGCGAGGCTGACGGCAACACTGGCGCCAACCCCGAGTACGACAACTACCCCCCCTACGTGGCGTTGCAAGAGCTTGTCGGCTGGGAAAAGATGGACTGGACCCAGACCGCCTCCGCCCCCGTGGCGGCGCTGACGTTGGCGTACCTCAGAGCGGCGTTGAACACCGGTACCCGCCAGTTGTACGGGCTCACCGAAACCTACGGCGCCCACACCAACTCGATCCCCTGGGAAGCCAACCCTGGAACCTGTGGCCCCACCATGATCACGCTGGAACAGAAGATGCGGTCGGTGCAGGAAATGGGCTACGACATCTCCGAAGGCAAAGGTGAATTGTTGGTGGGCGGGTCCCAAGTTTTCAAAGGCTACTACTACAACCAGGCCGAAACCGACAAGTGCTTTGACGAGGACGGGTGGTTCCACACCGGTGACATCTCTCGCATCGACGACAAGGGCCGGTTGCTGATCATCGACAGAGTCAAGAACTTCTTCAAGTTGGCTCAGGGTGAATACATCTCGCCCGAGAAGATCGAAGGGTGCTACCTCTCGCTGAACCCGTTGTTGACTCAATTGTACGTCCACGGTAACTCGCACAAGCTGTATCTTGTTGGGGTCTGTGGCGTCGACTTTGAACGTGGTCTCCAGTTCTTGAACGAAGTCTGTGGCTACAACAAGTTGGACATGACCCAACACGAACTCGTTGACGAGTTGAACAAGGTCGAAAACAAGCGCAAGTTCTTGAAGTCGCTCAACGACTCCGTGGGCTCCAAGTTGAACGGGTACGAAAAGTTGCACAACGTCTACATTGAGTTGAACCCGTTGACCGTCGAGCGTAACGTGGTGACGCCGACGATGAAGATCAAGCGTGGGGTGGCGTCGAAGTACTTTGGCGAGGTGTTCGAAAAGTTGTACGAAGTCGAACAGCTGTTGGTGCACAAGGCGAGAGAAGCGCGCTTGTAAGCGAAAACGATGTATGTATTTATTTCATGATGTCATTAGAATTTGATCAGTGTAGAGATGCTGGACACATTTGCGAAACTACTGGTCTCGGAATGTGAGCGATCAAGGCAACGATGAACCCGCTAGTGATGATGGTGAAAACCACAGCAAACGCGAGCGTAGGCCATTTGTGCTCAAGAGTACGATTTAGCCTAAGCGGGTGCATTGCTACATTTTGATTCTGCTGTTTTAAACTTTTATATCTTGGGTTTTACTCGGGGATACGTGTATTCTCTGGATGCTCTATGACATCAGTGGTTCCTGCACATGGGTCGAAGATCTAAAGCCAAATAAGTGCACATTACCTGTTAATACAACTCCACAGGCTACTACTACTATGCCTTCTCATCCTGATCGGTCACAGCTGCTTTTAGTAGCCGATACTGAAGCCGAAGCCAGTCCTTTTGACACCCAGCCGCTGACGCCTAAACTATCCCCCGATGAGGAGCAATCCCAACAACAACCCCAGCATGTGGTATCAGAAAAGCCAATTACCAAACAACCACTGCCGCTGGAGGGGATGACGATGTACCCGCCAAAACTCCTGTTATCGGCGCTGGGCTCGGAGTGTCTGCTGAGCCAGGAGCTGGGGTACCGTCGCCAGCAGCTGGAGATGACGGAATTTCTCACGGAGTTGTTTTTGTGTTTTGGCGTGTTCAATAACGTGTGCCCCCACGATGGGGCTGGGTGTGTCACGATGGTGGCGACATTCTGTGGCAATACGTGTTTCTCGTGTTGCAAGGTTAAGTAAGGTTATTTATGGGTTCTAATATAGGTAAGGAAAGGGAAGTAATTCAGTAGAGTACAATTGTGATTGACTTTTATGATGACTCTGGTTAAACTCATATTTCCAAGTTGATGTATTTTTCGAAGACTGACTACATCACATCTATATTCTTCTCACGAATTGCTAAATTCTCAATTAAGCAGTAAGACATGGTTCGACTCTCACCTTCATCTTAAATTTCAAGCTGCAAATGGAAAAAAACAACCTCCATCACTACACCAATCAACCGTCAACTGTCTATATTGAGATTTTCATAACTTTTCTGAGCTGGTGGTGCCATCGCGTGGTGCTGGCTTATCCGCGCCGACCTCATCGCGAATCGCATCCTGCTACTCACGATGAAGAGAGGCGTTGAAGACGAGGACGCTGGCCGCAATTTGCAGGCGAAGCACGATGCCGACGCCCAGCCCCAGCCTCAAAACACCGACTCACTGATGGCAGAAGACATCGGCGAGTTTGAAGACCCTTACGGCGACGACTTTGAGCTGGACGGTGAGATCATCGAATTGGACGACAACGACGATAACGGCGCCGATATCGATACCGCGATGGCCGAAGAGGAAACTGAAGCTACCGAAGAGATCTATTTGCCCCACAGACTGAAACCTTTAGGCCCCGATGAAGTAATGGAGGCCGACCCCAGTGTCTACGACATGCTCCACAACATCAACCTCCCCTGGCCGTGTTTGACGGTGGACATCATTCCCGATAAGCTTGGAGACGAGCGCAGAACTTACCCGGCTACGGTGTACTGTGCCACTGCCACTCAGGCGCTGAAGGCGAAGGATAACGAGGTGATTTTGCTTAAGGCGCTGCTGTTAGCGAAGACGAGAGAAGACGACGACGACGATGAAAACCAAGAGGAGAGCGACGACGATAACGACGACGACTCCGACCCCATTTTGGACCTGGAGGTGATCCCGCTGAGAGCGACGCTGAACCGGCTTAGAGTCTCCCCCCACGCCTCGGAAACGGGCGAGTACTTGACGGCAGTGATGCTGGAGCTGGGTGAGGTCAACATCTACGACGTGGCGGCCCAGATGCGTGCCTTTGACACCCCGGGTCTGGTGATCCCTAAGCAAGCTAAACGCCCTGTACACACGGTGAGAAACCACGGTAATGTCGAAGGGTATGGGGTGGACTGGTCTCCGTTAGTGGCTACCGGTGCTCTTTTACTGGGTGACTGTTCTGGTCGTATTTACCACACTTTCAGATCCCCCAACGGGCTGTGGACTACCGATAAGACCCCCTTCGAGGCGCTGCTGGCGCTGATTGAAGACATCCAGTGGTCGCCTCAGGAAGCCACCGTGTTTGCTACTGCCGGTACCGACGGCATGATCAGAATATGGGACACTCGTTCCAAAAAGCACGCGCCGGCGTTGCTGGTGACTGCCTCCAAGACCGATGTCAACGTGTTGCTGTGGTGTCCTAAAATCACCCATTTGATGGCTCTGGGTCACGACGACGGTACCTGGGGGGTATGGGACTTGCGTCAGTTTGGTCTGGGCCCCACACCTGCTCCCGTAGCCCACTATGACTTCCACCAGGCCCCCGTGACCTCGATCGCATTCAACCCGTTGGACGAGCTGGTGGTGGCCGTAGGGTCGGAAGACAATACCGTCACCCTTTGGGACTTGTCGGTGGAAGCCGACGACGAAGAAATCAGCCAGCAGCGAGCGGCGCTGAAGCTGTTGCAGGACATCCCGCCGCAATTGTTGTTTGTCCACTGGCAACCGCAAGTAAAGGAAGTGAGATGGCACAAGCAAATCCCCGGGGTGTTGGTGCTGACAGGCACCGATGGGTTGAACATCTGGAAGACGATCAGTGTTTAGGGAAGAAAATTGGGTATGTACAACAGTATGAGAGCATTAGTAATTAGTGTAGGATAATCAGTGGATTTTCGAAGGTGTTGGTGCCAATTTGAAAAGGTAGTCGTCTAACAAAAGTTTTTTGCCGGCTTCACTACTCCACCATTCAACCATTGACTTTTTCTTTTGGTCGACTGACAAAATGTCGTCGTTTATCGTTGGCAAAAATCTGCACCTGACATCCTCAAACTTTTGGTTGTCGCACGGTCGCATTCTGGTTAGTGTGTCCTGGTAAACAACACAAACCCTCGTGCACCAAAGGAACTCTATCCCCTACCACGACCACCAAAAGACGATGCTGATTGTCGATGCCGACTTGAGTCAGTATAACGTCAGTGCCGACGAGCTCGAGTTGCTTGAACAGTACCAGCTCATGGCGCGACAGCTCCGCCAGCTCGAGGCGCAGTTGACGGAGATGGAAGGGACGGTGGCCGAACCAGGTAACCCGAGGATCCTTGCCGATAACATGAGAGGGTTGGAGATGAAGATGGGGGTGATGCACGCCTTCTTTAAGAGTTCTGTGTATCTGGTATTGAGACAAGCCCGCGACGAAGCCCGCAACCCGTAGGGAAACCCAAGGACTACTATAAGATTGCTGACAATACGGTGGACATCCCATGATATGATAGCCATACGATATTCATTATCAGTTAGCTATTAGCTTATTCAACAGTGATATGTCAATATCCTAATACTTTGAGGACTCCAAGAGTGGTAATTGATACTACAGCTCGTTGACAACTAGATTGAATGCTTCCCAAGCAATCAAGTTGAGTTGAGCTGAGCTAAGTTTGTGTTAGTATTGGTGATGAGGGAGATGATCCATGGGTACCATCTCCTACCTCACACTAAATCAATATAGCCCAATCTCGTAAAATACGTCAAATGAATATTCTATAACAATAGAAACAGCGAACCACAAACACCCCAGCATCCCCCCTCCGCCTCGATGGGGTAAATTAAACCATGGCTAGGCCTCATCAGGAATATGCCCTAAAGCGATCGTGACGGGCGGGCGCAAAACGCGTACTATAATTTTGGAGGGGCTAGCCTGATCCAACTGATTAGCCGAACAAAATAAAAACAAATCACGCCGCGCTCAGCATTAAGCTTTCAGCGGTGGGGGAAACACGAAGCAACACGAGCACCACGAGGGCCTGCCAAACACTACACACCCACACACACGGCGTGACTCGCGTCGCGTGGAGCCGNGCGTATCGCAGGCTTCGACGGCCTCGTCGCCAAAGAAAAAAAAAAAAACACACGACGCGCACAAAACAGTGGGGGGTAGAGGATCAGCCACACTTTCCATCACTCGCGTAGCGATCGGCACCCGGTGAGCGCTTGGCAACGCCTGTAAGGTTTAGGCGCCACCACGGCACACGGCTTTTTCGCGAGATGGACTGATTAGAATACGAAGAAGGAGGGGGTTGGTTATCTTGGGATCGGGCGTCGACTAGTAGTCACCTAAGCCCCCCCTAACTGATTAGCCGACTAACACCCAAAGACACTGTAGTAGTTATCATCGCTGTGGGTGGCTACCAGTAGTGGTGATCTATCATAGACTAGGATCAGCATGCCTCAGGGGAGGGGAGGTGGGGGGCCCTTACACGAGAAGCAAGCCAAGAGCTACGAACAAGAATAGTACGGCTTGACGTCGCCAGATCTAGAGGACGTGGAGGGGGCGGTGGGTGCACGGTGTGCCCCTGTTTTGCGCAAAGCTAGAGGGGCATATAGCCACGGTTTACGAAAGATACCTCGCGGTGTTTGTTTGTTTATGTTGTGGGTGCCATCGGCAGCGTATTCGTCGGCGTCGCGCGCCAACGGCCACCTGCAATTGGCGGGCGGTTATTTCAGGTCTACTGCGTAAACAGCATAATCGCCCATGAGGCACCGAGGGTAGTTTCACTCATCTCGACCACCACCGATTCAGACCTTGGCACCCATCGTCACCATTGCTATTTTTCGCACCAAGCTATTTTCGGCGGGCGCGACGACGGGGCTAATAATAGCCATGGGTTGTCTAAGCCCCTCACTACGCAGACATTTTTTCTCTCTCGCCCACTGAGGCCATCGCCCGATTAGGCACCAGTAAGCCTCCCCCACTCGGCCAAACGGTCCCGACGCCCCTCAATTACGCCTCAGCAAATAGCAACGCTCGCGGTTTCGGCGTTTGCACGTACGGCGGCGGCTGGCTCCGCTTGGTGCCGCGGCGAGCGCCGCCACTTTCGGCTGTGCCGATGGAAGCAGGGCACTTTTCGAGAACAATGGCGATGGAGGTGGCTGGCTTCAATTCCCAGGTTAGCGGGAGAGCAAGCGTGGGCAAGTCATGAATTCAGTAGGTTAAGTCAATTTACGGATGCCACGGAAGCGCCGGTGGTGGCGATAATGACTCATGGAAAAGTGGCGGGACTCCGGCTGCTTGCCATCGCAGCCGCCACCATTGGCTGTGGGTAGCCCGGCGCATGATGTTTGGGTGCAAATTAGGCAAGTGGCACCCGGGCGAAAAAAGTTCTTTGTGGAATTTATTTTTGGTTGCGTCACCGGTTGGGAGCGCGGGGTACTGTTGACAAAGTCATTCAACCGAGGAAGCGGGCCCCTATCACGGCCAAAATTTAGGATACGACCACCCACCTCACTGTAGCAACTCGGCGATTTGCTGTTTAGCCTTATCAGTGTTTATCCCACCCGTATTCGTCGCGATAGCAGACCCCACCCGCTGCTTATCATCCGAGGAGTTTACGCTATGCATGCGCACGTAGGCTCCTAATCCGAGGAAAAAATTTTATGCCGACAGCAGCACGGGCGGCACGCTCGAGCCGAAATAACATACACAGTCGTCCGACAGACGACGGGGAAAATTACTATATAAACCGGTGGTGACTCCCCCGATTTTTTTTCTCTTCACTAACTCCTAGTCTTATTATCCGAATAATGTCTGTCGCTAACGTTACCATCACCACCGACGTCGTCGTCACTGACTTTGTCACCTACTGCCCCGAACCCACCTCGTTGGTTGTCAACAACAAGACCATCACCGTCCACGAACCCACCACCATCACCATCTTGGGTCCTTGCACCATCCCCACCACCATTATTGGCCCCGACACCACCTCGAAGACCCAATCGCCCCACGTCACCGAATCGCAAATCGAAAACGGTGCCAACAAGGCCGTCGCCGGTGCCTTCGCTGGTGTCGCCGCCGTCGCCGCCGCTTTGTTGTAAGCGTGCTAACTGACTCGTTTCGGGAAGTCTTAGACCACAATACCTAATAAATAATAGCTTGAGTGAATCTATGACCACTATCTACTTGCTCGTAGCCTTAGTAGAGCCACTTCTAATTGCGACACTTCGCCTTTGTCAATTTCGCGCAAAATCTCTTGGCCATCGCCCAGTCCTCCTTTTTTTTTTTGACATCAGGGGAATTCGCCCACTACCTGGTTACCTCGCGCACGACTATGCTCGAAAAAAAAAGATTTTCTTACGCCACAAACAAAATCCCGCATGCAGCCTGACAAATATAAAAATACAAAAAAGAAAACAGGTAGCTCTCCCCGAGTCACCCGCATGGGCGTACGAGGCGGGGACGCTGCCTACCTAGAGGTGCTCACAGTGCTGCCCACCACCACAAACGCCGTAATGCCCTCAACTCTCATGCGTGTCTCTCCCCTATCGGTCACCTCATCGCCTTACTGTTCATATCTCGCACAAAACAAAACCTCTACCAATCGCTTTGAGACAGTCTACAATGTCAATTCCAAACAAAGAAAAGTCTCGACGACTTTCTGCACCATGCTATCTTTAAACTTCTCGTAAATACTATTGAGAGATAGAAACAGGTAACAGCCTTATTGCTGTCGGCAGGATACGTGACTTTGTTACGGGAGAGATAAAAATAAGATAACGAAAGGTAAACACAGGCTTTAACCTTGCTACCGCTGACGACCTGTTTGTAGAGAGGATGGCGTAGAGGAGGATGAAAATATGATGGATTTATTAAAGTGTCTCGTTGTGAGGGGGGAACCCTGTATGCGGAGGGGGTTCCCTCCCAGCCTCTATACCCGGCTGATGCTGCTCATTAGTCGTTTCGTTCATGCTTCCTGCTCATACACCAAGATATAAGCGTTGCGCGTGTCGTCGCCGCCGTCAAGAACCTCATCGGCGGCGAGGCTGGTGACAAGGGTGTCGTCGACACGCACCCACTGCGGCGTGGCTACGTCACAGGTGTAGTGGCCGTTGGCGGCCAGCAACCCGTGGTGGTACACCACCCCCACGAGCCGGTACTGCCGCTGCTGGTGCTTGGCTTCCGCCAGTAGTAATGCCAGCGGGATCTCGAGATGGTAGCCAAAGCGGATCATCTGTCGTAACTTCTCAATCACGTTCCCCAGCCCGTCGTGGGCGAACGAAAACCGCTTCAAGTGGATGATCAACGTGTGCGGCAACTTGTCGATAAAATTCTGCTTCTTTACCACCAGGCTGTGGTCGCTGGGGTCAAGGACAATCTGCTCCGGCTCGTTCCATTTGAGGAGGGTTTCCTCCACCAGCAGCGCCTGGTCCAAGTCGAGCTGCATGTGTTGCAACGGGTCCAACGTCACCAGCTTCTTGAACAGCTTCGCCAGCGCCAGCTTGTGCAGCACCACCTCCAGCCGCATCACCCCGCCGAAGATCATCGTGATCGGCGTCTGCTTGATGTCGTGGTTGCGGTTGATCTCGACGTTCTTCTTCCCGACTTCGTTCCACTCGTTTTCCACCACCAGCGGCTTGTCTTGTCCGCGGATCTGGCGCATGGTGAACTTGACGTCGTGCAGGAACCGTTTCGTCGCCTCCGCCAGGTTGTTGGCGGCGTACTGCTGGATCAACAGGTCGACGGTGGGGGTGCGCAACGCCCCGATGGCGGCGATGAACTCGTCGTTGAGCGTGTCCAAAAAGTAGCCCAAGAACTCCTCGGCGTCTTCTTGCTGCCCCCACTGCAAGTGGGAGAACCGCGGGTGGTCCAGCAATACCTGGAAGAACCGTTCCGGCGATATGATGTCGTGTTCCTGGCTCAGGAACTCGGTAAAGATGCAGATGGTGGCATCGAGCACCGGCGTCGTCAGCTGGCCAAGCAGCCCCATCAGCTTGTCGTGGATGAGCCGTAAAAGCTGGTTGAACGGGCGGCAGTACGCCAACACCTGGATGATCAGGTTCATGTAGCAGATATTGCCCGGGTTGGTGAGCCCGTGGGGCTTCACTTCGAACTTAGGCAACGAGTTCGGCTGGTTAAGCACCAGGTAGTTGGGGTCGTGCATCACCCGAAGCAAAATCACCCCTAGCAGTTGTTGAGCTTCGAGCAGAAGGTCGAACTCAGGCGCCGGCAGCAACGGCGTGTACGGCGCCAGCTTCGCCACCGCGGCGCCATTGGCGGTCTTTTTCGGGGTGGGCTTGTTTTGGTGGAGCACCAGGGCCCAGTTGGTGATCTGGGGTTGAGTGGTGGACGGCAGCGGTGACGACGTCGACGGCACGTCGGTGGTTGTCGGTTGGGGAGGGGTATCGGGCTTGTTTAACAGGGTGACGTCCTCGCCCAACAGCAAGAGCATCATCCCCACGGGGGTGCCCTTGAGCACCGTCTGCACCTGGTCGTGGCGCCGGCGTCGCGACTCCAAGTCCCGGGCGTTGAACTCGGCGCGGGTGCAGTTCAAGTAGACAAACAGCGGGTCGTCGTCGTCGCAGAACAGCTCTTCCGACGGCAGCACGGGGGGCATCTTGCTGTTGTCGAAGCCAAAGCGGCTCGACGCTTGGTCGAGCGCCGGCGCGTCGGGGTGGGGCGCCACTGGCAGCGCCAGCACTGGTACTTGTGGGTTGGCCCCCATCGGCGGCGGCAGAAGCGGGCCCGGTGCTGGCTGGGGCATGGGCGGGGGGAAGCCGAAGGGAGGCATCATCATTGGGTACATTTGCGGGTACGGCTGGTGGAAGGGCGGTTGCGGGTAGTACGGCGGGGCTGCCATCCACTGCTGCATGTGGTAGGGGTTCAGCGGCACGAACGGCTTGGAATTTGCCGCCAGGTTGGACGCCTGGTACCTATTGCTGGTCATGGCGAGGGGGAGGGCGGGGGATGTGGACGACGGCGGGCCCCGATGGCGTAGAAGATGGTGACGAATGGCCCTGGTGTGCGAAAAGGTTTGTGCGTCACGTGAGGCGAGCGAAACAGAAACTTTTAAGCAAATGGCAATTGGAGGCTGGGGTGGGTAGCAACCAGTCCAAAAAGTGGATCAATGAGCAGAGAAAAGAGGGCAGATGGAAGAGCTTTAATGGCAAAGCGATAAATTTGAGTGGGAGAACCAGTGTCGCCTTTAGTATTTGCCTGGTGGCGGCTTTAATAACGGCGAGATCACAAATGGTTGGGTGCGGAAAAAAAAAAAGATAACACTGTCCCAAAATTTGGGCACAGGTCGTCTGAGGCTAGTGAGATGAGGAAAGTATAGTGGTGGGTGATTCTAGGCGATGACGTCAGGGCAAACAACCCCGTGGCCCATCACAAGACTATCAACAATCAATACTTGAAGAGAGAGATATATCAGTGATAAACTGGTTGTGATGCTGTGCATACGGCAGTGGTAGAAGCCGTCATTATGGTAGCAATTAGTGTTGTATGGTCGGGATTATCCCAAGCGGTTAAACTCAGAGCAAGAGCAGTTGAGAGAACACGGTGTCTCATTAACTTACAATTATCAACTCCCAATTTTTATCACCAGTATCACAAGACGACGATAGGCTAATCTCTGCCGAGAACAATAGTTAGTAATTGGCTTTCTACTCCGAAGACAGTCGCCGCCTCCGTAGGGTTGCTGATAGTGATTAGACAAAATCATAAGAGAGCGAGTGCGCCCGCCACTGGGAGCCTAACCCCGGCTCCCAACACCACCGAGCACTATCAGCAAACCACTAGCCATTGTCACCGCTACAAAACCCCTGGGATAATTGTTTAGTTTGCTTACGGTGGAGGCACCCCGGGGGTTGCTGGTGCTCGCTACCACCGTGGGAGTGTCGGAACCGTGTAGGCCGAGCGACTAGCGCCGGCGGGGCGCCGAGCCCAGGGTCCGCCAACAACAGTGCGCAGCAACTCTAACTGTGCTCCCACCACCGACCACCTCACACCCACCTAACCGCGCTTCGATGAGACTCTTGATCAACCGCTTGCCCCAATTGGCGTCGCTCGCCCGTCCCGCCGCCGTGCTTGGCGTGCTGCTGTTTGCCATGTGGCTGGCCATGCGCCCCGCCCGCTTACTCCTCAACGACACCTATGTCACCGCGGGCCAGCACGGCCCCGTCGAGGTGATCCACGGCTCGGTCGACGGCAAGGACTTCCAGGCAACCATCAACTTCGAGCAGATGACCATCGGCCTGATCACCGGCATGGTGTTGGGCGTCATCGTTGGCAAGCTCTCGCTGGCGCTCGTGTTGGTGACGTTGCTGGCGTACTTTTTGGTGTCGTACCTCGAGAAGAAGGGGATCATCTCGGTGCCGTGGAACCAGATCATCACCTTGGGCCGGGAGAAGATCAACGTCAAGCACTTGATCTTCGAAAAGCCGTCGTTCAAGGTGCCGTTCTCGTTGGCGTTCTTGATCGCCGCCTACAACGTGCGCTAAAAGCGCCCTTAGGAAAAGCGCGGCCACCAGCGCCGGCAAGCGCCCACTACAATTCTAAATCCCAAATATACACACACCCCTCACCTCTATATCACACCTCAAATGAGGCAATAACCACAAGCATTCACGTTTTTGGTAGGCCACTCTTATTGAGGCAGGCTCGGGGCTGCTAACCAGTTCAGGCTCTTCAGGCTCTGTGGGGTTCCATGGCGAGCGGCGGTGACGTCATGCCGGAAGTAGCCATCGAGATTGTCGGAACTCCACTGCCGCCACCCATCTCCGAGCTGTCAACCTGATGACAGCACCATCACCACCACCCCTCCAAATGGTAGTGTCATCGGCGTCGCTGGCCGTTTGGTTCACTCAGTTTTACTGCTTGGGTGGTGGCGATGTCGGGGGGTGAAATTCGTATGCTGGGGCCTAGACCCTTTTCGGCGGGGGCACTCCTCGTTCGCCAAAAGCCGGCATGGTGTAGACACACAGCGCCTCACCCGATGGGGGGATATATGAGGACACAGGAGGGGNCGCTTCTTAATTTAGCTATCGAATTTAGCGATTTCCTTATTCTTCTTTTTTTTTTTTTTTTTTTTTTTTTGTGAGGCACACCTCAAATGGGCAAGCAAGCTATAAAGAGGCCGCCGTCCGCCACCATGCCGGCCCTCCCCCCCTTCCTGCGGCTAGCCACTGATTAAATTCCCATCCCCGGTAGGCTCCTAGTAAGGTACACATGGGAGCTATTCAACTAGCACCCGACTTGTACGTCGGCGGGTACGACGCGCTCCTCGCGCTGGCGACGGCACCCCCATGGCGGATTATCGTCAATTGCGGGCTGACGTTCCACTTCTTGCTGTTCTTGGAGCTCCGCCACACCATCCTGATCCTGCTGGAGGTGCTCATGTTCCTGTTGGACCCGCGGTTCAGCGACGCCGACGCCGCCTACGACTTGCACGGGTTGTACCTGTCGTTCATTCTGACGTACGGCAAGCGGTTGCAGAACTATATCGGCCACTACTACCACAACAACCCCCACGCCCAGCTGATGGTGCACCTGCTGCCGTGGCCGGTGGAGCAGATGAGCCCCATCCTCAACGGTCCCTTGACCCAGGCGTTTTTCCAGTTTAACCGGTTGGTGAAGCTTTTGAGGCTGGTCGACCACCGCGGCGTCGAGGTGTTGATTGTCGGCGACAACCTCCAGCTCGCCTACGGGCTTGCGGCGCTGTATTTCATGGACAACTACTCGTTCAACCTCGCCAACCTGATGCGGGTGATATCGCAGCAAGTGGGGTACCCGGTGACGTTCGACGGGTCCCACTACGACGACTTGATCATCTCCGACAGCTTACAGAAGTTCTACGCCGAGAACTCGTTGATCAAGCAGCAGCTGGTGGTGGGCACCAATAGGTGCAAGCGCGGGGTCGAGGACGACACCGAGGTGTCGGCGAAGCGCCGGACTAACGTGTACCACTGACGCTGGACTGTACTATACCTGTATCATCCCTGTATCATCCCTGTATAACGAAACCCATCATTACGACTAAAATACAAAAGCATTAGAATACTCGGTAGAAGCTGATGCCAAGCCAATAACACTAAACAAGAATTACTAGGTGAAACCTATGATAGTTCTATAAATGGGCAAATGTTGCACATAGCTACATCTTCCGTTTACGTTAGTGATGCGTTATATGAGATATCGTACGATCGGGCAATGACAGCTAAATGGGCTGAATCAACTCCACGGTGATATTGAAGTGGTTGGGAAGATGTTTATTGTCCTAGTTGTACCATTGTTTGTCTGGTGGAAGGCTGTGGCGAGCGCCCGGTCCAGCCCTGATTGGACCCTTAATTGCTTATTTGCATATTGGCAGTGCTTTATATGCAGCACCCAGATGGATGGGCAAAAAAAGATAGGCAGCGACGGAACCCTTGAGGTTTCCCCCAAAAACTCCCCCCCTCCGAAAAAAAAGAGGCGTAGGCCTGTGAGAATGGTAGCGTGTGAGTGGTGCGAAGGCGTAGGTTTAGGAAAATTCAGTCCCGGGAACTGTTGCACCGGTTCCGAGCAACCCGATGGTATTTTCCGAGATTAACCTCGGCAATGTCTGTATTGTAGTACCACGTCACCACCACTGTTTGGAGTATCTCTCGATATAGTCTTACATTGCGCAAACGGTTCTCGCGATCCAGCCATATCTCACTAGAATTGTGCTAAGGCGATTATTGAAATGAGCCAGGAAAGTAGGACTCATAGCACCAAGTAGAACAAAGTTCTGAACATCGACAATCTTGAGCTTCTCTAGATTTGGATTTTACTACGTATATCATGCTTCTCGCGATCGTGTGGGTCTTAACCTAGTCGAACGACCTATCGAACCTATGAATAAAACCCTGTGAGTCTAGTTAGCACACTCGAGTGGATAACTGATTGATTTAAGTTGAAAACTTTAGTTCAAGATTTGTGACAGTGGTCACTTCAAGCCAAAGCCTAATCCCTTTGACGACGCGATAAAATACTAATACCATGAGACATTCACGTTTACCTAGCTTTAAACCACTATCAGTAACATAAGTCTGAAATTATGAAGCCATCTACAGCACTACAATCAAAATTTTGCCACATAAACTGCTTCACAGTTGACTTCCATTCAATACGAATTGAAAAGAATAAAGCTAACTATACCACTTACAATAATGTAAGCTAGTCGAATCGACATGAATGTGAATTGATGGTGCTGCTATACTATCAGCAAACTGAAACTTTTATACAAGAAGTGGAGTGATATAATCATCATTGGTTTGTGGGGGGTTCTAATTTTCCGGTACTTGGAGACCGACTTTAGCGGCGGTTTTGCGGACGTTGTCCTCCTGGGTCATCGTCAACCCCGGATTGTACCGTTCCAACAATTCCATGTACTCCCGCTGAGAGCGTAAGAACTCGTGGACGTTGTTAAAGTGTTGCAAGCTGTGCATCTCCAGGATCTCGGTGTGAGGCTCGGTGGCAAGTTTCTTAAAGTTGGTGCTGTCGAAACGGAATGGGGGCTTCGCTGAGTTCAAATCGGCGAGCTTGGCGTCAATGGGACCCACGGGTTGGCGTTCCTTCACCGCGGTGAGTTTCTGGTAGTTGAGCACCGCCCGCTTCTTTTCCACGTCACGAGAGTGTTGCACCTGAGCGGTGTTCTTAGCAATCTTGCGGGCCTGCTTCACAAGCTGCTTATAGTGGTGTTTGAACATTATCTGGGGTAATGGACACAACGATTAGTGACGGGGGAGGGTACGATCTAGGGTGCGATGCGCGCACCACACGAACCGTGTACCATAGTGGTGCGAGTGCGAACAATTGTCTGGAGAAACCCGTGCGACGAGGAAGGCCATGGGGTGGGGAGCCCGTGCGAAAACTCGGCGCCCGCCGTGCGAAGGATTATTTGGTGACCGTGCGAAAATTTATCAGTTCAAGACGAAAATTGTTACCAGATTGTTACCGGCTGAATACGGGTGCGACGGGTCGAGGGTGCCACAGTTTTAGGGTTGGAGGGGAGCCGCCCGCTGCCCGACGGGAAATGCCGTGGCGGCTGCATCGCCTCTGCTGAAAATTAGCGGCTAGTGGGACGCCAGAGTGACGTTTTCGGTGCGGCCAGCGGGACACAGGCCAATGCCCGACGCACCGGCGTCTGCGATGCTCTGTAGTCCGAAGCCCTCCCGAGGGTCACGGCGCCATCCTCCGGACCCCGACCTCGGCCCCGCCACCTGGAAACCCCCGGAAAAATTCTATCATAATGGAATAAACATGATGACGGCTTAAACTATCATCATCGTCAATTCCGGTATTGTTGTATTTGACGGAACCCGTGGTCGACCGCGTCGGCGCCGGGGCTCATCGCTGAGACATTTTCCGCCGTAAGCCGTCCGGAAGCTGTTGGCCAATCACAGCGCGACGAGTGCGGGCGCCACCTCGGGCTCGAGCTTCCACCCCTCTCTGGGCCAAAATCCACCAGTTAAACCCGGCAATTCCCGTCCACTCCCATCAATTTCCACCAAACTCATACTTAAACCCCCCACCAATTACCCTAGCCGACTCACAACCTGTAAACTACACTTCGACCGCTACATTTCTCGCTGCCGCTGTCGGGCTTCCCCTCTCTCGGAGTAGGTGGTTGCTGCGATATTATTGACGGTGGCCCTGCATGGGAGCCTTGCAACCCGCCATTGCAATTTAAACCCAGAAAAAAAAAGCCCACCCTTCTCGTTACCACTTGTCACCATGTTGAGAGCCGTGAACAGAGTAAGTACACTTGGAAATGGATCAACGGGAACACCCACGTGGATTGGTTGTTGGCTGTTAGCTAGTGGCTGCTAGCATGAGCCGATACTTCCGTGGTTGTTGATGTTGTCGTCCACCCCCATCGTTCCACCCACTAACATCGTCTAGACTCTGATCCGGGGCCTTGCCCTGTATGCGCTGCCCGAGGCGGTGTTGCCCAAGAAGTACGGGGGCAAGTACACCGTGTCGTTGATCCCCGGGGACGGGATTGGTGCCGAAATCACCGACTCGGTCAAGACGATCTTCAAGGACCAGAACGTCCCCATTGAGTGGGAGATTGTCGACGTTTCCGGTTTGGAAAATGCCGGCGGCTGCGGCATCACCGAAGCCGTCGACTCCCTCAAGCGGAACAAGGTGGGGCTTAAGGGGATCTTGCACACCCCTACCACCGGTAAGTCGCTCAACGTCGCCTTGAGAAAGGAGTTGGACATCTACGCCTCGTTGGTGCTCATCAAGAACATCCCCGGTGTCAAGCTGAGAATCGACGGCATCGACTTTGCCCTCGTCAGAGAAAACACCGAAGGTGAATACCTGGGTTTGGAACACCAATCGTACCCCGGTGTCGTCGAATCGTTGAAGATCATGACCCGGTTCAAGCTGGAACGGATCGCCAAGTTCGCCTTCGACTTCGCCAAGAAGAACAACCGTGAATTGGTCACCGCCATCCACAAGGCCAACATCATGAAGCTCGGTGACGGTTTGTTCCGTCAAACCGTCAAGGACGTCGGTCAGGACTACCCCGGCATCAAGGTCAACGATTTGATTGTCGACAACGCCTCGATGCAAGCCGTGGCCCACCCGCAACAATTCGACGTGTTGGTGACCCCTAACCTTTACGGTACCATCTTGTCGAACATCGGTGCCGCCTTGATCGGGGGTCCCGGTTTGGTCCCCGGGGCCAACTTTGGTCGTGAGTACGCCTTGTTCGAACCCGGTTGCCGTCACGTCGGGTTGTCGATCAAGGGTAAGAACTCGGCCAACCCCACCGCGATGATCTTGTCGTCGGCGATGATGTTGAGACACTTGGGTCTCAACGACCACGCCGACCGCATCGCCTCCGCCACTTACGAAGTGTTGCTGGACGGCCAGGTCCGCACCCCGGACATTGGTGGCTCCAACACCACCACTGAGTTTACCGATGCCATTCTCGCCAAATTGAACTAATGCATTATGATATAGACCGGTGAATAACGAAATCCATACACAGTTTTAGACAAGGCTACTGCATAATTACTTGTAGACGACATTGACAAGCTGTTTTAATTCAACGTATCTGCTATCCCTACTTAAATACTAAGACTGACACGCAAGAGACGATGCTTATCAGTCAAGCATAAAAGTCTTGTAGAAACGTGATGTTGGGAGATAATTTTAAGAGATATTGCTGACAGGTAATGCTGAAAGTGTCCAATCGTGACAAGCGAAATCACTCCTTCAGACGGTATGCTATCGTTAAGTCAATTAAGGGATATACTCTTTAAGTAAAACATCGACCATGGCAAGAAATTAAACTGAGTTGGATATAATCCTCTCCTGTTCGCTAGAATCATAGTTTCGTCTCGCTCCTTCGACCAACAGACGACATTGCACGACGATATTGACCTGACATCCACCTCAAATGATAATTTCAGTCTAGACTTGTTCGCCAACATATCATTGAAACGATTACCACGTCTACCTGAAATTTCGGTAGAGAATATATCGTCTGATGACAACTGAACGGCACGTGGTTGATATCGCCGCTATTGATGGTTGCATAATGCTCATAATGGTCCTTGGGCTTGATTGAAATCCATTTCGGTTGTCCACAGTTTTTGTCACTTTAAATCCATAATAGTGATTATGGCAGATGTCAGTGACAGGCGAGAGGCGGTGACTTCGATTACATTAAATTGCTTTACTTTACTGAGGTTACATTAATACGCCCGTTGCTTTTACATAACCACATTCAGTTAACCGAAGGGCACTCTCAGTGGGAGGTGACCTCTTTAATCGCATATAACGAAAATATATACGAGAAAAGTTTATCAATTATACGGAATTACGCCAACAGCCAAGACCAACTGGCTCATCGATACTATTGGTCAAGCCCCCACCAACGGGGGTCCTCTGGCATAAAGCAATGTTCATCGAAGCCGGTCCAAATGAAATTCACCGGGGGTCCGAACCGGGAATACGGTGGAGCAACCACAAAATCAGGGCCGTCCACACACTTTTGCACGCCCAGCAAAAGAAACCCCCGGGGAGGCGGGCCATGCTTTTTGAAGCGACCACGTTTGGGGGACGTGGCCTGCGTTTAGGCTAACTTAGTTTTGCTTGAGAGTGGGGCTACACAGTTGCTGTGTGTGGGGTGGAGTCTGGGTTTTTTCGGGTGGTGCCGACACTCACCGGCGCCGTGACTGTCGGAAGCAACATTCTAGCCGCAACACCACACAAAAGTGGTGTCATCCAGTAAGCTGCTAGCGGGTGTTCTGAGGCAGGCCGACCCGGGTAAAAGTTGCCTTTGAGTAAATTAGACATTGTCGACGGAGGCCAGATATATTTAGCTAGAGCTTCGTTTTGTACCCAGGCCTGTGGGTGGGCGGAAGCCTTCATCCGAGAGGGGTCGCCGCCCGACACAATGCCCCTTTTGCCCTTTGGTTAGCGGTGTTTGAATCTAACGCCGTCGTTACCTAATGGGGGAGCCAACTTGGTCGTACAGTGATGCTGGGCACGTTTTCCACCGCTTTAGCATTTAGCACAGCAAAGATTATATAGTTAAAAATAGGAGACTTCGTGTAACCGAAAAATGATCCGAAGGGCAAAAGAAAATGGTGATAGCCCTGATAGGGTCCATGGTAGGGTCCAACCGTGTTCGGATTTTAGTTCTCTGGGACCGTGGTGGCTGTGGGGGGACCCGGGTCCAATTATGGTGGTATTTCGATAAAAGCAAAAAGTGAGGCGATGACAGAGCACAGTGCTCAAATGAGGCCGTGGGTGTGGGCCACAGGACGGCCACAAGCAATTATGTCATCTGACGGAGAAGTGGACACGCCAATTGCGCTACTAAATTGCGTTACCGTTGGAATTGACGGGCTGCGCCTGGTTTAGATGTCTGGTTTTGGTGTAAATGTGCAGTGTGGCTTCGATGATTGGAGATGGGTCCGCTGTCGATGACATAAGCGAGAAGACAGCTACGTTGGGCTGCGTAACCACATGTATCCACAGACACAACTTAAGTGCATGCATTGCATTTGGTATGATGGTAGCACAGAAGAGAACGGCCTCCGGCGGCCACCGGGGGATGCTTCAATTCCCTAATGTTTACCGTAGAATCGTCTGCCGTTTTTTATTTGTTTCAAAATTACAATCGTAGTCGGGGCATTGTTGACAAAAAAACTGGGTCCCTCTCGGCGTCGATGAAGTGATTGTGCGACGTACGCCATGTTAATGTTATCTCTCGCTGCCAGGTGCACGATCGGGCATTTGCAGGCGAGGCAGCAACTGGGCAGCATGCCTGCCCAGTGAGCTCACCTTATGGCAGGCCCCCAGAGGACAGTGACAGGCTACGCAAGTTTTCTCACATCATCAGCAATGCTGGCGGACAGCGGCGACCATTTTTTTTTTTTTTGATCGACAAATCTGGTGACAAAGATTGTCGTGTCTTGCACAATTAGTACCTAGTTGTAAAACGTTCCCCGCCGCTAGTATACACACCTCGTCAGACCCCACACTTGGGGCGGGTATGTTTCACCTCCACACGGCTCAGGCCATTGTCGTCGTTCCAACTTTGGTCTGGTTCGAAAAATCGACCACGCTGGCCGCCATCGTGACCCTAGTCTGAGACAGGTGCTGCTGCTACTGTGGCCCATAGGGTTAGTGGCGTGGTATCTGCATCGTCAGACAATATATGTACCCACCGGTTGTGTGATCACGTTTTCCTGCACGTAATTCAAAAACTTGTCAATGGGAACAGAGCCGCTTTGTCAGCACCACCGCCTATGTTACGGTTTTCCGAACTTTTTAAACATCGCCAATGGATTCGGGAGTTGATAGATGCCCCAAACAGCGCGGGATTCGCCGCCAGCGACTTCCCGAAGTCGTCGGGACCACTGGCCGTGTCTAGGCCTCGCTCATGGCACAAAACCCAGCCTACTTTATCATCCGGCATGGTGCGTCGTGCCCAGTTGAAAAGTTGATTAAAAAATAAATCTACATGGTATCAACGTCATAGGCGTGTACGACCAAAGATTCCGCCGCCTCTACCTAAAGAAGTGTGAAATATATTTGACACGCTTTCCCCCACCACCACGCCGATTTTTCACGTACTACCGTTATTTTCGAGTTCGCCCCTGTTGCGTGTTCAGTGATACCTTGCTAGCCAAAGGGGATCGTATCTACCAGTTTGGAGCCTGTGATTAGCTAATCATATTCCCCCTTTTGCCCATAACCTATATTACCCAGTTAAAACCAACTTTAACCCCAGAAAGAGGCCACTGAATGGAATTCCTGGTGTTTGATGTCAATTTTGACGAGTGGGACTGGCAGCGGCCCCCGGCGCCCCCGGCGCCCGACGCGCTGGAAACCCCCCTTGAACTGGTGCTCTCGGCGCTGATGGCGTCAAGCCAACCACCACCGCTACTACTGCTGCAATGGCTGCTGCTGCTGGTGCAAACGGTGCCGCCGATATTGACGCTGTCGCAAACGCTGTCGCCTCAATATCGTTACACTCAGTCGTTCACGTTTTCGCCATCGCCCAAGATGGCGCTGCTGGCGCTGCTGCTGGCGCCTGAAAGCACTATCGACGTGGCCGCCGACTCTCTGCCAGCGCCCACTCTCGTTCACCGCCACTCGGAGCCTGTCGGCGCTACCGAGGCGACGGTGGACCCTAAGGACCTTTTTGGCGGCACCAACATGGCCAGCTTAGGCCTGTGGGGGGCGCCGGCACTGGCGACGCTGGCGGCGCTGTTCATCCTTGAGCGCGGGCGCTCGCAGCTGTTGGGGCTGTTGCCCTTGGACTTTTCTTCGTTTGGCTTCGACTTGACGGCGCTGGCAACCGTGCGGGATACGGTTGCCGACGTGCTGCCGTTGGGCGAGGTTGCCGAGGCGCTGATGCCGGATATGGTGCCGGTGCTCACGGCTAATGATACCCTTGACGATGTCCTGTTACCGGAGATGCCACTGTTGCCCACGATGCTGATGAGCCTGTTGGCGCTGATGCCGCCGTTGCCATTGCACGCGGCTCCGTCGCAGGCGCCGGCGCCGGCACCGATGGCAGCGCCGCAGGCAGCGCCAGTGGCGACGTCGCCGGTGGACACTGTCCCCGACTCGCTGGCGTCAGCAGCGGCGCCGGCGCCGCCGCCACGCAAGCGCGCCAAGCTGGAAGCGATGGCGCCGACGTCGCCGTCGCTGGCCAACCCGGAAGACATCGTCTACCCGTGCCGCGAGTGTGCCAAGGTGTTCAAGCGGCTGGAACACTTGAAGCGCCACGTGCGGCTGGTCCACCTGGACATCCGCCCCTTCCACTGCAGCTACTGCGAGAAGAAGTTCAGCCGGCTGGACAACTTAGCCCAGCACACCAAGACCCACTTGCGCACCGACGCCGACGGCAACACCCTGGTGGTGTATGGGAACCCCAACTCGCGCAAGCGCAAGCTGACGAGCGGGTAAAGGAATAGAGATTGTTATTGGGAACCGGGATTTAGTAGTATACTTTGTATTTCATCGTTACCCGCCATCTGGCATGGCAAATAAATGGATTGGTACTGGCAGGTAGTGGCATATTGGTACTGGCAGAGTAGTGGTAAAGAGAGGTGTATAGTGTTTGTGGTAACGACAAGTTTGTGGCGGCGACAAAGTTAGTGTGGTGTGTTTGTGTTTGTGGTACGAGTGAAACTTTGTCCCTATGCGAACGAGTGAAACAAGTGCCAAGTTAGAATGTGTTAGGAATGTTGGCCTGTTTTGTATACTACTCCACAGCCTCCATAGCCTCACAGCCTCCTTACTTCTACAGTCTTCAAATTTATCACTGCTATTACTGTTCTGCAATCACTGTTGAGTTTCGATGGTTAAGGTGTTGGCATCCTCGTAAGGTGGGTGATAGATAATCAGTCGAGCTAATCAGCTCATGCACCACACCGCACCCAAAGCGCCAGATTTACCCGAAATGCCGTGACCTATTTGGTGATTTGTAATCGCAGTGATCAAATCATTCACCCACTCGAGGACAATTGCTTATGCTGATGCCAGGCATCAAATATTTGGGGCGGTGGCATTCCCCTCACCTTTGAGCCCATTGGAAGGCAAGCCTCTCGGTTGCGAGCGTGAGGGCACAAACTCCATTTCCCGAATCAGCGACACAATTACGCCCAGCTGCATATCACCTCCATGAACCTTAATTACCCTCAAGTGCAGGGGCGAACAAAGAGCGGCGACTATAGCCGACTGCCTGATACAAGCAGAACTGAGAATGGCGCATATTACTAGCCCTGGGCCTGCTAGCCCTGGGCCCCCCACGACCCTGAAATGGACCGCCCCCCCATAATAGGACATTTCGCACTATGATTCCGCTGGACCGAGTGCAAGGACAATTAGAATTCGTCGTCGTCATTGTAAATGACGCCCTGACAAAAATTGCTTGATCGAGCAACGGGCACCCAATCACAGGCGAGACGCCGGTTGTTCGGGTGTCGGGGCCAGAGGGGAAAGTCACCCGCCTGAGCGGGTGAGGAGAACAAGCATGTTTTGTCTTCCCCCCCACTCCCCTCGTCTAGCCACGATTGAGAACGATGAATGACGCTTGCGGTTTGCTGTACTACGCCGCCGTATCAGCACTGTACCCAAGAATCTGGGATGAAAGCTCGACTCACAGCGCAGGGCGTCGAGTGGTGGGGGCAATGGTCACCCTAAGGGGTGATGGTGCCTGACAGCCATTGTCGGAGATCCTTTGCTGTCGTCGCTTACGCGGTGCTGCACTGAATTATATCCATTCTTGGTGAGTCAGGGCTAGGCTAGTAGATAAGCACGAAAAACTAACACCTCATGACTTTTTATCTGGAAGTGGTGGTGGGGTGCCCAGCCTTTCGCGGATTTCGAACCCGATAACCCGAGTCTCCTCCGCAAAAATTACATGTCCAGAAGCTGTTTAGAAGCTGTCTAGAAGCCGGTTCTACTTTCCTAGCTGGTGCCAACGAGGCGGAGACCCTTGATGAATAAACTATGAGAGTGGACATCACTCTAGGGTTGATTCATTTGTCAGCTTGGTGACGATAGCAAGACGCTCACTAATGGCTATTTATTCAATTGAACCTGGTTATTACCACCAATTCCAACGGTAGGCTTGAATAAGGTCTCTTACAAACAACAATCGTCTCCTCAATGGCTTGTTCCGAGCCGCCCGGGGGGCTCCGATGATTCCGTATTGTCGTTTATAAGAGTGCCCTTGGATTGCCCTTGGCAAAAGCACAGCGAACGCGCACGTTTACTGTTAGCTTCTAGTGGTGACCCCAAAAAATTCTACACGCTTCCATCGGCTTCGATAGAATTCTCCCAAAATCGATTTGCTTAGCAAATCTTCGACGACCTTCCACGAGCTTCCACCAACTTCGAACTACAAATACCCCCGCGCTCTGGCCCCCCGCCCTCGCGTACGGCATGTTCGGAACCTCATCTTTTTTCGAGTGCGACGGCTATCCTAGTCAACGCCGCTTACCCCCCCATCCTCGCCATACCAGAAGTAGTGCGGCGATGCTGTTGGACCCCGACGATGACATCCAGTACATTGACCGGCTGGACTACTTCCCGGACGGCGCTGCCGACCACATGAACCCGCCGCTACCCCACGACGGCCTCGCCGAAGCGCCCCTCGTCCCCTACTACTACACCAACCCCGTGGCGCCAGCAAACCCGTCCAACCCCCAACCCAACAGCCAGGCGAACCTGAGGCGACGTCACCAGCCGCTGAAACAGCGACAGCCATTCGTGACCAAGATCTGGCTGATGGTGAACGACCCCAAGGCTAAATACATCCACTGGACGTCCGACGGGATGCTGTTTGAAGTGGACCACTTGGACGACTTTACCCACGAAACTCTCCCGAAATATTTCAAACATAACAAGTTCTCGTCGTTTGTGCGCCAGCTCAACATGTACGGGTGGCACAAGGTCACCGACCCCGAGCTGGGGCTGTTACAGGACAAGAAGGCCGCCGAGAAGCTTGTATTCAACAACCCCAACTTCATGAGGGGCCGCGAAGACTTATTGGACCACATCGTGCGCAACAAGGCGCTGAACGACGATCTGACCCAGGCGCTGGCGCAGCTGGTGCTGATGCAGATGGTGCTCAACGAGGTCAACCAGTTGCGGTGCAACCAGATGGCGCTCAACGAGGAGCTCCAACGGCTCCGCAAGGACAACAAGGAGTTGTGGCAGGAGAACTACGTCCACCGCGAACGCAACAAGCAGCAGGCGCAGACGTTGGACAAGATCCTCAAGTTTCTCGCCACCGTCTACAACAATCAAAACAAGCTGTTGGACCAGCTGAGCGCCTCCACTCAACCGCGTCTCATGTTGATGGACCAGGAGTACCTGCCGCGACAACACCGCAACCTGGAGAACTCGCTGATCGAGGAGATCATGCGCAACTACGACTCGCTGCCGGGGCTCACGCCGCCGGGGGCCAATCTGACCCACGCCAACCACTTGCTCCAGCAGATTATCAACAGCCAGGCACCCCTGACCGCCGCCAGCCCGGTGCTGCCCCAGGAACCGGTGGCCACCGCCAACAACATGGTGGTGCCCCAGCCGCGCCATTACGACACCTCGTACTTCGACCATGAGCTGATACCGCCCCACATCCCCGACGACATTAAGACGAAGGTCGACATGCAATCGGGCCTGTTGCAGCAGGTCCAGGACTGGATCCTGAGAATCGCCGACGAACAATCGCCCGACGCTGACCCGCACACCCAGGCGCCCCCGCTCAACTATGACGACTTTGACATGGACGACTTCTTGCTGCAGCCCCCTGACGATCAACAACATCAACAGCAACAACAACAGCAGCAGCAACAACAACAACAGCAGCAGCAACAGCCCCTGAAGAAGCGTCGCCTCGAGGAGTTGGGCTGATAGAATAGTTTATCCATAGCTAATCCATACCCAAAACGGAAACAACTGTAGACAAAGTGTAACTAGGAATGGTGATACCGCCAGTTTATCAATCAATGACCTCCATATTTGTCAGCTCAGGTCACCCCTTCGATGAGGTTCCACAACCTTCCATGAACTGATTCGAAGAATGACAATCACAGAGTGAATGTAGGTAACATAAGCTATTAACCATCTCTATCAGAGGCGTCAATAAAATGAGTTTTGCCACTGGCTTTTGGTCATTCTCGTACGTGATGTGTGTTCTCAGGTACACACATCTGAGATCTCACTTTCAAAAGTGTTTTTTCTGTAAATCCCTATGGCTATGGCTAGACGGAGAAGACGGATAATAGAGAATCGTCGTGTCACCCCGTCGACCTCGGCATGTCTTGATTTCTAATCCATTGTGGAATTTGACGTTTTGTGGCGAATTACAGGTGAGAGGGCGTGGGGATCTTTCGGAAGTGCATGGAAATATGCACTGGAAGTCCGTTAAGATGTGATTAGTAAGGTTGTGGCGGATAATCGACCTATTGTTCTGTTCGTAGCGGAAAAATACCCCTACCTAGATCATTAAAGGCGTAAGTGGGGGACCCTTGGTGGGGGGGACCCCTCAGTAGAGTTTCTCTCAACAGAGTGGGGGAACTGTGCGAATCTCTAGTGTGACCCGGCATTTCGCAGTTTTCCAGCCGAACATAGAATTCACATCGCCACGAAAAAAAGAAAATCGTCGCCTACCGCGCCTACCGCGAGAACTAGACAAAAGTCGGGAACTACTGAAAGTCGTAGAAGCATCGGGGCGACATGTGTGTCTTTCAAACGGGCGCGTGTTAAGTCTGATTTAGCAAACGGATATTTGACAGGCAATGTCGCTTGTCAAGTCTTAACAAAAAGTATCGGAAATACACCAAGGTGGCGCCATGCGGAAATGCAACGACGGCCCTGCGTCAATATTCGAGATGTGGCTAAACAAAAACCGCCCGAGACCTTACTGAATAAACTATATAAACTATGAATTTTTCCAATATGTTATCCATTGGCTTTTTCTTCAAGTTGTTCACTCGGCTTGGTCATGAGTCGCACTGACAGCTACCACTAAGTAATGTCCATGTGACAACGCTAAGTGGGGGGCCTCAGCTATGCTCGATGAGATCACAAATCAAGATGTCGTCTACGACACAGGAGAAATCTTTTTGATGACTAACGGCTTAGACATCGATGTCTCGAAGGCTGGTGTCGCCGGAGTGTCGGTTGCTAAAGTGTCTGAGAGAAAAAAAATCGAAAAAAAAATCGTAATAAAATAAACCGTATATAGGTTGCGTGTAAACCGCTATGTCTAATAGCTGACGATGTCGAGACGGTCGACGTCGTCGTCGTCGTCGACGTCGATGCCTTGTTTGTGGTTTTTCCACGTCGAGTAGACGCGGTCGAGCGCGTGCTGAGCCGTGCCCGAGCCGCCTTCAGCCGTCGCCCGGAAGTACTTCATCAACAAGTACTTCTGCTGCTCGTCGTGGCAGTTTAACCCTGCCACGTACATCGGCCACGAGATCATCATCAACAGGCACTTTATGAGCTCGCGGTGCAGCTGGGGCTCGCTGAGCACTGATAAGAAGCGCGTGAGCTCGTTGGTGAGTAACTGGACCTGGGGCAGCGTATGCAGCTCGCCAAAGAACTTGGTCAAGAGCGTGATGAGCGCCGCGAGCATGAACAGCTGGTGGGAGACGTCCATCCACAGCACCATTACTTGCGAGCGCAACACGTCGACGAGGGCGCCCTCGGGGATGGCGGTGGTTTCTGCTTGCGCCTGGTACTCCTGGACGGTGCACACCCCCTGGCGGGTGACGAAGCTCACTTGGAGCTGGTTCCAGAACTCGGTGAAGAGGCGCATGTGGTCCCACGACCCTTCCAACGACTTGTTGAGGGTGCGGCGGCGGCGGCGCTCGGCGAGCGCCTTGGTGAGGTCGCGGAACAACGGGATGGTGTCGTGGTGGGCGCCGGTGAAGATATTAAACCCGTTGGCGCGCAACACGCCGAGGCCGCGGAGCATCTCGTCCTCGTACGGCGTCGGGGTGAGCAACAAGTCGATCTCGTCGTTGGCTAAAGTCCCGCCACCACGCAGCGAGATCCCAGCAAGCACCTCGATGGCGACAAACCACGTCTTGCAAAACACGAGCACCGGCGTCAGCCGCACTCGCTGGCGCGCGAGTTTGAGCAAAAGGTCGCGCGCCCCGCGCAAATGGGGCCGCCAGTCGGGCGCCGCGTTCAGCGCCGTGTCCAGCGTAAGAAGCAACACGGTGACAAGCACTGCCTCAACGTTATGGGTCAAGGTGGCGTTCAGCGACCGCATCGCCGGCCCTAAAAGGCTAAGACACTTGCTTAAGTAGCGGCGGTAGGCGTCGTCGTCGTCCTTTAAGTTGTTCTTTTTAAACAGCAGCTTAGCGCCCTCGGCGAGCACCGCCGCCATCAAAAAAGGCTCGTTGGCAGAGAGCTTTAAAATGATGTCGCGCGCCGGGTTATAGTACTGGCGCAACTGCGCGTCCCACGCCGGCAACGGAAGCACGATGGCGGCGAACTCGGAGTAGAACTCCTCCAAATAGAGCTTCTCGTGCGGCGCAGTGACTTTGATGTATGACAACGGCAAGTTGTGTTCGGGGACCAGCAGCGGCAGCGGCTGGGGCTGCATCATCAGCATCTCGGGAAGCAGCGCCGGGTCGACGCCGTCGACGACGATATCGGTGAGCATCTTGTTCAAGTCCTCGGCCAAGAGATTAAGGTCGTCCGCCAGCAAGTAGACGCTGGCGTCGGGGCCCAGGTTGAGCAAGTTGACGATGGCGGGGTTCTTCAGCGATCCAAGGGGCAGCGGGTGGCCCAGCGACGGTACTGAGGGCTCGGGCGCCCTGTTGGTGGCGGGGGCTGCCTGGGGTTGGTAGGTGGTGTGGTTGACCGCGGGCAGCGCCCCCAGCGGCGCCGGCGAGGTGGTGGGGATCGCTGGCGCCAGCGGCGGGTGGCGCGCCACCAGCGGCGCCATCGGCGGGATCGACGGGAGGGTGGGGAGCAGAAACAGCGGCAACATGAACGCCAGCGGGCTCGGCGGGGGCGGATGTCGCAGTTGTGGGTTGAGCAATAGCAGCAGCAGCGATAGCTGCGATCTCAGCAGCTGGGGCGACAAGTACGCCTGCTGCGCCGGCGTCGGCTGTTGGGAAGGGGCCACCGGCGCCACTGGCGGCGGCGGCGGTGGCGGCGCCGGCAGCTGGAGCGGGTGAGGGCCGGGCTTAAATTGTTTTGGCGGGGGCGAGCGCCGTTCCATGAGCGCCCGCTTCAGCACGCGGAGGACCCGCTCGCCGGCGGCGGGGTACAGACAGTGTTTCTGCAAGCGCACACACTGCCAGCAATGGGGCTTGCCCTCGTCACACTTGATTTTGCGGCGCTTGCACTCGCGGCAGCCTCCTTTGGAGTAGTAGCGCTTGGCGGGCTTAGCGCCGGCACCGTCCATCGCGACCACAGCGAGCGGAGCCAGGAGGGGCGGTAGTAGGGCGAACACTTGGGGTAGGGGCGCTGGGGGTTTGTCGTCGTCGGTCACTGGCACACCGGGGACCGCGGACAGCAAAGACAAAGCCAGCGACGCTCGGGGGAGCGGGGGGACCGGGGGGTTATATACAGCGGGCGCGGGCTCGGGGGGCACACAGGGCGCAGGCGTGGAGGTGGAAACAGAGCTTAGACCCGCTGGCTTCCACGTACAGATACCGGGACGGGCGCTGGTGGGGGACTCGTGGGGGACAGTGGGCTTTGGGGGAAAGGTGCGAAATTTGTCGAGAGCGGCTGGCGCGCGCCGGGCGACGAAGCGACGCAGCGAAAAGTGTCGGCGCCAGCGCCAAATGGCGCCAAAGAATGGTGAAAAGGAGATGGATACGGCCACTACGGAGCTGGTAGAAAGGTCAATCGTACCACCCCCAGAACTGTGATGTCACAGTTATGACGTAGGGGGCGTCGTCAGCGGGCGGCTGTGGGGAGTGCACGGTATCTTCTCGGCGCAATACCAGTTTGGCAATAGAGGTTGTGACCGCGGGTGCCAAAATTAGAGAGAAAACAGAGCCAAATACACCAGTAAAAATTGAATAAAAATCACTAACAGGTAGAGAAAAATTCGGCGAGTACAGTGGTGGTTTAATTATTTCATTTCACTTAGTATGAAGCGAGTTATCAGAGCATTTGGAAGGGGTGGCCGCGGGGTTCCGAAGTGGGGGCCGGGGTGCCAACGTCGGAAAAGTACCAGTTGCCAACGGTGTCAGCTGCGGATATTCGCGCTGCACTCCACGTGTAGGAGGGGAGAGGGGAGGCGAAGGAAGCGTCGGCACCGGTTTTGGTCCGCCGAGGCTTACCTCCCCTCAACGGACAACAATAGTGGCGGTGCGCCTCAGCGGCAGCGACTCCGCTCTGCAATGTGAAAAAAGAGCAACGTGACATCGATGAGGGGGGAAGCGACAATCGCTAATGTCGCCTGGTACCTACGTTTTCGCCACCAACGGTCTAGCAACCAAAGCCCCGACGCCCACCGACTTCGAGTGAAGGAAATTGTCGCTCTGTTGGTCTGGTGTCGTGTTTCTGCCGGTTTTTGTCGGCGAATTTTTGTCGCCATCTGTGTTTTTCCCGCAGCCGCAGCCACAAATGCCGGCGCTTTTGGCCCATTTTGCGGATTAGGCAATCCCGGGCCCCGCATTTGCCGCCATTGTCAGGTGCATGGAAGCCAGCGGTTATCGTTGGGGAGGAGAAAGCGAATAAGCTTCCAGAAAACCACGCCACGGGTGGTGCCACAAAAACCTACGTTGCCGACACAGAGGGACGACGTGCATATCCGACATCAGACTTTTTTCTTTTTTCTTTTCCGGGAGTTGCCATGTGTGATTGTTGTCCCCCAAATGTGTTCCGAAACAGCCCTTAAGGTGGAGTCAGCGGCCATTCCCCGCTTTCAAAGTGACATTTTGTGTCGTTATTCGGCGTGACTAAGGGCCCTTTTGGTGACTAAGGGACCTTTTTCCGTAATCTCGCCTCTTTAGATGTGTTCTGACGTCCTGCGGATTTCTGTCTGCATCTTACGCAAGTTACCGTTCGGGCTCTCCACCTGTCAACCACCGCCACCGCCACCGCCTACCAAGGGCACGACATCTGTCAAAAATATACCTCTTTCTAAAGCTATCAAATTCATCAATTTTTTAAATACCTATGGCCTATTAGAAACCCCAAAACTCCATGTGAGACATATATATACGCGAGGTATGTTCTCGCAAAGCGTGGGCCTGGAAATGAGGCTTGTTCCCTATATGCGAGCGGCAAGTTTCCGTCGCCAAATATTGCTCGTATCTTCAGACAAAAAGCGGAAATACCCCCCCTTCCACGCAGTGACAGCTGCCGGGACCAGCGATAAGCTCTATAGCCCCCACCGTGTGGACATTTCCGCGCAGATGTGCCCTTGCCGTCGGCGCTAGCGACGGAAAACGTCTTCACATCCGCCTCACGTGACTGTGGGCTCTCCCCTCGTAGAATTAGTAAGTGGCTAGTGGCTCAATATTGTTAGATGAGGGGCGACAAGGAGCTCCGACCGTTGCCATGCTTGCGGCTATGGGTGACAACATTGACTTCGTGTGATATGCAGCGACGTCAAGTTGATCCGAAATAGTCACTGCACTGTCACCTACGTCACCACTTTGTACATCATGTGACTTGAGTCAAGTGACCGATGCACGTGACCAATAGTGCTCGTATGCCCTTTTCCCTCTCCCCTTCCTGAGTAGTAAGGGGTGTGTGAAGCTGCCGATTTAGACTTAGCATAAGGATCAAATGCACTCGGATATATTAAATAACATTGACATCTTCAAACCGTTGCGCAACATTTCATACAGTATATATGACCTGATGATTCAATTAACGCCACTGTGGAGAGTACATATATTCAGGTGACCACCCATACACAGCAAAGGGAGGAGTTAGCCAAGGATTTATTCGTCGTCAGAAATCGTATCCATTGCTTCAACTCTTTAAGCATTTCTACACCAGCATTCAACCCCATCTATACAACTTGAAATGCAATCAATTTTCACTAGGGATTGAGGCAATTCTATTAACCGAAACACGTTTATCACCCACTTTGTCTATTTATTAGTTTCCGGAGTTACAATTCCAATTTCGCTCGCCTCAGTCTTTTTTTCCTCTCGCCTCAGGCTTTTTTCTCTCGCTGGCGCGCGCCGCCGGCCTCTATACACACGTCGCGGCCTCAGCCTTTCGCCTGCTTCCCTCCCCTAAACCGAGTTCTAGGTATCCACCTTTGTCTCACCCCGCTCCCCACACCACCCCTACGGAATACCCTTTCCCACTTACTTGATTGTTGTAAATGATACGATATGCCCGGACTACTGCTATCGGCTCGCAACTTTTCCGTCTCGCGGTTGCGCTCCCGCTCGCCCTGATGGGACGTCGAGATACCGCCGCCTCGCCAGCGCTGAAACACGAGCCCATGACGAGCGAGGAGTATTGGACGAATTTGCTTGTATCAGCTGTCCTCGTCCTCATGGGCGGGGTTTTCGCCGGCCTCACTTTAGGCCTCATGGGCCAGGACGAAGTCTACCTCAAGGTGCTCGCTACCCTGGGCGACAAACAGGAGCGACGCGATCTGCGTAAGGTGCTCCGCCTCATTGGCCGCGGCAAGCACTGGGTGCTTGTGACGCTTTTGCTTTCCAACGTGATCACTAATGAAACCCTCCCCATTGTCCTTGACCGTGTCCTCGGCGGGGGCTGGCCCGCCGTGGTGGCGCTGACGGCGCTGATCGTCGTGTTTGGCGAGATTATCCCCCAGCTGATCTGTGTGCGCTATGGCTTACAAGTGGGTGCCTTCTGTGCCCCGTTTGTGCTTATGCTCATGTACGTGATGTACCCGATTGCCTACCCCTGTGCCCTTCTTTTAGACTATATCCTCGGTGAGGATCACGGTACCGTCTACAAGAAGCTGGGTCTTAAAACGCTTGTCACTCTCCATCGCACCATGGGTGTCGAACGGCTTAATCAGGACGAAGTCACCATCATCTCCGCCGTTTTGGACTTAAAGGAGAAACCAGTGCTGGAAATTATGACGCCGATGAACCGCGTGTTCACCATGAGCTCAGATACCGTGTTGGACCAGGCCACCGTCGAGGAAATCTTTAATGCCGGTTTTTCGCGAATCCCTATCCACTTGCCTAACGAACCGCTTAATTTTGTCGGTATGCTCCTAGTGAGGGTGCTCATTTCCTACGACCCCGAAGATGCGTTGCCAGTACTGCTGTTCCCCCTCGCTACGCTTCCGGAAACCGGTCTCACTACGCTGTGTCTTAATATCTTAAACTACTTCCAAGAGGGTAAGTCGCACATGATCGTGGTGTCGGAAAAGCCCGGCGAGCCCACCGGCGCCGTCGGTGTGTTAACGCTTGAAGATGTCATCGAAGAACTTATTGGCGAAGAGATTGTCGACGAACTGGACGTCTACATCGATATCAACCGCAACATCAAGCGCAAGCATCCCGGTCCGTTGCTGAAGCGCAACTTGTCGTCGTACTTACACATGTTGTACAAGACGCTGGCGGTTACCCTGAAGCGCAATTCCATCGACGGGGTGCTGTCGCCGCAGGCCACTCCTCAACCACCTCAGGATGGCATGTTTATGCCACGCAACTTAGCCGCTCACCCGTTGGACGTTAACAAGCTGTTTGTCACCATTAAGCGCCCTGGTGTGTTGCCGGGCCCTGCTGACGCCAAGCACGACCCTCAACACGATGTGTTTGTGCTGGAAGACGGCGCTCTCGAACAAGCGGCGGAAAACACGCTTCAGAACCATACTCCGGCCAACCATAACGGCAGCCGGACTCTGAACGAGTACTACTGTGGTCAGGACCACGCCAGTGGCAACGGCATCCCCATCACCGGTAGTTCCAACTACAACCAAGAACATACGGAGGCACGCCTGTATCGCACTGGTGGCATTGTTGAGCTGGTCGTGAACGTCGACGGTGTCCACAAGATCATCATCGAGAACGTGTCGGATAATGAACCCGAATTACCCCCCTCCGACGAGATCCCAGCGTCGCCCGAAGTGACCCGGCAAGCGAAGCGTAAACTGAAGAAGAAGCGGCTGAAGAAGAAGAAGCTGAAAGCGGCAAATGAAGAGGAAGTTCACGAATTGTTGAACGAGTCCGGAGACAATGGCGATAACTGATGCTGATTAGTAAGGAAGAAACTCTATACTGTTCCACGACCTATATAGTTAATTGCACATGCGATCGTTTATCATCCTCCTTTTTTTCTGGACTCCATGGCATACTCGTTGAGGCCAGGGTCATGGTCCATATCTGTCTGGAGCTGGAATTGCTGTTGGCGGTACTGCTCTCCGAGAGTTTGTATGCGACCGTATGACTCTTTCAACTCTTGTTCCACCAGAGCGATGTCGCCTTCCATCTGAGCGTCGGCGTCATCAGGGTCGAAGCGGTTCACCATCCCCGTATAGCTCAGTAAGCTACCAAAATAGACCTCCAGCGCCCGGATAAAGTGCTCGATAATCGCCAACACCCCTTCGATCTGTTGCGAGTAGGTGACCGCCGATATGGAGCCGAGATCGGAGTCCAGCAAAAGCTTGTTCGACAGAAGCTGGTCCAAGTAGTCCTGGTGACTGGCAATGATCTCGTCAATGGTAAGCTCGTTCATGTTGTGGCTGGCGTGATCAGGACGAGCAACTTGCAGCGAAGCGATGCCCACCAGTGCGAGGAAGTTGGGGTTCAACTGGTCAAGATCGGGCTGAGCGGTGTTCACCTTAGATTTAAAAAACTTGCCTGCCATTTGCTTGAATGCTGGTTCAATTAAGTCAAACAGAAGGTAATAAATAAGCCAGTCGATAAATTGTACCATTATGAGACGGATACATCCAACTACTCGTGCCGACTTAGGTAGCCATCGAGCCATAGCAAGGTTTTTGACACTGGCAATCTCACGATAAGCACTACCGTTGGCTTGGACAAAGTGTTGACCAAGCGCAAAGCCGGCCACTCGCACTCGTAAGAGAAACGTGCACATCAGACGGTAGCGAGGCATTTGTGATTGGAAAAGGAAGTTGATGCAAAGGTCGTCGATGCGGTAGTCGATGGAGAACACGTTGAGTCCAAGACCCTGAGGGGTATCTTCGGAAATGTATGCTTCAAGTCGGTTTTGGTAGCGGCTGTTCTTCACCCCCAGAATGCGGATCAGTTCCAGTAAAGCCTTGGCTAGCTGGTTAGTGGTAATTCGGCCCAAATCGTCGACCATATTGGGGCCCAGGACGATCATAGCATCAATAAAATCGCTCGCTTGGGTGAGGTAGAACCGCTTGAAGTTGGTGATGTGGGCAAACATATCATTTTCGCTGCCTTCGAGTAAAAGAGTGAGACCATGAAGCAAGTCACTATACTGTCGCAGCACAATCTCTGAAATCTCGTTGATGTCCATATCTTTAAGCCCTGAACCCTGTTGGTTGATGATGTAGTCGTAGTTTTGTCGGTACTCCGCCAACCACTGTAGCTGCTTGCACTTCTTGAGGAATACAAGCATCTTACCAATCTGGTATATTTTGGCTCCCACGGAAGCGGGGATAAATGCAGGTATCATTTTTGCGTTATAATGAACTATGTCATTGAAATCAGTGGCATCATCGTTAATTGTGATGAAGAACTCCTGCAGATCGTCGGTTAAATTACCGTCAAGAATCCAGTGATCTAGCACGTCATAGTAGGGGGAAACAATGCTATGAAATAAGTCCAGACACAACTCCTTGATGCGTCGGTCGCCAAACTTGGAGAGCTCATCCACCCGTGAGAGGAAGGTGTAACCGTTGACGTCAAGCAGGCCCACAAGTCCGTGTAGTAGCCGAAGAGCATAGATCTGCGACATCACGGGCCCGTAGACCCCGATGACGGTGGTGGGCGGCCCCTGAATGGCGGTGCCGGTTGCAAAGAGCTCATCGATAAATGTCAGATACTTGTTCAAGTAGTCTTCACTGGCCGACAAAAATGCTGTTTTGATTGGAGAATCCATTTGGCCCCGGTTCACAGTGCAATTAACTACTAACAGCTTGTACAACACTGCTGCCTCCACGATCAGCGCCAACATTCGCAGGTTCCCCACGGTAAACTTCTTCCGGAATGCCGCCAGGGCTTCTTCGTTGTTGAAGTATATGAGTCGGGTATCGTGGCCTAATAGCGTGTGCTGGAGCGTCTTGACATCCTCAGGCCCCATCGGAGTATAGTCAGGGTCATTGCTGCCATATTCGTCTTCCATCGAGCCAGCGGAGTCATACTGACCGTAGCTGCTACCGGGGTAGCCAAATGTTGATACTAGACGTTGCGGCAGTCGCGACCTCAGTATATATGGCGCCAGTGACGGCTGGCCAAGTAAAACTGAACGGGTCTTGTGAATCCTCAGGCCGCGGCGAGAGAGGGATTCCGCGTACAGCAGTGCCGGACGAATGCTGTTGGATGGCTGGTAAGACGTAGGTCGCAGTGGTTGCAGTGGCTGATGGGGTAAGGAGAGGATAAACACAAGGTACCGCGCCACCTGTTCCTCGGGCGAAAACGACAGCGCGTTACCGTGGCTGGCTTCGTCCCTCTTAAGCTCCACTAACTGGTGGATAAGCTTTTGAAGCCGTGTCCACTCCAGGCGCTTGCCCCGAGCGACGAGGCTCTGCTGGACCTCAGCCATCACCGTGGCGAGGTCGTAGAACTGCGACTGCTGGCTCAGCTCGAGCAAATACAGCAGCATGTCGGAGGCGACCAGCGCCGTGTAGGCATCGCCCAAGCTCAGCAGCACGAGCAGGTGGACGAGCCGCTGGACATACGCCGTCGTCAACTCCTGGGGGTTCATACAGGGTCTACGCGACTCGCGTCTCGAAAAACAATAAACACGTAGGGAAAAGAACTGAGTACAATGAAGGAATTGGTAGCTACGAGGATGGATTATGGAAATATTGGTAATTACATTGACGTGTGAAGAATGTTTATGATTATCGGTTTTGGTTTGGTCTTGGAACCAAAATTGCGATAGATGTTAAGGGTTAGCCCACACGGCTGAATGTAAAGTCTCAAGCATCACAAGCTTATATAATTAACTCCTTAAATTACTAGCGTTTGACATAGATTCAATGGTTTGTATTTAGTTCGTGTGCATTCATACTATCTAGTTGTCGTGTTCAGTTGTCGTTCTGGTTCTGCAAGATGCGGAGAATGAACAAGAACAAGTTGACCACGTCCAAGTACAATTGCATTGCCGACATGATCTCATCGTCCAAGTGGACCTTCTTCATGATCAGCTGGGTATCGACAATGACGTAGACAGCAAAGATCAATGCGCCGAGGCCAGCATACACCATCTCCACTGTCAGCAGCTGGCCGGGGAAGAACATCATCACGAGGCCAAACCCTAAGAGAGCCCACAACAGCATCCCCAAAACGCCTTGCCACTGAGTAAAGTCATACGTCAGCTGGAATGCGAAGAGAGTGAGTCCAACAAATATGACGAGGGTAAGCAACAACGCCTTCACCACCACGTCCAGCTCCACAAACAGACACATGAGACCAATTCCATACAGCTCACAAATGGTGAAGCCGGTCAACAAAAATAAATTAAGCGGGTACTGCTTAGCCTTGAACGCAGTAGCAATCAAAAACCCAAAAGTCCCCACAATGCTGACAATGTACAACCACATGTTGTTCATACACCATTTCTGGAGATCCGGGTTTGCTCTGATACCCCACCCTACGGCAACAGTCAACAAAATTTGCACGGTAAGCAAAGCGTACACTTTACGGATGAACATTTGGCGGACACTCAAGTCACACCCGGCCACGTTCACTGAGTACTTGAAGTCATCGTCCAAGGGGTCAGCGGAGGGACCGGTGCGGACCTCGTCTTCGTAACCAGGAGGGTTGGCAAGAGGAGTATAAGACATCGTCTTGTGGTATTTAGCTAGGAATGCTGTGGGAGGCAAATGGCACTATATACATCACTACTTAGAGCGGGCGCGGCGTTATCAGTGTGCAGGTGCCAGCATTCCCCATCCCAGTCTCGGCAACCACGGAGTGTGACCACACCCTCCAGAACATTCTATGAGTATGGGAGTAAAACAGTTTGTCTAGTAAAACCATAATAGTGTTTCTAAACCACGGAGCTCTTTCTATCAACAGAAAAATACCTGATTTACAGTAATTGTCATAATACTCGTGCTTGTCTTCAGTCGCACTGTAATGACCGAAACGGCGCCTTCGGGCCATACGTGCCTACACTTTCGTATATCCAATATCCTTTAAATTATCCTGCCTATGTTTAACTAGTTTGTCGGGCCTGCCCACGTTTAGAATTGCTCATCGAATCTCAACTCACCGAGAGGAGGACGCACCAACTTGATCGGTTCTCCTTCCAAGTGGCGCTTTCGCCCCGGGTTGCTTTCAGGGAGAGTCTGCACTGGCAGCATCCCCCAGTCACCCAAGTTCAGCCCCAGCATCGTGTCCAACGTCAGCCCCAGCCCCGCCGAAAGCGCCGGCGGCTTGTCCATCAGCGGCGGCAACGGCACCCGCGAGGGGATGTCGGTGGGCACCTTGTAGCCCATCGCCACCAGCTGGCGCACTTTCATCCCCACCGTGGAGAGCTGGGCGTGGATATCTTGGTCCTGCGTATATGATGGCGTCGATACCGCCTGTGAGGTTTGGGTGTGTTGGCGTTTGTACATTTTGGAAGGGGGGCAACAGTAATAGGTTTGGTGCGGGCAAGAGGCTTCCTCCCCTCTGTTACCGCGGAAAAATGATTGGCAGGGCTCGGCGTGCGCCTACCAAAATTACACAAACAATAAGTTTAACCCGTTTTGGAGGAGACGCTAGCCACGCTCGCTTGCAGGTTCCGAGACTTACTTGTAGCTAACCAACCTTAGTTGCAACCGTGTTGAGCTATCAACTTCACCATATTAGAATGAAACAGAGGCGGGCATGGTAAACTCGTACTAAAGTCATCACCACCGCATTAGCCTCAAGTCAAAGCGAAACAAAACCTGTACCATCACATTTGGCTGTAACTTATGATTGTATCGTACAAGTAGAACGTGTTTGCCAGTAGACTAACAGGCAGAAAACAATGGTGCTCGTGTCAGTACATTCCGGGGCCATGACGGTCACTGAGAAAGTGTCGGCCACGGGGTCTACGATGTCTAATCTACAACGTGCCTTGGACACGACGTTAACCCCCAGCACAAGGTTTTTTTGCCCGTTAGCGATTATTGGGTTGACGCGGTGCCTGAGCCCGCCGCTCTATCAGGACCTGGAGGTACCTGCAGGACGATCTCCCTCGATTAAGCGAAACCGGTGCCTAATCCAGCCACCATAACCCTTGGGCTCCCGATGCGACACGCTAGACAGCGCGTACCGCGTTTTCGTATCAAACTATAAATACACAACGTTCACCCCACTACTAGGTTTCTCCAGGAGGGGCTGTTGCCTGGGAAACTTCAGCTTTTCCTCTCTCCGATTTTCAACTCGCAGATTGCCTGCTTAGGACCCAGGCAATCTGTGAGGGCGAAGTCACCCTTCCTTGTTGGTACTCGTGGCCCGTCACCGCCCTCTCGGGGTTAGCTCGAAGCGGCGGAGGCATTTTGCCATGAGATGCGACGAGGGAGTTATGCGTAAGGCAGGCGCCAATCTCCAGAGGGCTCATGGTCTTCCAGTCGTGTGGTAGCGATTGGAGGCCTGAGTCCTCTTTCCTTCGCCGCCAAACATGGTAGCGCCAATTTCGATTATATATCTTTCGTTTTGTTTAGCTTTTAACTACACGTTTTCAATGAAATTTATTTGTAGCCGAAATTTCAAGTTGTTGTACGGCTGATTTAGGCATACTGTGAGAATATGCGATGAGAACGCATATTCACGCTTACTTGCATTTTATAGTAAATTGTCAATTCAGAATAAAAGAAATAGGTATGTGACTAACTAACCACCGAACTTGACGTCAAAGTTGTCGCTGAAACTGAAGCCTTGGTTGTTAACCAAGAATTTAGCCGACGATTCAGCCACAGCATAAGCGTTGTCCGAAGCGCAACCACAAGGCTTGTAGCCATCGGGGAAGTTGAAGTAGTGAGGCTGGTTGCTAGAGTCGTAAAGAACGGTGATGGTCTTGGAGAAGTGGAAGGACCAGTTCCAAGGGAAAAGACCGTTAATGGCAGCACCCCAGTCGAAGCTACCGCCAGCCAGGAAGTCGGCGACGGCGTTACCCTCGGGAGCAGGAGCAGGAGCAGCAGCAACGAGGGCGGCAGAGGCAAGGGCAACAATGGCAGTGAACTTCATAATTTGGTGAGGGAGTAGATGATGACAAAGAAGAGAATCGTTGGTGGATCCTGGCGTCAATTTATACCCCATAAATTCTCAAGCTCGAAGTTACCATAATTGGCTCTTGAAGTTTTGGTTCAACGAACAATGGAGTCTTAATTAGTAAAAGTACCGATCACCAGCAGCTCCAACCGACAATGGATTTAATTTCTCGCAACCATCAGAATTGACTGCCAATGATTATCGCATCCATTCTACGTAAATCTTTTAGTTCAATGAGCCTAACGTATTGAACAAGTATGAGACCTATTCCCAATGATAGCGTAGCCGAAGCTAACCGAAGGTCTTGGCGATCGGTCGATAACAGTCTTCGTTAGATTAAAGGTGCAAGGAGATTTGCGGGGATCGACGCGCGTCAATGTGAAAATGTCTGACAATAAAGTGCTTGAGTTGTTATATCGCTGCCCGATGTCTGCGTCCGTGACGTGCTGCTTACTGACACAAACAAAACAATTTCGACGTAAACCTACCACATTTTCGAGACCGCCAGATCGAACACAATGTACTTGTATGTGCCTTTTGAAGATGATCATACCGAAGTTCGTTAGTTCAAATTTTAGGTTCTTAATGGTGTCGGTCTTCATATTACAAGAATATGTGTCAATCTCGTTTACAAAGCATGTTTCATTTCCCGAAGCGGTATGGGGGCTGAGAAAGTCACAAGCCTCACCTAACCATATGGGATGGGGTTGGTGTCGATTGTTGCCCGACGCATGTCGTATTCAATTGTTCGGCCGAAGGGGTTACTTGACGATACTGACAATAAAGACATCATCAGGATTGCATACAAGTTTAAGGCGTTCAAGTGTATAACGAATGGTCTATGATGTGCGAATATCAAAATCGGTGGTGGTCGTGACTTCCTAGAAATAATCGCATATTGAACAGGCCGATTTTTTTATAAGGTATTTCTTGGTTATCTTAGATTTCAAAGACGTGCGTTCAATGCGATCGGGTCGATCCAAGCAGGTGTTATCGATCACAAAAGTGATGTTCCGCCGCAACCTGTATAGCGGCAGTAATCGTGGCCGCTGTTGACATAGCAAAGGGATATATTAAGCATGTGTTCTAGTTTCAGCACTTCTTCCCTGAGAGAGTAATCAGTTAATAATTTCCTTCTATGGAATATGATCTGATTGTTTCTCGATGAAACTAACCTAACTTTGATTCCAATTTGAGTCTGACCAATAAAACACTGGCGAGCAGAATAATGGCTTTTGTCAATTGTTTTGTACCGAAAACTCGCAGGGGTGGTAATATCAATAGCGTTAGTAATTCCTGAATCTGGGTTGGGCCACTCAACTATAGTCAATATGGGGTTCCTTGATTTTCGTTGAATTGACGAAACCTTCACTCACTGGCTAGCCGGAATTGATTAAAATGAATCAACCTTGCCACCCCAATCCTTCGATTTGGAGTTGCAAATTGACCACAATTCTACTATGTTCCCATGGAAGATCAAGTTTTACATACTTTTTTCCGTCTAAAATGACGATTTCGCACCGGTTGTTATTTTCAAGCCATAACGTATCATGCTCCACAAACTGGAAAAGGTAAAATTAGTCAAAATAGCGGATTTGGCGAGTTCAGCATACTACGCATGTCTCAGAAAACACATTTATCAAAATTTTCAGAAATCATCCGGTATGGTGTAATGGCTATCACGGTTCGCTTTCACCGAGCAAATCAGGGTTCGATTCCCTGTACCGGAGTTTCTTTTTGCAATCGTTAATCTAGAGACATTTTTGAATTAATTTTTTTTTTTTTTGGAAAAGCTTTCCCTATTCGTGGATGCAAGTTTTTCATTAACTATTCCATAGCCCGACTAACTAATAACGCTTTCATCATCATCGCTTCAGCCTCACCCAGCATGGTCGCCGCCACCAGGGCAACGCTCTCTTGTAATTGTTCGGTAGAGGACTCAGGTGTGCTCGTGACAAAGCAATCCGTCTCGCAATCGTAAGCAACACCTCTGAGTTGTACCACGCCGAGTACTTGGATCAAAAGCTCGCCAATCCTCGGGGCTCCTAAGAGCTCCTCCAATTGCTGGCGCGAGATTCGAGCCGTCATATTCATGATCAACACGAACATTTTAAGGATGATGGTGGAGTGGAAGTATTCAAAAGTGATGTTCACATAAGGGGCAATGATGGTGTGATACCACTGTTGAAATGACGCCAGCGCAAGTACGCCTGAAACTTGAGCAAGCTTTGCTTTGGCTAAAGGATCGAGGATTTTTTGGTATAACTGGGTGGAAGACAAAGTCTCAAAATGATCACTTTCGGCGTAGGTGAGTTGGTTGAACAGCATAGTAAGCACACAAAACACCATATAGATGTTGACCAAGTCCGGGTCAGTGATGGCATCGGCCAAATGAGTTTCAAACCCTTCAAGGAACTCAGGAATTTGTCCAAGTTTAGCTTTGACAAATAAGTTTAATACTTTGATTTGATTATAGTACGCCACTTCTTCGGGGAAGTCGATTAATGCCACCGAGTTCTTCAGATAGTAAAAGTTCACCTTGGTCAAGATCAGCTCAAGCACCCGGACATCGCCCAGGATGTCGTCTTGCCACAATACCTGGTATAACGTCACCAAGAACTTGAGGTAATTGTACTCCATATACGGTTGAGGACGCAGAGCATCCAACTGCTGGCGGAACTGGAAGGCGCTCAAATACAGCAGCAATGTCTGCAACGCCGGCTGGAGCTTTGCCTGGATGAATTGGACCTCGACAGCTTTGCGCATGTTGGCAAACGCCGTCGACGCCTGGGACGGCTGGTTGACGACCACTGCCTGCGATATCTCCACCTCGGCGTCGGAGACCGTCGCGTCCAGTTGCTTTTGGAGCGCTTCGGTGTCGATGCCGAGGCGGTGGGCGATATCGTGGTCGGTGATCACCGCGCCATAAGTGGTCATAATCGAGCGCAACGAGTCACAAAGCCACTTGATTCTCGGCGTCGGCGGCAGCAGCACATCGTCTAGCGACGATATGAGCGCCTTGAGCTCGGTGAGGTGCTGGTGACACGCCGCAAATGACATGGCGTGGGTCCAGTGAGCGAGTGGCGGCGATGGGACTCGAAACAATGCGAACCGCTAACAATATAGGGTAGCGATAAAGTCACACCAGAAGCAGTCTGACACGACCCTCAAGCATTAGAATGAAACTGTATTGGGGAAATAGTTTAAAATGTTTTGATAGTGAGCGATTGCGATTGTGTTTTTACCGAGCAGTTGTTATCAAAACCATCAATGGCCGCCTCAGCCACCCGTCACATGGTGTTTATCAGATATAAAACTAGAAAAACAATTGAAGTCAAACCAAGAAATACTATAATGTAAAAGCTGACGTTTTTCTTCAACGGTGTATGTTTCGTTGGAAAGTGTTATACAGCCTATGCTTATTAATCACATCGTCACTGTGGCATTTACCTGACAACCCGCACTCGGGTTTGCCTCAGTCAATTCCCGTTATCTCCGGCTAACCCAGCCCCTGAACTACAAACAGCACTTTTTGCCACCTCTACTATTGGCTCGAATGTTCAAAGTCAACAAATTTATATTTTACAAGCCCTCAACAAAGGTATCCGTTAAATTCCGTCGGGTTCCACCACTGACTCCGCGCCGCACCGAGTCGCACCCGAGCCGCACCTGATTCATCTCTCCCTCCCTTTTCCCCATCCGCCGCCGTCGACACGCCACCCGCTTTCACCCCATATCCTACTCCGCCATGGCCGTGATCGAAGTGGAAAACGAGACCCAGTTTCTGACACTCACCAAGGATAAGCCCGGCAAGCTCATCGCCGTGTACTTCCACACCGAGTGGGCGGCGCCGTGCAAGACGATGACCTCGGTGTACAACACTGTCGCCGAGTCCAAGGCCAGCGACCCCCAGTACGTGTTCCTTCTGGTGGACGCGGAGAAGCATACCGACATCGCTGAGCTCTTCGACGTCAATGCCGTCCCCTACTTCATCCTCATCCGCAATGCCACCATTTTGGCCGAGTTCCTGGGAGCCGACCCCAAGGAGTTGGTGAACGCCCTCAACCAATTTGCCGAGCCGCTGGCGGCGTCTTCCACCACCACTGGTGCTGCTGGCACCGCTGCTGCCCCCGCGCAGACCGCCGAAGAGCCCACTACGGCCGAACCCGAGCTGGAGGAAGCACTCAACGAACGGCTCAAGAAGTTGACTAACGCCGCTCCCATCATGTTGTTCATGAAGGGGTCGCCGTCGCTGCCGCAGTGTGGCTTCTCCCGTCAACTAGTGGCGATTTTGCGTGAACACCTGGTGAGATTCGGCTTCTTCGACATCTTGAAGGACGACCTGGTGAGACAGGGGCTCAAGAAGTTCAGCGACTGGCCCACCTTCCCTCAGTTGTACATCAACGGTGAGTTCCAAGGGGGTTTGGACATTATTAAGGAGAACGTTGAGGAGGATGAAGACTTCTTCGAACACGCTTTGCAAGGTTAAATTTGCATAGACTTAATCAACATCATAGTGATCATTTGTAGAGTGGTGTACATCTATGCTCCAATTGCACTGACGCTTCTTTAGTCGTAATTCTTGAAAGCTGTCACCAGTCTATTGTTAGTAATACCAATAAAGGTGAGAACGGATGACGTCTTTGTGCTACATGTATAATTCAAATACTCATATATTCATAAATCATAAAAATAGGTAGAAACTTGGGTGCATATTGGATATCAAAATCAATCATTGGAAAACCTTCAATTGAAGGCCAGTGCAACCGTCCCAGCCCTTGACAGTAAGGGAGAACAGGTTGGGACCACCAGGGCAAGCGTAGAACGATTGCTCGTTGTTGAAATACAAGTTGCCGTCCTTGACGCTGAAACCACCAGTGGCTTGTTGTTCGCCCCAAGGGTCAACGTTACCAACATCACCGTTGTTGCCAACAAACACCCCGCGGCCGTTTTGGTCAACCAAAGTGCCATCATCCTTCAAGATGAGAGTCAAGTCACGGCCAGCAGAGCCACCGACCAGGAACACGTGAGGGTGGGCGTCGTCCTTCTTGATCGGTTGGTTTTGGAAATCGGTACCCGAGTGGATGGCGACGAGGCCAAACCCGTCCTTTTGTTCGAACGCGGGCGGGTTTTGGTCCTCTTTTTGTTGTTGTTGTTGTTGTTGGTTGTCGTTGTTGTCTTGCTTGTCACCTTCATCGTCCTTGTTTTCTGAAGCGACATCGTGAACGTCAAGGGCACGGATGGAGAGACCGGTACCACCTTCGCATTGGTCGGCAACGTTGTCAGACCAGTGCAAGAAGTACTTCTCGCCATCAGTAGGGCAGGCTTCGAACCCATGAGCGCTGTAAGACAAGTGGTCACCGTCAACCGACCACCCGGGCTTGCCTTCGTCAGCAACTTCAACGTCGCCGTTGTCGCCGATGACAATGAACTTCTTGGTGGCGTCGTCTTGGAGGGTGCCATCCTCCAAAAGGCGGAAGTTCTCAATCTTGTCGCCATCCTTGTCGTTCACGTGAACAGCGTCGCCGGCAATGTCGAGGCTGCCGTATTGGAACTTAGACCCCGAGCGAATGATGATAGCACCAAATAACTTGTCGGCGGCCACCACGGAGGCGATAGCGGAGAGAGCAGCAATGGAAAGTCTCATATTTGGTAAACGTGATTTGATTGAAGAGAAAACAAATTGGTCGGAAGGACTGGCGTATTTATAGTTGATTCATTTGCTGCTGGGCCGGATGGTTGCAAATTTTATTAGCTGCAGTTTGAGAGTGGTGCCGCGGGGAACCTCGGGCTCCTCACCTGCACATCAAATATGTTGCATCAAGGAACGATCAAGTTTTTGCGAGCTCGTTTTCGAAACGAGCCAGCCATTAATGAGGAATGCTTGTGAGGCGGGGACCTGAGTTACCGAGATGAATTAGGAGTAAGCAATTAATGACACCCTCAACTAACCACGGCTCAAGGCCAATGCCTGAGGTTACAACTTGTTCATTAGGAATTTGGCCTGGTTGGGGCCGCGTGGTTGCTGCAGGTAATATCAGCAGGTTGACGACAACTAGCGTCGATTTACCATCAAAATATACGGCTTCCGTGCTAAAATTAGCCCATCCCCATCTTTCCGGTCATGTTATACCCGACTGCAAATGCGAAGTTGTCAGGTCACGGATTTTCTGCAAGCCTGTGACCTCGCAGGTGCCATTGTTATAGCCACGAGGTGATAATTTGCGTTCAATAGTACCAGTCTCGGGGTTTGACTATGGTCGACATTGGTACTGGTATCATTGATCAATCATGATACTTCGATCACGGAAGAAGCTAAAGTAAAATGCTGAGTTATACCAGTTATAGGTAATGCAGGGGGGTTCAGCATGTTCCTTTTGCCGTCGTCGGTGTTTGTGTCCTCATGTACGAATAATGGTCAACAGTGTACCGGTCCCCCTCGAGAACTTCCACTTGCCTAGGGTTGTCAACTGACCATAACGCACCTCATGGCTCCATGCGTCACAACCGAGGCATTAAAGTGGTGGCTTTGATGGGGGATAAGGCCTTTTGATGCAGCGGTGTTCGTAATTATCAGCTCAACGACGTCATTATGCGGCAAGTGATATCGCCGCAAAAATGGTAAACTCTGGTTACATATCGCTATGAAAACCTAATGTCAACCAGCATTTACTCGCGATAACCCCAAAGTAATTAAGGACTAGTATCAAATTGTTCAAGTTTATTCCAAGCTTCCTCAAGAAGAGTGCGTGACGTCATATACAAGCGGTGCCGACTTGGCGCATTTTCGAGAAAGTACTCGAATATGCGTGCGGATGACAGCAATAGGGGGAGAGGAGAAACATGAAGCGTTGTTGTGTGATTATGCAGTTTATTGTTGGGGCCCAGTGAGTTTTGTGTCCGGCGTGGCCAACTTCTAAAGTTAGGAATTGACGAGCATCCCTGAGTCCCCGAGCTAGTATAGTCATCTCCTTGACAACCTAAATTCTCATTGACAACCATCCCTCCTCACTAAACTGAAGGTGTCTCTATCCGCATCTTGACCAATTGAGGCTTTTAAGCCTACAAAGAGCCCCAAACGGCTTATTGGTGTCTACATAGCCGACTGGCTTTCGCGGTTAGGATGGGCGACCACATCATGTTACCGATTTTGAGAACCTTGCAGCTGCGATGTCTAACATGGCAGAGAACGATGTGATTGAATAAGATGCAGGATGAAAAGTTTGAAATGGTACTGTTGTCAGGACCAACTCGTATTCCCAGATCAAAGATCAGAACGAAATGACAAATGCAGCTATTGTAAGATGTTCAGGAACTTCCACGTTCATGCGAGTAGTCTTCGAACATTTGATGCGCTATTGTTCAAAGATGAGACTATGCCTATTTTTGGACATACAATAATAAACATGACAGAATTTTCACATACACCTACAAACAAACAATGCAGCCAATTAACTCGAGTCTTATTAGAGATCAACTAACGCTTTATGAGTAAAGTAGCGTAATCATACCTTGACTCAATTATCGTCGTCAGACTAGCACTATGTACCTCAAATATTCAACTTGCATCATCAAACCTTTTGAACACGATAGGAGATGGGATTTTCATGTAGCAAAAATAAACCTAGTTGAACTTTACATAGATCAATCAGTATACAAAATCGAAAACATTTCGTCCGCACCTTGTTTGGCTAAACAATCAGCATAGATATTACCGCTAACATTCAGATGGCTTGGTACTTTCGTGAATTGAACCGGACCCCACCATTTGTCATTATAGATTTGATTAATTGAGTCCAATTGGCGTGACATTGGTACAATCAAGTCCATGTCTTTGATACGTCCTCCCGACAATTTGCGCCAGCCATTGACCTTCCAATATTCTCGCAAAAACGTCATGCTGAGAAGGGACTGGAGCGAATCAGAGTGGATGTTAATTGGCCCCTCAGACGTTCCGTCTTTTAAGAGTTTTGCTTCGTTGTCCAACGCACACTTGATTGCGAGGAGTTCAGCTCGATGGCTTTTGCAGTCATCATTACAATCAACTTCGATGAGAGTCTTGCTCACATTACGAGGATCAGCCTTTCCATAATACACCCCGATACCACCAGCAATAAAATCCAGCAGGCCGTATCTTCCGCACGCACCATCTGCGTAGACGTTAACCCTTGGGGTTAGCTCATTTAGATGGCTAGAGTTGATCGACATCTGTAATGTGCCATTCGTGAGAACACGTTTTCCTGTAATCAAGAAAGTAACAGCAGCCAGTTTTGTTGGGAAACCTTGAGAAATTGCTCCTGAGTAACCCCAAACTTGATCAATATAGGTACTCCAATTAGTGTAGATTCCAGGAGAGCGACCGATAACGACGGCATAATAGCAATAAGCTAACATCTGATTTACCAAATGAATGATTCAAATCGAAAGCATTTATAGCTTATCCGTTATTACTTCCTGGTATCTTTAGTTGTGTGGACAAAAGGGGCGAAAGATAAGGCCATTGTCGACTTAAATGACAGCGATCTCATACTTTGAAACTCTAGTTCAAAAACTTTCAAGCGCTTTCATGGTAGTTACTGTGTTTGGGCTCCATGCATTGATGAGGGGAGGGGTTGTGATGAAAAACGCGCACCGAGACCAGCCGCGTTCTAGCACTTCAACACTCCCATAATGCCTATAGTTAAAAGTCAGGAATAGAGTTTGGAAAAGGGGGTTCTTATCACCCCTGTTTTCATTAATTGGTCCCAAAGAAAAAGAAACACAACGACTGTCTCGGCAATTCGTGTAAAAGTGCCAATATTTCAAAGAACCTACTATATTAGACTCAATTAGTCAAACTCGTAGTAACTCTATTGAGAACAAATCGATGAGTTGTATGTTCAATTTCAGTGATTTCAACACCACTTTGATGATTGGTTGCCCAGTAATCGCTCTCATCGTCCACCATTGCTGATACGACATTAATATTTGATCTTGATCTAGAACTATCGATGCCATGATGCCATTCAATTGGACTTCGGTGAGTGCTCGAAACGACTTCACCCCCTCTATCTTTTCAGGGTCTATTGTCTATCCATTATTCATGCTATCTAATCACCTTGACGATGCGGTCAAACAACGTCTCCAACTCCACCGCCAGGTGGAAGAGCGGCTGGATCAAGTTGAGGTCGACTGGCTTCGGTGCCGCCGCCTCGCCACCAACCTCAATCGCCTCCACCGTGCTGGTGCCAATGCGGCTATCGGCAGCACGCCTCTGGCTCATGATGTCGGCAGTAATTTGGGCGTCGAGCAACTTCTGCTTCATGGCGTCAGCCATCGATACCCGCACACCATTGTCGCTGTCTTCCACTGTAAGCGTACCGAGACGCAGTTCAAAGTCGACAAACACGAACTGGTGCGTGGTGGGGTCGTATCTGACGGCAGCAACGCCGCTATAGAGCTGGTGGGTCGCCACCGGCTGGGTTTGGGAAGGGTCAATCACCACAAGCTTCAGTCTCACTTCAAACGGCGATTCATTGTAGTAGTTCACCGCTAAGCACACGACTTGGCGCTCGGGATCCACCGCCATGATCAGCGCCGCGCCGGCAGTAGTGTCGACAGCAGCACCGTAGGAGTCAACGGCACCAGTAACCATGTTGAACAGCAGGACTCTCGTCTTCAGCAACACCACCAAGTGGGTGCCGACAAACTGGACGGCGCGGATCGGCAGCCCTGTGAGCAGAGGCACGCAGAACTCTGAGGGAGGGATCTCCTGGAAGGTGTGGGCGTTGAACGTGGCCACCGTCAGCTCCACCAGGCGTACAATCACCAGCCCGTCGTCCAGCCACGCACACGACACCGCCAGTGCCACCGCGCCCAGCGGGTGCGTTTTGCGCATCGTCCACGCCGTCTGCTGGCCTCTTAACGCGTTCAGGGTGACGTCGACGGGACTACGAGGACGCCACACCCGCAAACCACCTTTGTTGTCGGCAGTTAAGAACGCTTGGCCGTTTTGGTAGGCTTTAGGAGCAGCGACAATCGCCACCACGGGGTTGGCACCATGGGGAGCCATGATCTTGGTCGTGAGTTCCCAGTGGCCCAAGCTGGGGTCTTTGCTCAGCGAGGTGTCGACAAACTTCCAGAATTTGAGTGCGTACTGCTTGTCGTGCTTCAGCAACAACTGGTCGACGTCCAGAGTCTCCACTTGGTCGAAAGTGCACATCCACTCGCCATCAACAGTAAATTTGAGCTGAGTGATTTCTGGTTCCACCAAGTCCTGTTCCAGTCTCACCTTACCCGTAGAGATCACCAGAGTAGCGTTTTGCACCGCCACTTGTTCCTGGCGGACGAGGTCAAATGTCTGGAATGACAGACCCGTAGGGACGAAAACGTGACCCAGCTTGGGGTTGATTTCCGTTTGGGTCGAGTAGTCGTGTAAAAGCTTAGTGGGGCGGTATTCGCCGCGCTTAGCAAGCTTTTTGCGGGCTTTAGCCACATTGCTGGGGTCAGAGTGGAACTGGGGCCGAATCAGCGTCACCGCGAGTCTCAGCACCAAGTCCACCGCCAGAATCACCACCACTTCAGCGTGGTGAGGGCCGTGGTCAAGTAAAAGTTGGTAGACGACGTTATTAGGGTCGTCAATGCCAATGGCGTCAATAGCACCATTGAGACGAGGCAAGAACTGAGTCTTGTCCAGATCCAAGTGCCAGAACACCAACACTTTTTCTTTACCACCTGAAAGCAAGTAGCGACCATCGGGAGTAAAAGCAACTGCTGATACCGCTTCGACGTGCCATTTGAGCAATTTTTGCGGCACGGGAGTCTCGAGACCACCGTACACCACCTGGATCGGCCCCAGCTCCGACCCAAGCGCCACCACTTGGTCGTTCGAGATCGCCATCAGCGTGATCGGCAGCTTATAAGGGAATTTGAGGTGTTCAGGAGTTGCCTGGGGCGCATCCATATGGTAGATCACTACCTCGTGGTTATTAGTGAGGAAAGCGACCTTGGTGCGGTCAGTCAGCACCGCGTGGAGAAGCACCCCTTCTTCCGTCCAAACGGTCTCAGCCTTAGCTTCTGGAGCGAGCTTCACCACCGTACGGGTGGTAGCGTTCTTGTTGCTACCACATACTGCGTAGTAGATGTCTTCAGCGTCGGGGACGGCACCGATGATGTTGAGGATGGGCAGCGGCGGTTTAAGTTCAAACCGCCGGACAACTTGGCGAACTCTGTCTTTCCAGTCGATCACAGCCACTTTCCCGTGGTCTAAGAACAAGTAGACGTGTTGCAGGTCCATGAGGGCGTCGCATACTTGGCGGCAGTCGAAGTCGATCGTCTTGATACACTGGCGGGTCTGGAGGAAGTAGATGCGGAGCAGTCGTTCCATCACCACTGCCAGGTAGCGGGCGTCGGGAGAGATCACCAGCGCCCCGCGTTGGGAGTACGGCATCTCGTGGGGCCCGCCGGCCGACGCCATGGCCAATTTCCACTGGGTCATCCTGGTGTGCGATGAGGTGGGTGCGGCTCGCTAAGTGAGAACACCAAAGGAGAGGCTGATGAGAGGGAAAAGTCAATGATGAGAGGAAAAATCAATATGGATATGGGAATTCTAACAATTAGAGAAGACAAAGAGTACGGTTCAGAGGTGGATGTCGGTAGTCAAATGAGCTTGATAACATTTGAACATTGTAATAAAAACTAACATTTGTTCCCATAATGTCACCAGTTATTGCTAACCCCGTGAATTTTCCACGAATACCGACGACAAATGACAATAGATAGAGTAGAGACTGTTATTCTGATTTCAACTGTCAATCATCATATCACATATTACCCCCAGGGTGGCGATGTTTGTTTCCCTGCGTGCATTATTCAGCACTCTTTATCGCTGGTGCGAAGTCGCGCCAGAGAACATCCCATCGCAGCCACCAGATGATTATCCCCATCAGATGCTTCTCGTGCGGTAAGGTCGTCGGGGACAAGTGGGAGACGTACCTTGAGTACCTCCAGGACGAACACATCACCGAAGGGGACGCGTTGGACAAGCTCAAGTTGAAGCGCTACTGCTGCCGGCGGATGGTGTTGACTCACGTCGACTTGATCGAAAAGTTTTTGCGGTACAACCCGTTGGAAAAGAAGGAAATTAACTAGGCTCAGTATACAATAAACGGTCATAATGGATTTTTTGGAGGGGTGAAACTTGCTTCCTGAGCCTGAGGGTTCCAGTAACAGGCACCAATGTAGCGGCTGACACTGATATATAGGCACACGCTTCACCAAGGTGAAACCTCGAGATATATTATATAATTAGTGAAATATCAATTCATTTATCACCCTGAAACACTCATATCGTTAATCTGACCTTTAATTTGTCTCAGCCATATTTCGTCGCCGGCTCACCACTGTTGACCTCACTTTGCGCGGCGCACCCACACCTCACTCACCATGGCTCCCGACACGGCGGTGGCGGAAAAGGAGATCATCGAGGAACTCCAGCTCAAGGAGAAGCTCACCAACGAGGAGTACAAGATATGGAAGAAGCTGGTGCCGTTGCTCTACGACACCATCCGCTCGGTGCTGCTTGACTACCCGTCGCTCATTGTCCAGTGGCTCGGCGACTACTCCTACTCAGATAACAAAAACCTGGTCAAACTACGCTACTTATATGGTACTAACACCCTGGAAAAAGGGGCTAATTACCTTAAGTTGGGCGAGGTGGCGTTGCCGCTGACACTAGCGCCCGACTTTGCCACCGTGTGCCCCAACGCCGACCTGGTGCCCATCCCGCTCTCCCAGCTCGACGTCGAGCTGCCTTTTTCCACTGTCAACCGGTGGAAAGTGCCGCGGGAGCTTAACCGGTTACGGGTACTGCCGGACGAAGCCCGTGCGGTGGCTATTGACGGCGAAGGTATTGTCCACTTATTCGACTTGGGCAACTACGACCAGCTCACGTTCCGCTACCATAAACTTGAAGGACAAGCGGTGGAGTGGGTCGACTCGGAACTGTTCTTGACGGGGGCACTGGATTTCCACATTGCCCTTTGGGACGTGGCGAAGCCGCTGACCCCTATCCAATTATTCAAGAGCCACGACGGGCCCATCAACGACTTGTCGCTGCTGAGAGTCCACCCGCTGTTGTTTGCCTCGGTGCTGGACGATTACACCACGCAATGGCATGATATCCGCGACAAGAGCTCTACCGCCAACCCTGCCATCAAAGTGACGAATCCCCAAGTGCAGATGGCGGTAGCAGTCCATCCCGAGCTTGCTACCGTATATGCCACCGCGGGCAGAGACAACGTGGTGCTGCTTTTCGACTTGCGCAACCCCAACCAGGCCTTCCGCGAGCTCCACGGCCACACCGACACCGTGATCGGGGTGCGCTGGGACACCCACAACGACCCGATGCAGCTTTTGCTGTGGGCGTTGGACAAGCGGGTGATCACGTGGGACTTGGAGCGGCTCGACACTGAGTTCGTTTACCCTACCGATGAGCAGCAGCAGCTGCTGAAGCGCGGCAAGCAATCCGCCACTAAGGCGGACCCCTGTCTCAAATTTATCCACGCCGGCCACACCAATCGGGTCAACGATGTCGGCATTCACCCCAAGGTGAAGGGGATCTATGCTCTGGTAGGAGAGGACAATTTATTGGAGGTGTGGAAGCCGAAAACGTTGATCGAACGCAGCCACGACGAGGAATAGAGGGTATGAAAAATATGTATGATTAAATGTAATTCCCAAGTGTATTTGTGGCGAGTGTCTGTGCAATGACCTCATCATCACTTTTACCTGCCACCCTTAATCAGATTTAGGGTCTCGCCTCAGGGTGAAAAAGCGGGGACCAGCTGCGACCACTTTGCCAAATTTAGGTCAGGGGCGGGCTGAGGTATTGCTTTATGACAATTCGGTTGCCCCTAATCAGCTGTTCCTTCTACAATCGATAGACATTTCACAGGAGGTTTGGCAAGCGTAACCCCGTGTCTGAGGTCAGGGTGCGGTACGCTACCACAGATACGGATTGTGGCGCCCGACATTAACGGGTTTTGTGGCTGGTTTTAGCTTCTGGAGTTGTTGGGGTTGCTTCCGGACTTACGAGATCATCGTGGGATTATGCCCACCCCAGGAGGGGGGAGCGATCACAGAGCTCGGAGCACGGAGTTGGAGAAAGCAACGCCGCGGTCACTCGGCACCACAGTTCAAGGGATCGTGAAAACATCGCAAACAATGATAGGGGCTAGATCAGTTATACTGGCTACGATTGGCTTACGTGGCAATTTCCTCAACTGAAGGCCGCGATGTCAAAGGTCTCAAGTCACAGCCTGTGTGCCGTGGAGGGGTGGTATTTCACGCTGAGTGAGGAGTGCACACTCGCACAGAGGCGGGACCAAATCGCCAATTAAAGTTGCACCCCTACTCTCAGTTACGTCACTGGCGAGCCCTTTCCCCCCCATTGAGGAAAAAAAGAGAAAAAAAAAGAGTTTGAAGAAATATCGGCCCAGAGGCCTCGGCACTAACTTCATTTGCCACTACCGAACCACCACCTTCAAGTCATGAGTTAGGTAGTACAGTTAGGTGTATAGCGGTGGCGATGACGACGACAATAGCGTTTCCCTGGCGATATTGGTCGCGCCTCCACCTTCCCCTCCTATTAGTCCCCCTGCGCTGAAATGTCGACTCCATCTACCCCGCAGCGGCCAGTCACTGACGATCAAGGCGGCGCGCTGACGCGCAGTCCCCATGGCGACGATGTCAACAGGTGTCTGTAGATACTCTACTGTGGCTACCGGTCTCACTACACGTTTTGTACCACTCCCCGCTGCCTAGTCTCCGTATCCCCACATCGGCACTGTTACGCCCCTGCACCCCCTGCCTCGATGGACCTGAGCCCCCTCCTCGACCACAAAAAGTAAAACCCGCATGAACTATATAGTCTACCCTTCCGCCCCCATCTCGACCGCCTTTAGCTCGACATGGTTAGGTTCGCCTCGTCCCGTGAAGTGTCGCCCGTCCCCTGTCCTCGCCGTCCCGGTCCCACCTTCCTTTCCACGGGAATCTTTGTCGCTACCGCCCACCAACGGGGCACGTTTGGCTACGGGGTGTACATCGAGGACCTGCCGTGCATTCCCAACCAAGGCCAGCGGGTGCTGGACGTCGCCGGCGTCCCCTGCGGCTCCCACCAAGTATACGCCCTGCTCTTAGGCATCGACAGCGCCCTCGACTACATGATGTCGGCGCGGTGCCGCTACACTATCTACGTCGACAACCAGGACGTGCTCGACACCTTGCGCCGCCACTGGCACCAGCCCAACCACAGCACCCGGGTCGACGTCGTGCTCAACGACATCGCCGACAAGATCGCCAAGATCGAGCGCAAGGGCACCTATCGCGACGCGGGCGTCGAGATTAAGCAGGCGCTGGCGAAGCTGCTGGCACTCCTGCTCGCACATACTAAGGCGCTGCGGTCGTTGGAAAGGCGGCCACCGATAGCCACAAAAACCCCCGTGTCGTGGACGGAGAGCTGGGGTGTGCGTCGACCCATGGCTCGTCTTGGTTAAGGCGGGCGGTTGTTTCAGCACGGTTATTTAGGGAAATGCATAGGATAGCAAAAGGTTAACAATAAACATTAGTAAAATCTCGGTGTGTAGTTTCTAGTATTGTTGGTGCTTATTGCTCATGAATATGGACATTTGGTTGGGATGTCAACTGAAATGCCAACAATGTTGAACAGTTTTTTGAGATGACCACAATCAAAATATAATGCATTAACAATGGATTTCCAATACCTATACATTGTTTAAGGTATTACTTGATGCGAAATATACGACAACCATACAATATACTTAGAGATTGAAGAGGTAATCATTATCATGGGTGTCGTCGTCGTTCAGGTCGTTTATCGTGATGAAGTCCACGTCCAGCGTGTCCAGCGGTTTCGGCGGCGCCGGCACCCCATAAAATCGACTAAGCAGGGCTGGAGAGATGTATTCTTCGTCAAAGTCAAGCACATCCAGCAGTGGCGGGGGCACTTTCAGCAGCAGCGATCCGGGAGAGCGAATAAACCCGCTAACTCCGAGCTCCTCCTCCACCACGGTAGAGTAGACGCCAGTGGTACCTCCGGAAGTACGCGGTGGCAGTTTAAGCTGGCTTTTAATGTATCGTGGGAGCGCTTGTTCCACCATTGACTGACGTCGACGAGCTCGAGGAGGTGATGGCGTCGCTGGCGCCAACGGCGATATCGGCAGCAGATGACGGGTACTCTTCACCGCTTCTTGTCGCGGGGCAATTGGAGGAGCTGCCGCTAACGTTTGCAGAGGTTCCACAGTGGCTTTGACGGTGACGTGAAGTAGGGTAGGATTGATTGGAGCCGGGTGGGAGTATGGACGTAGAGCAACGTTCTTTGGCTCCTCTGAAGTTGCAGGTTGTCGTGAATGATTATGCTGGTTGACTGCATTCGCTTTGATTTTGTTCGATGATGGTGGTAGCGATGTTGGCTCAGTTGTCGGGGGTTTGGATATTGACGGGGTGTCCCTGTCCGCAGAGCCCAGGGTGGCGGAGGTCAGTTCCGAAACAAACGGGGTTAGGTGTAACCGGTCCAATTGAGCCTCCACAGTCACCAGCGCCAGCTTGCTCGTGGGTAAGTTGGTGAAGAAGGTGGCAACGTCGCCATTCCCGAACAACCGCCGATCAAACTCGTCATCAATGGCGTAAGCGATGAGCTCTGGAGGGATACCCGTGGCGGCACTAGCCTTAGCATAGTCCACTTGGTCATAGAAGAGCCCTGGGTCGTCGAGAGTTCGTCCCACGTACTCGCCTATTGAGGTCATATCATACGCACGGAATTATCGGGGAACACCCGCAGAAGTGGCGCGCTCATGAAATACACGAGAGGATAGTTTCTGGCATAATCACAAATTGATCGGAGCTGATAAAGCTATTATGGACGATCCAATTCTCAAGATACGGTACGTTTGTAACTAAGTTTTGGCTATGCCACAATCTACTCGATCATATTAAATGATCTGAATTTGATAGTGTTCAGAAAAAGGTTACATGTCTTGACAAGGCTTAGTATATGATCCGTGAGATGAGATCAGCTAGTATTTCTGTCATATATCTTGATTTAACCACGTATCCAACAACAGACGACAATACTCTCAACTTGAATAATGGCAATTGTTAGCAAGATCGCGTGACGAACCCTCATTTCATCCGTTGAAAGACGTCAACAACGCCTTCTGAATATTTACAAAGCCTCACATCCAATTGGTGGAGACTGTCATCAGCAATTCGCTTGGGTTGCCATTGAAGCACAATCTTGCGGCAACGCATAACATTGACAACTCTAGAATGCCTACACTTGACGAATGTCCAGAATGGTTTAGTTCTAATTAAGGGAAAACTTATGAAAACCCAAATCATCTGAATTTCTTCAGATGATTTCGAATAAACAGGCGTTTTCACGGCATGTAGCTCGATGATGATGATGATGATAATATTTCTTATTTAAATACCTTCACTGATACCTGAATAGTAGTCACTTGCAATGTTACCGATTCTAAAACAGTTTTACATTTAGCCACAATCTCTTACGTCTTTTAAACCACTTGCAAGAAAGAGAATGAGTCTCATATTGGTGCAGGACACATCTTACCCAATCATGGTACGCAGGCACTTGGTCCAGATACCGGTTCTAAATTGAGATAGCACTTTCGGTGACAACGTTTATGATGAATGAAATGTGAAAGGTCGAGAGTTGACTGTGCAGCTTTGTCGACCGGTTACATCCTGCATATACCAACACGTGCCACTCGTCTAAAATTTCGTTCTCGATTTTTTGAATCCTGCATACTGCGCCGCTCGTCAAAAATTATTTCAAATTATCATTTCAAGTTTTTTTTCGATATTTCTTACATCCTCCAAAACATCTTCTGATTGCTATTATACGTATATTTGAGCTGTGCCGATCATAATTATGGATTCAAAACTCACTTAATTTGTTCTGATGATGGCAGAAGCTCGACCTGAAGATTCCTTTACTACATGCAGGATTCATATGAGAACGCACGTAAAAGCGTCGTATACCACTTTTTCAGTTGAGCTCAAAAAAGTCTCGCAGCCAGCACTACAGCTCATGAAAGCTATTGCAGGGGTAGCATTTTTGATCTACTCCGGATTTACAGTTAGTAGCGCCGTGAGTATCACGAATACTGCATACAGGTAGGGAAGGTAGGGTGCCATAGATTAAACTACGTCAAATCGAATGTTAACTTGCCCAGATATTTATCAACTATACTTCTAACGCCAAAGAATTTTATGGAGCTAATTAGAAGTTTGTAGCAATTTTTTCTGATTTTATATCACACTTTGAAGTTTTTGTTGACAAAATTAAGAAAAATCCCATTTGCTGTTATAAATGTTATTTGCGCCGTATATATCATAGTAGTGTAATCTGTCTCTTTCTTAAGTTCAGTATAGGTGATGAAAGCGCTATTTGAAGAATCATGAACGACATGCACATGCAGTGCTCGTGTGCAGAACTCCAAATTTGAAAGCGCAATATAAGTGCCAGCAACAATGACAGCACCTACTAAACCCTTCAAACTAAATAGATATGCTCTCAGAGTACAATGATGCTTGTCAAAATGGATTAGTCACTCTGTAAGTGCGTTTTACAGCTCAACTTGTTTTGCCTTGCATATTGGTTGATGCACCTGCATACAAACATTGTAATGGACGAGGTGTCAAACCTATTCTATCACTTCTACAAACATGGCAGGTCAATTCCAATGCTCAATAGATGTTATAGACCACGCCACAAACTCAAACTCGTCCGAAAAAAGTTTTGTAAAAATAAAAAAAACTTTTTTTTCCACCGATAAACTCACATAGAGACGCCAATTTTGAGGTGAACTCGTTCAAAATTTCCTTAGATATACTTCTAGTGCCAGCAAATTTTATGGAGCACACGGAGTGATTTCATCAAATTATCCTGATTTTATATCACACTTTTTAGTTTTTTCGAGGAAAATCTTGAAAAATTCAAACAATTCGAAATTGCTGTCACATGTATTATTTGAGCACTGGAAATAACAATGATGTTGTTCATTTTCCTCTAGGGCGTCATTAGCCTCATGGAAAAACTTAGGTAAAGTCTTTCGTATTTTCTGCATATAAAAGTTTTGTGTGCAGGCATGAGGGTGGCAGGCATGATGGTGGTGGGTATGAAATGTGTGTCAAACGCGGTGTTAGCTCTCAAAAAAACCTGTCAAACAAAGAAGACATGCTTACAGACTACAATGGTGCTGAGATCAATGAGCTGAATACCTTGGATGATCTCGAACTCGCTAGCCTCTCGCACGATGCACCCACAAACGAACAATATACTTAGACGAAGTGTTACAACGCCTGCATAGTGACTGCTGCAAACATCACAAGTCGCTGCCAATGTCCACTGAATGGATTAGACTACGTAACAAACTATCCAGGCCGGACTTTAAGCATTGCTGAATATATTTTGCGTACACTGACTGCTCTCAGCGGTGGTTGTCTTCAGATTGTGTAGGAAAAATGACATTATCTGCACCTCAGGTTGAATGTAGTTTTGGTGTGCAAACGCAGGACTTTGTTGAGGTTGCTGTGATTGAATGTGAGAATGGGTTGTCGTTCAACTGTTTCGAATTGTGAATTGCTGTTCACACCATCTTTTCAATTTGAGTGCTTGCTAACCACTGGATGTTTTGCGTTCATCGCTACGAGTAATGTATCGTGATCATCTACGCCATTACTGAGTTGTGTGACTGATTATCTGTTTAATTTACTCTACGATCAAATGATTCAGTTGTAGTGATCCGATTAGTCTTATTGGTGTTCTCTGTGGATACCACTTTGGATTCTCTGGTGTCGATTAACGTAGTCTGGTGTTTTGTGTTCTGAGTTCGGTTGTTTTTTTTACAAGTTTGATTATGGAGTCCACCACCGGGACGGAGCGTCGGAGCCGGAAGCATCCTGAGTGGTGGCTGCTGGTTCTGCATTGGGAGCAGATTCAGCTTGAGAGAATTGAAGCGACGGCGTCAGGGCCAGCTGGCTAGTTTCGAAGATTCGACGTAGCTGAAGCAAGGGCACTCTTCCGGTGTTACCTTCAAGATGGGTTGATGGATGTAGTACACACATAAACGTGTCGCTACAAGTTGCAAATCGCGAGTAAAACACGAATGCCACTAACGTCATAATCGAACTACGCTAGACTGCTGACTGCAGAAGTCTCATGGAGTTATAGGGGAAACTGAGGTAAGCTTGTATGTGCGTTTTCAAATGGATCCTGCATTTAGAGGACGACTTTTCAAGGCTAGCTTTCGCCATTGATAAGACTAGTTGAGTGAGTTCTGATACCCTTTTTGTGATCGGCACGATTCAATTATGTGTGTAATACACATCAGAAGATCTTCTCGACACTAAAAAAAACTTGAAAATAACTTGAAAAAAAAAACAAAAAAAAAAATTTGAAATCATTTTAGACGAGCGGCCAGTGCCTTGTATGCAGAAGTTGACGACTGGCGCGCAATGTTATATACAGGCCGTTATGCATATGCATGATGACGTAGTTGATTGAGCTGTGACAAGCTAAGCAGCACGCTTGTTGCAATGCTTCAACCACTATCATTTCAACTTCACTGATATGCTATCAAAGAATGCAAAATAATGCAGTTCAAGTGAACACTGAGGCAGTTCATGGATAAGATCAGACTTTTTACTTCATAGATTTGTTTGCATCAGAAGTATAGTACATGAATATTCGTGCGAGTTGACGTTCGATTTGAAGAAGTGGCAGCAGTGTTAGAAGAACACATGAAAGAGGGTCGACGAAAATGGTCTCTCTGCTTTATATTACTTGTCTGCAGTTGAAGTATAGTTGGTGTGTGTCCGGGCAAGTCTACGTTGGAATCGGAGGAGTCCAGGCAATACCGCTTGTTTTTCGCTACATACAGAACTGGTAGGCATATGCAGAACACAAGTAGACGTGGCGCTGTCGAGTGTTAAATCCCAGTTATGTCAGTTGTTCTACCACCATCACAATTATAGCATATTTGTTTGCCAGATGCATGATTTTCATGGAGTTGAACGGGATACTAGAGTACATATCGAGGTTGCAAGTACGCCCACAAGTAGACCCTGCATGTGGTGGAAGGATCTTCAGGGTCAAGCTTTCATCATATTCAAGACAGATCGAGTGAGTTCTGATATCTTCTCCATGATTTTAACCGTCTAAATATGTGTGTAATAGCAATTAGAGGTCTATTACGTGGAAAACAAAACTTTCTAAAAAAATCTCGAATTTTTCTTTCAATATGTTTTTTTTTTCTTTAAATTTTGTTTTTCATCTTCTTTGGAGCACTGACTTATAAATCTGGGGTTCGTACACTATATGACCAGTGTTTCCCAGGAGTTGCTCGCGACGTTGGTGATGGCAATCTTTGAGTTGACCCTCCGCGTTTATGCACCTACGACTGTATGTAGGGTGGGTGTTAATGCAAGATATTGCCGGGACTGAATCGCTGCTATCAACCTTACCTTCAACTTAAGATGCAGGTCAACAGATTAGCGTGAGAATTTGCCGAACCTGAAGTTGCGTCAGTGCCGGTAAGGAAGCGACCTATGATACTAATGCCATTGAGTATTGTTGAGTTATGATGGTTACCTCGAAAGGTGTGTTGTATATTGTAAACTATGATTACACGCCGTTTTTGGCCATGTCGTAGATGGCGTAGACGTTCAACGCCGACACTAACACCCAGATAATAACGGCCACTATTGTGGTGATCCAATTGTTGGCGTAGAACCGGTAGCGCTTGCCGTCAATCTCGACCCCGCCTTCAACGTCGTCGGGCAACTCCACTTTCATGATTTGCTTCTTACATGTGAACCAAATAAGTGGCGCTGAGAGCGGCGGTAAAAGAATGGAGATCACCACTTGCGACACGTTAAGCGCCACACCCAACCCGTTACGTCCAATACACACAGAAATAATGAGACAGGGGATAATCGAGATCGAACGAGTGACAAGACGACGCAACCACGGCTTCAACGTCCAGTTGATGTGGCCCTCCGACACCATTTGCCCAGCAATGGTGCACACAATCCCGGCCAGCTGACCGGAGAATAAGAGCGCAAGCATGAAGATGGTACCGACAACGGGAGCCAACAGTTGACTCAAAAGGTCATGGATGGTGTACAAGTCGGCGTCGATGGCTTCGGGAGTACCGTACAACGTCGCCCCAGCGACAATGACAATTGCCGAGTTGACGAAGAGAGCGAACGTGACTAATGTGACCACCAACTCTATCACGGAGAACTTCATGCAGTACTTAATGGCAGCATACGATGGCTTATACCGACGGTAGAAGTACTCAGCTTCTCTCACCTGAATTTGCTGCTTTTCCTTCTCAGCCCGAATGTCTTCGTGCAGCTTAGTCTCGACAAATGGCAACTTCTCCTTAGCCTTGGTCCACCAGTGATCCAGGCCCAGCGACAGTTGTTCCGTGAGAGCCAGTGAAGGAAATTGGGGCAGCAGTTCCACCATCCGCAGACGAAGACGGTTCCACCAAGTGTCAGGACGTTCTGCGGAAGTAGTAGTCGTGGCAGTGGTGACGGTGTCGCTATCGTCATGACTGCAGACAGAGGCCAAGTCGACGTTACCGTGTTGAACATCGTATTCGCGAAGACGAGGAGCCACAAGGCCACTGCCCAAAAAGAGCAGATGGATCATGACCGTGGAACCAACGATCGAGGTGGCAATAGTCATCCCCAGGCCATCAAACATTTGCTTTGACGGGACAAACCCTCTGAACACGTCACGAGCGTTAGCGTGGATAGCGCCTAATTGCACGGCGAAACAGATGACGACCACAAGCACCATCGCCGCCACTGCGTACTCGAAAATCTTGACAAACTTTGTTGACAGGGTATCATTGCGGTACGCCATCAACACAAAGAGGACATCGACAATAGTGATGACGACACCGGCCGGCAACGGGATCCGCAACAAGATATTGAGGGCAATAGCCAGACCAATCACTTCAGCGACATCGGTAGCAATGATGGCACACTCAGCCAAGAACCAAAGCACGTAATTGACTTTAGGCAGCAAGTGTTCACGACAACAGCGGGCAAGGTCGTGGCCAGTGACTGTCCCTAAGCGGATGCATAAGATTTGGAGGAAGATGGCGATGAGGTTCAGCAAGAACACGATAAATAAAAGCGAGTATTGGTTCAGGGCCCCGGCAGTGACACCAGTGGCATAGTTACCGGGGTCCATATACGCCACCAGCACCATGATCCCCGGCCCTACAAACAGGGCGTATTTGCGGAGCACCTGGAGAACGCGGTCCCTTTTGGCGTTGTGGCGGGCCAGCCGCACCTGCACTGATGACGATATCAGCGGTGTGGCCATGGTTGTGTTTCTTGTGGAGTGTTAGCCTGAAAGGTAAACAGTGGGCTAGAGCGGGGGAGGATGCTTATATAGGGGTGGCAGGGGGATCTTCTAGACCGGCACATACCGGATGCAAGTTGGATGTCGCTGGGGGTAGTGCTGCGAAGGTCATTGGTGTGGACACGACCTACACTACCAGCGATCAGATTACGCGGTAACCGTTATTATTTAGCCCCGGAGCAACTAGGACTAGTAGTTTGCAATTGTCATGGACACCAGTCTGCTTACTGTGCTCGGTTTGAGTTATAAGGATCTTGAAAGCTCTTTCAATTGTGAGTTTGTTCGGCCGATGTCGGGGTGTAATTGGCATAACCGTTCGGCAAGGTGCACTCACTGTGCGTTATACATTGCCATGGCACAGCCTGAAAGGGGTGTCCATTACGGAATTACTGCTGCAAATATCCACCGATTGAACACAAGCAGGAAGAGATATACCACGAAAATGTGTGCTAAGGAGATGGCATAGCGTCTCTTTCAAATCCTTGACAATATTCGCTTGCTTCAGGAGTTTTTTGTCGATATTGTCGTGGTAGCCAAGGTACAATCGGCGAGGCTACCCGCCTTGGCACCCTATGTGCTCAAAAGTAGTTTGTGGTCTTTGTTGCCTGACAAATGTCTCGAGGCTCAAGTGAGATGCGACTGTGAGGTGGCATCGCCGGCACTGACCCCTAATGGCAGCGATCAGCGAGATCTACTGTATAATGAACGCTAGAACATTTTCAAGAATCGATGAATTAAACAAATTTTCGTAAGCATGAAACCATTCAGAATTGTTGTCATCAATGCTTAATCAATTGCCCTTATAAAGAGATATTCGACCACATACCAGCATTATTAACATAGCCCACCCATATAAGCTTGCATTAGACATTGCATCCTAGTGCTTGATACTCGTCACCGTGAAAAGGGTCCTCAGGGAGCACCTAGACTAGTTATATGCAGGACCCACACCCGCCAACAATCTTTCGCTGTCGCACTCTCAATCAGGGCAATTGTGGGGTTCACGTGGACAAATCAACCCTGGAGCCGCGCGGCCAGCAACCAATCGCCTCCCCTCGGCACCACACGCCATCCACCACCGCTTCCACACGCCGCCAACCAGCGCCCCTGAACCTTAATTTTACCATCCACAATCACCACAAATAGCTTACTTACTTCTCGATGCCTCTGCCCTGTCAATCTCAAGCCAATTGACCGCCAATTACGCCCCCATTGCTTTCTGCCACCTAACCCCAGTGTTCGACTTCACCCTCGCTTTTTTTCTCCACTCACCCACCCGCCCCCCTCACTCTCCACTGGTTGCCGTGAACAACACCACCGCTGCCACCTCTGTCCACGCCCATTGACTGTGTCTGAGTGGTAATTACCATTGCTCCCAGCAAACGACGTCTCCTGCCCCTAGAGGACGAGTGCTGGCTTCTGAAATCCGCCCGCAGTGACGGCGAGACCATGCCAAATTTATTAAAAAAGCTCACCCACATTTCCAACAAGAACAAGGATATGGACTACTACGCCGAACAGTCGCAGTCAACCACCCCCAATCTCCAGGAACTGCTGTCGCAGTCGTCTCTGGCCACGGCGTTCACCCACAGCGGCGCCCCCACCCCGCACACGTCGCAGCCGACGCTGGTGCCCACCGTGGCCACCGACCTTCTGGTGGCGCTGGGGCAACCGCCGCAGCCAACGACGCTGGACGCCATCTCGGCGCTGTTGTTGCCCCAGCGCTCTACGGTGCTGAAGGGCAAGTACCTGCTCACCGACTTCCAAATCATGAGAACGTTGGGCACGGGGCTGTTTGGCCGTGTCCACTTGGTAAGACTGGTTCACAACGGTCGCTACTACGCCATCAAAGTCTTGAAAAAGCAACAAGTGGTGAAAATGAAGCAGGTCGAACACACGAACGACGAACGCCGCATGCTCAAGCTTGTTGAACACCCGTTCCTCATCCGCATGTGGGGCACGTTCCAGGACTCGCGCAACTTGTTCATGGTGATGGACTACATAGAAGGGGGCGAGCTTTTCTCGCTCTTGCGGAAGCTGCAGCGCTTCCCCAACCCGGTGGCCAAGTTTTATGCTGCCGAGGTGACGTTGGCATTGGAGTATCTCCACAGCCACAACATCATTTACCGCGACTTGAAGCCGGAAAACATTCTTTTGGACCGTAACGGCCACATCAAAATCACTGATTTCGGGTTCGCTAAGGAAGTGAGCACGGTGACGTGGACGTTGTGTGGTACCCCTGACTACATTGCCCCTGAAGTGATCACCACTAAACCTTACAATAAATCGGTGGACTGGTGGCTGTTGGGGGTGCTTATCTTTGAAATGTTGGCTGGGTACACCCCGTTCTACGACTCCACTCCCATGAAGACTTACGAGAAGATCTTGTCGGGGAAAGTGCACTACCCGCTGATCATGCTGGCGGATGTTGTCGATTTGCTTAAGCAGTTGATCACCGCCGACTTGACCCGTCGTTTAGGAAACTTGTCCAATGGTCCTGCCGACATCCGCAACCACCCGTGGTTCGCGGAAGTCGTGTGGGAAAAGTTGTTACTCAAGGATATCGAAACTCCGTACGAGCCTCCCATCACCGCTGGCGTCGGTGACTCGTCGTTGTTCGACCACTACCCCGAAGAGCAATTGGATTACGGCATCCAGGGCGAGGACCCTTACGCCGACGTTTTTAAGGATTTCTAGTCAATAAACAACTATGCAACAGTCGGTGCAATCCGAGTTGAGTAACTAACCTCAAAGAATCTGGGGGAGATCTTGGAGATGATCAAGAGCTTCATTTGGTCTTTGTTAATAACAGCATTTTTTCTTAAGTAGATGGTTGAACATTTTGATCAAACCACTAAATCTGTGGTTCATTTTCTATCGCGTTGATCAAAGATGCTGATTGTATATCGTGTTCATTAAAAGGGTCAACTCACGAATGGATGACGTATTTTCGCCTGCTGGGAATTTACCGGATGGATCCGGATATGTATGAATGGTGGAAACCCGATATCAAGCCAACCTCAGATAGATCTTATTATTGATCAACTTGACTCAGAAATATAAAACTCCAGACCTCAAGTGCATTGTAACATGGCTAAATTAGATGGTGTCGGAAAATTATACCTAGAGCATCTTTGGGTGCACCCAGCTGAGGTAATCGCGTTTCTTGGTACTCAGCCTTCATTAAATTTTATCCAGGGCAACACTAGCCAAATGAATTTGAAGAAACTCATGTCAGAGACTGATCGAGAAACTCCTCACCATGGTTGTTGCCGGTTATCCTTAAAATGGTTATTTTTGACAACGAAGTTGATGTGATGGCATGATGTTTGCACGCCCTGCATACAGCTCTCGGAGATCTCAAGCCCTCTGCACCAGCCGTATACAACCACGTTTGCCGATAATCTGCCTCCCCTCCACCCCCACAATCGCTTTTGACAACCGAGGGGCTTAGGCGTGGGCCCAATGGAGATACCTTGTGATTCCTTCACCGCCAAACGGCTTGCGTGTGCGCCGGCAGAGACGCTCTCCCGAGTGCTGCTGGTGGTGATGGTGGGCGGAATCCCCCCCGGATGGCGCTCGCCCCGGGATAAACGGGCAAAGTCACGTTCCAACATCGTGTCGCTGCTGTCACTGGCAGTCACCAGCGCGCTACCGGACCACGAGGTGGCGAAAGTGACGTATGACGACGTCGAGCTGTGGCGGAAACGCTACCTGCTGGTGCTGACGGGTGACCACTCGAGTGTCACTACGTGGACCGATGCCTCCTCCAAAGAGCCAAGCCCGTTGATGCTGGATCTAGACCTGTTATTGGCGCCGTCGGAAGCATCGGTCCTGACATCAGTGTCGTCGCCATCACCGCTCAAACTGCGTTTTGCCTCCGATGCATCACTCAATATTGTACCCCCAGTGGCAGAGGAGCAATTGCCATTTACTCAGCCACCACAATTTCTTGATACTGGCGATAAACACCATCGGTCAATACCGAAATACGCGATGCCCCCAAAGAGTAAAGCGGTGAAGTCAGGAGCGAAAACCGTGCTTCACGATCTTTCTAAACGTCAACCAAAGAAAGTTAGACGGTACTTGACGAAAATCCTCGCCAAAAAAGTTGGTTCTCGCTGTCTTCGCAGAGAGCGGATGCTAGTGCTCGTTAAAGAGGTTGATGGATTCCCCCTCCACTTTGACGAAACCGAGGTGGTTGAGCTGAGAATTGTTGACAGACTCCAGGAACTCCACGTGCAATTGGTGGTTAGGCAAGAAGAATGTATTGACCCTGAGGACTCCGGCGAGCGGTACTACCTCGAGTTCTTCCAGGATAAAGAACACAAAAAACTCTTGTACAAAGTTCCCTTCGCTGTAAGCGAAGATGGCATGGGGTGCTCGGTGAATTTCTACTCCCAAGTGGATAAACTGTTAGCATTAATTCAACGACGACCGCGGAAGCACACTCGTTGTTTCATTCTCATTAGTCGGCTGCTGGTACTGCTGCTACGGTGGTTGTTTCTTATGGATTTGCTTCTCGGCCGGCCCATTCTGCTTAAGTTGAACGTTTACATCCCTGATCTTGAGTATACCATCAGTATCAGCTTAGGCGAACAGGCTATGGCCCAAATCTTGAAACCAAGAACGACGATGACGCTTACAGACTTGCCTCAGGGAGGCTACCATGTTCTGAGAAACCCTGCCATGCACTTTATGTGGGAACTCATCCGTCGGCAATTTGAACGCCAACGCGACCCAAAGCTAGACAAATGGCTCCATGACGCTGTATTTCCTTGGTTCTGTTTCCGTGAGTACGACCGTTTGGAATGGGCGTTCGATGATCTGGAGGTATTCTTCCTCCAAACGCAGTTGGTCCACCAGTCTTCGGCTACCCTTGAGCTTCGCAGTGTGCAGATTGCCAGTGACAGTTCACCTCCCCTGGTGGAAGGTTTTGTCATTCGAGGAACTGTCCACAAAAAGCATGATTATCTCTTTACCTGTGGCAACTTATTCCTATATTGCGACGGGGCACTAGCATTACCGCCACCGGTTTCGGCAGGAGATCAACCGGAAATTGTTTATGAGGTGTACCCGCTTGATGAAAACAAACGTATTACTTGGCTTAAGTCTCCGTTCGATTGGCAACGTGACGACGAGGCGCGTCGAGAGTATCAGCGAAGGGTGAGTCTTTTCATCCGTCTGCGGTCAATCGTGGAATTACAGCGAGTGGTTGACGTAAAACCTCTGGGTACTGCACAATTTGTCGTGGAGATGGATACCGGCAGCAATCTTCTGTATACGGTGCAACTGACGGCAGTGAGAGATTGCTGGGTGGAACGACTCGGTCATTTGGTTAAGTATTGGCAACAGCGGAGCGTGGAGAAGACCGCGGTGGTGAGAACGGTGAAAACTCGTAATATTCGCCATCTCGGGATCGATGACTACCTTGACTCAAACATCTACGACTATGTGGAGCAAGGGGAGCAGCGCCGGGCGTTTGCTGATACTCGCATGTTCCCTGTGGACCAAGTCACTGGTGGGCGCGTGGTCCTCGCTCTGGGGATGTTATACCTCAAGATGAAAAAGCATGCTAACTGGAATAAAGTGTACATGGTGCTTGTCCCCGGGTACATGTTGTTGTGTCATTATGCGCAAAGATCGAAGCTTGATGGTCGTGTGCGCCGGGATAACGTCCACCAACGGTTTCTTACCCTCCCGTTGTCTCGAAGCTTTGTATACCTGGGAGCACTGACGCTTCCCGATTTGCTTGAGCGGTCGCTGGAACAGTACCATAGCGATCCTGGCCGGGCGCCGTTGCCTCGGTGCTATATTGACGACGGGTGGCGGCTGAGTGAAGAAGAGTACATGCGTTGTTTCACGGTGTGGCTCGGTCTGAAACGGAGGCTTAGAGGCAACAAAGTCGTCGACGAAGCCGCCAACCCGGGGCTCACCAAGATGGCGGCACGGTTAGGGATCACGGGGAAACTGTTGGTGTTTATGGCTCGGCTGCGCCAAGAGCGGGAGCGGTGGATGCAGACGATTCTTTCCGAGATCGACCGCGAGGTTGTCGAGGCCCACGACCACCGCTTGCATCCGGACTACACGTCGCCGTTACAGTAAAGGAATATAAATTACTTAATTGACTATTTCTTTAAATGATACTCTGCGTTTCGTAACTCGTGAATGGCCCACATTGGGGTTATAGCTGTATACGCTGTCCTTGGTAGTGGAGGCAATCGAACACACCAGGTACTCCAGCTCAGCGACGTCTAAGAGCACGCCGGAAAACACCCCTAGGTCGTGGGACTTGTGGTAGGCGGGGAACAGGCGGATGCGCTCGCCGTGGAGCAGCTCCAGCAGCGGTCGTAGCAGCAGTTCTGAGTCGACCCCGACAGCGGCAAATGAGCGGTGTTCGCTAGTCGCCAGGGCAGTGGCGTCTTTGGTCGATCGGGAGACGTTGGCACCGCTGGCACCGGGGGTAGTGTCGTGTTGGTGGTGTCGTCTGAAATGACGGTTGTGGAATCGCTTCCAGCAGGGGACGTAGCGAAGTACGTTAAGTTTGACGAGGAGCAACGGGACGTGTTTGGGTCCCAGGGTCGTCGACATTTAAACTTGGACCATCGTCACCACCTAAAGTAAGCGATGACGATGAGCGAGCGTTCGGCGTTTATATAGACGATCAGTCAGCGCGGGCTCTGCTGCACTGGTGCGTTTTGCCCGCACGCCACCATCAGCCGCATAAATTATTATATCTGGGTAAATATAGCACGGCCCGGGTTATGCGCCCGCAACCGTGTCCACAGGATAAGCGGAAAGATTAATGGCCGTGCTCAGCGCTTGCTCCTCCCACCTGCTACTTTTTTAACTGATCGTACTATGGGGTTGTCAATCCCCTCGTTGGTAACGAAGAGCGACATAAGGGTGACGCACGCATCACCTCCCGGAACGACGGGTACGGCTGACCGTCACGTGCCGAGCCTAGACTGAATACCAAGTAAAATGGAAGTAACGGAAGTGATTGGGATCAGCAGTGGTCGGGACGGTTAAATCGAGTGACCCTTGGTGACTCCTATTTTAACGGTTACGAGATCTCACGCTTGCATGTACCCCCAGCCACGTATAAATCTCCCACACTGCCTCAAAACTCCGCCCCGCGTAGCTCTCAGAGAGGGAGTTAGGGGTCGGTGCCGCGAACATTCGCTGTGTTGATTTTTTTTGTGAGAGCGCAACGTTACATCCGCATGAGGAAAAAATTGCCGTTAGGGGGCTCTCCGGGACCCATCGGAGAGGATGGGCCAAGCCCGGGATGATGAGCAATTTTATTAATAAACGCCATTGACTTTTGCCGAGAAAACACCACTGTGCCGCATTGGCCGGTAATTTTTCCCTCAGGCTTGGCTTTATAGGTAGTGTTCCTCTGAAAAACCCTTCGGCCTAGTCTCAGATTTTGTGTGGATGTGGGCGCACGCTGATTAAGCGCAATTGAGACGCCCACCTGTACGCTAGCGGTAACACCGATGGCCCGCGCCACTGCGGCACAGATTGCAAAGCCCCCTCTCTCATAGAGAATGAAAGAGGAAATTTGATAATGAGCTTACGAAAATTATAAGGTTTCTGAAGAAGAAATTTAAATTTAGTTGAGATTGTGGGCTCCGTCGTAATTATAGTAAAATTAGTTTGAGACATGCCGAGAAAGAAATCTATCGAGTTACTGATCAATTCCTTGAAGACACCGTTGCAAGCATTTGCACGAGGAAAGTGGCAACTGTCTTGGCTAGAAGCAACAATCGGAGATGTGTCTTGGCATACGAATAATTCCGTGACATCAGTGGTTGCTGGCAGACATTGATTCGGAGGCTAATGATTATTGAGAAAAAGATTTTTTTAGGTCAGCGGTAATTGAGAGATGGATTATTGTTGCAAGCTCTTCTTCGGAGCTGTTCATTGAAAACAATTTCCCAGGTTTAGCAACAATCGCTACGTCTTTTTGATCTACCTCAATATTGTTACTTTTGCGTGAACTTCAAAACCAAGGCTTGAAGTGCAAAATTCATACAGGAACTTGGGAGCCAACACGCGGCGAGGACAATACGATGGAGAATTTTCAATTACAATACCAGCGGTTAATCACGGCACTTAAATTCTTTGGGTTGGATTGAGTTTGAGTATCCTTTCAATTTCTGGGAATCTTCCAACGTGCTTGAAGGATACACTTAGAAACCAACCTTTATCCTAGACTGTTAGAAAATGATTAGCAAAAATCTTGGATAACTCGTTTGAATGTGACGACCAAGTCTGAATCCAATATGTTGACATACAATGGCTTAAAGGTGAAAAATACACATCAAAATTGCCGCTTATAAATTCGACCCGGCCCCTATCTGTTCGTTACTTCCAATAATATCAACAAATTTGAAATTATCAGATCCGTATTCCAAAAGGAATGACAGATATTGTGTGTGGAATAATTTGACAATAGTTGAGGCCCACAGCTTCTTATCGTTAAAGTTGTCATTCACCATCAGAAAAAAATTTGTAGTATGCCGTGATATACATAGATGAGAAGACCTTTTCTGCTTAGCGATGGGCAAGACAATTGCAAAAAAGGTTAGCTTTGGAGAGTCCATAATATTTGCTCTCGTTATGGTGTTAAAGAAAACGCATGCCATTAATCGATGGAATGGTTAGGAAAATTTGGACTCTTGTTGTATCTGATTGTATGTGGGATCAGAAAATTGATTTTATATTCATTGCAAAGTCTATTGTCTTGAAACACTTCAGGTTAAATAATTCCAGGTGGTATTATTTGATCTGTCAAATACCGTTGTGCGTGCGAATAGCAAAACGCGAGATTTTGTCGTGCGTTTACCAAAATTGATATATTACATTCATGGACATTAAAATCCAATTCATAAAATTAGTCACGTGACTAGTGCTTACCTGATTCAGCGACCTTCTTAGTGATCGCGAAGCCTGTCTTCCATGGTGAAGACAGAGTAATTCATATTTCTCGTGAGCTACCCGAAGAAAGCTACTCTATCATGACTTCCAAAGTAGAAACGTATTTTTCTCTTCCACAATTGCATTAACCTACTACTCCTTAAACCTTTTTGTCTCGCTATTGACAGCGCCGCACCGCGATCAATACCACTCCCATGGACCTCACACCGCTCTTTGACCAGTGCACAAAGATTGTGCTGAGCGAGCTTAAGAGCAAGGTCAAACCACCGAAGAAAAACCGCAATGCCGAGTTCATTGTCGACGACACTTTCATCAAGGAATGTGGGGAGCTTGACGCTGTGATCAATAACCTTGAACAGTTCATTGCTCGCGTCAAGCCCACGTACCAAGACATCGATAACTTCAGTGTCGATGAGAAAACCCAGGTTGACCAAGACTTTAGCATCCAAATGCAAAAGATGTATCAAAAGCTCAAGCTTCTCCAGGAGTACGAAAACAAACGGGAGCAAGTGACAAAAGCTCCTCGAAAAGGCGTAATTGCCACGTTATTGGGCGACGTACTGGAGAAGGAGTTATGGCAGACTCAGGTGGCCACTCACCGTACCCAAATCCTCAAATACCTCAACATTCGGCTCAACGCTGTGGGTAAACTGTTCGATGCCATCCAACGGAAACGCATGCAACGTGAGCGGCAATTGAACTTACTCAACTTCCAAAACATCGACGACGATGGTGGGTTGGACTTAAATAATCAGGACTATGCTGCTCTTCTTCAGGAAGAAGAACTGCGCCAGCAATTAGCCGCCCCTCAATTCACAGACGTCCAAGTTCAACAACTAGAGGAAGAGAATAAGGAGCTTTTGGCGCTTAAGCTGAAACAGCTCAAGCTGGTGGAACAATTGCACACGCTGATGGTGGACATCGTCAACCTTCAAGCTGAACTTACATTTCAATTAGAAACTCAAGCCGATCAGATCGACAACCTCATGGAAGCACAACTGCAAATGGAAATTGACGTGAGTCTGGGGAATAAGGAGATGAGGCTGGCCACCAAAAAGAACAAACGAGCCGCTAACATTTTGGTGACGCTGATCTACTGCATTGGCATCCTCATCGTGGTGGTTGACTTCATCAAATTTATATAATGAGATAATAATGACTATACCGGCACCTGTAATTGGCATTTTGGTCGTTAAAGCAATTACCCCACGCTTCTTTTCACATTGTGCAGGGATGGCTGTGCCGAGGGAATGTGTCACGCCGCGCATTCTATCATATGCAACCGAACTTCATCAGCCGAATACGCTCGGGACCAGCCACGCCCAACTCCGAGGCTTCTCGGGTTTGACTCGAAACCATCTGCTTCTAGCCACATGATGATTACCTTTACGTTCAGGTTCAAACCGATCTTGAACAACGGTAGAGTATGCGTAAGTCAATTGCACCAATTTTACAAATGGACACTAGCTACCGATGACATCGGTACTACTATCCTCGCATTGACCCTGGACAGCAGAATTTTCCTCTTTCTTTCGCCATATGTTAATGGCTTCTCCCATGGTAGCATATGTGCCTCTGGTAGTATATTCCTCGGCTTCCATGCGCACACCTCATCCCTCGGTAAAGGTTCGCTCCGAGATCTTGCCGAGGAAGAAGTCCGTTTCTTTTTACCGAAAGCCATGAAATATATAAAGATAGTCTCCATCGTAGTTTTTCTTCATCAAACAGCTTTGAATACAACAATCTCAACAATGGACGCTTCTCCCCTTTACTACTACGTTCACCACGAAGTCCCCGAAGCCACTGTGCGCAGAGCCATGGTCTCCAGACGGATGGGTACCCTCCTCACCACCACTGCTCCAGTGGTTGTTGGCTACGCCATGATGAAGATGGCTTTGACTGCTTAAGTCTTGACATTTGTTTCGATTATACGCTCAACAATTGGTTGAGTTCGGTCTTTAAGGCCAATTGCATATTATGGGTTAGCATGTCATGGGTTATGACAACAACAATGAATACATAAGTTTAATATAACGCTCTTACGGATTGTTACAATAGATCATTATTCAATCGGAAAGTCGTAAATTGGTAATGATTTCGATAAAATACGAGTTCGTTGTAATACTCGTATACGTCAAGCTTTTTATACGACACGATAAGAAAACCTGTAAGTTGTATAACATGCGAATAGTGAAAGTCCATACTGGACCTAACCAAAACGCTACCTTCATTTGGCTGAAATTTTCAGGCTAATACACAGTTTTGTGTGTTTTCTTGGTATAACGAGACTCTTTCAAAGCTTAAGCACAATAGCTTGCTCTCAATAGGTACACTATGGTCGTGCGCTCAGTGTGGAATAAGTGGACTGCTTCCAACGCCAGTATTCTGTGGCTAATTGTCAGCGACCAGCCGTAGGCAAATAAGAAGCTCAAGTTTTCGTTGATCTAAACGTGAAGCGCGATGTATTTAGTGCCTATAAAGTTGAATTCTTCGCTTGTGAATTGGAATGAAGGTAGTCATTCTCGATTTGAACGAAAATGCAAATACCAAGTTTCGCTTATGCCTCATAAATCGCAATGTTGCGNACCAAGTGTTGTATTAAGTTGGGTGAAAGTCGTGTACTACTCGAAATAGCCAAACGTAAAAAGGGCGGGATGTCGAGACCAACATTACTTCAAACTTGATACCTTTCGATAACTGTGTTTAGATGCATATGGTTGTAATCTCGACACCCCGCCGGGTATGTGCTGGGTCTGTACGGTGTATGCAGGGCGTGCATCCAACGAGCGGGTGACTTCAGCTCAGCCTAGGGTTGAACACCTTAAGCTGCCCGCACCGTGACAACTCCGTTGCCGGAGTTATCACGTATGCTTCTATATAATACTCACGCGGACTCCTCCCGAGTGCACCACCGCCGGAACCTACCGGCGAATACCCATGCCCCGGTCACCTACCGGTAAACCTATACCGGTGTGTAAGTATCTTCGACGGGGTATTCCTCCAAGGCCGAACAAACTATACAACAGTTGTGTACAGTCCGCGTGGCCTAATGGTAAGGTATCACTTTCCGGCGGTGGGGATTGCGGGTTCGAGTCCTGCCGTGGACTGATCTTTTTGCCATTTGACTTCTCCGAACACTCAGATCTCTACGATTTATCATTGTTTCCAGTTCTTGCCTATCACGAAGCTTTCCAGGAAGTCTTTTGTGTCATTTATATATGTATATCTCGGTGCGCGACAAACTCAAATATAGACGACATCCCACTTTAGTGAGACCAGCTTAAATAATCGAGGACCCTTGAACAGAGTTCCCATAAACCCATCGAATTGATTCCACTTGATGGTCAAGCTATCAGTATCCTCCAATATCGCATTGAAGCAGAAGTAAACGTCACCAATTTTCAAGTGAATGTCGGCTGATTCTATATGGATGTGGCAATCCACTACCCAGTCCCAGCCTTGAGGCAGCTGACTCCACTTTGCTTCGGTGCCATTAATGTGACACAGGAGTATACGAACCATTGTCGGGCAACATTTGTGGATTGTCATTCTGGTGATCGTGACCAGAACATAGTGGGGTTGATCCAATACCAACTGCGGGTGGTCGGTGTAATACTGCAAGTACCGTTTCTGTGATTTAATTGATACTCCTTGTCCAGCAAACCACCTCATCCGGCATTTGGTGAACTCTTTGAGAATATCATCGAGCGACTTCAGGCTGCATAATTGCCGATGTTGGTGCATCAAATACCAACAACAGAAGGTACCACTTCTTCCCTTACCTTCAAGACAATGGAACACTGCCACATTTTTCTCGTCCCGTGCTAACCAAGTATCAACTTCAGCACACACTTGTTGCAACTGCGAAATGGTGGGGGGATTGTGATCATCCACGGCATGCTCACTCACTTTAAAAAAAGCTTGATGGTTCGAGTATTCGCTAGGTTCCCGTTGGAAGTTCCACAAGTGCCAATTAAACCCATGAGTCTCAAGAAGATATGCGAGGGTTACAGAGGTGGGACTAGCTGCGACCAAGACACGGGGAGTGATGTAAACTAAATCCACCGTCTCCCCATTCCAGTTTACTTTATGCTTAGCAAGGCCATACATCTTTCTCAAAAGGTTCTGGTTTGTCATGACAATGATATGCGCTCGACGTGTGACATACTTATAAGACTGTGTAGATACTCTGTACTCTGCAGAACTCGGAACTCGTGAAAATGAATTTGATTATAGCACTATAAAATTTGGAAACCCCAGTGGTATTGTCACGATTCAATCGAGACGTTTTTGAAGTTTTTCACCGCACGCAGACGCCGCATGGGCAGGCCCAGCGGTGACGAGACAGCAGGGTAGGTAGCAGCAGAGGTATTGGAGCCAGTAGCCGACCCGCGGCGCCGCACCACCACCGTGCCGTAATTGCGGTTGAGTGAGTAGTCTCCTACCTCTCGAGCCGAAAGGATCGTCAGTTGACGGGAAATCATCAGCTCGCCATCGGCAGAGTCGTACTCAAGCATTTCGCCAAGCATCAGACGGCGGTTCATGGAGAAGTGCTTCAGTTGCGAGTCCAACGTTGCTGTCAGTTCCGCTGACTGAATAGAGGCAACATCAGGCTTGGCCAGCGATTGTCTCAGCACCGAGATTTCGTTCAGCTCGAAGATAGGCGTTGCTTGACGGTCCTCCATGTACTGTCTGAACTCGTTGACTTCCTGGCGGAGCTTAATGCGGCTAGTGACAACTGCCTTGAGGTACATACGCCACAAGTCTACCATATGAGCGGTGGAGATGTCAACCTCGTCCTCAAACACAAGCTCTTTCCCTTCAGGAGAGCTCGAACTGGGATCGTAGTATGCATCGAGCACACTGAGGTCGGTTGGGTTCTTGCCAGCGGGCTTAGCTTTTTGCGAGATGACGCGTTCGGTGATCGGGGGTTGGGCTGTGGTCTTGTGTGGAGGAGTAGGAGGCACTTGCTCGTGCTGGTCATTTTGCCCTTGGTATTGCTCCAGATGCTTTTGTTTAGGGGATTTAGTGGGAGTTTTGGTGGAAGTTTTAGAAGGGGTCTTGTTGGGAGTCTTGGTTGGCGTTTTCGGCGGTTGAGTGAAAGGAAGCTTTTTGCGCTGCTTTTTGAGAGCACCCCCGGAGGTTTCAGCGTACTCTGGCGTATCGGAAACCTTAGGGTTGGTCACATGTTTGGGTACATGTTGACGAGGCAGCTCGTGCGGTTTGCGCGACGGTTCCGCTATCGATATCACCAGAGACAACTCGTGTTTACTCAGCATCTCACGAAGTTGCTTGCGATCAACTTCACGGTCACGGGTTTGGAGTTCCAGGAAGGACACCTGTTGCTGATCAATATAATTGAACAAGTGGCGCATTCTCCCTTCAGCCTCGACCTGTTGAGCATGTTGAGCTCGCTGGACTTCTTGAGCGGACTGAGTATGAGGGAACGTAGGGTGGCTGGTGGTAGCTCCAGCAGCGCGTTTGACATCATCGTTGAGCAGGCTGATGCGGTGAGTGCCTTGGCCCAAGTTGGGGTTGTTCATCGGGGCCAGCACCGATAACCCTCGTCTGAGAGCCTCCACCACTTCGGGGTTACGAGGCTTCTCACGGTATTTGCGCTTAAGAGTTCTCAGTCTCCCCTGGATCAGGGGTGATCGATTAGCTGGGGTCAGCGCTGTGAACAAGCGACATCTAAGCGCTCTGAATGCCTTCTTCATTCGTAACCACATACGGTAGATGACCAGGCCTTTCTTGAAACGGATAGCATTGCGACGACTAAGCGGTGAGTCCACCAGCAGCAGCCGGTCCACGACCAGCACCGATTGCGGACGAGGACGCCGCTGAAAGAGGCGTGGCCGGCGACGAGCGCTACTGGAAGCGTCGTGGGGCAGACCTCGGGTGGAGAAAATGGTGGCCTGAGACTCCATCAGATCACTGATGTCACGGCCGATATTGTGGACCGAAGCTTGCGGGGCAGAAGACAGCATTGGCAGACGGCTCAGGGGCGACGGGCGCAGCTTGGAGGCGAGCTTAGCGTCGGGGACCTCGACCAGAATGAACGACGCAAGCAGGAGGTTATCAAGTTTTTGCGTGGTGTGGGGGTTTTGCTGGTCGATGATAAACTGGGAGAACCGCTTGGGCACCTGATTAAAATCGTCCGCATGTTTAGCCGCGGCGGCTGGGCGCGGCAGCCGAGCCAGCAGTCCGTGGTGGCCACTGCCGGGAGCCATTGGCGGCACTAGCGGCGACGGGAACAGCAGTGGCGGGAGCTTGGGCGAGGGGAAAAGACGGTCGGTGTCGAGGGACGAATACACCAGGCTCACCAGGGTGGGGTTGCTGAGGTGGGACGAGCGGTGGTGCCGTCGGTTCTGGGGTACAAGATGGGAGGCGACGTCCATTCCCGGCTCTGGTACATATATAAACCTTGATCTGAGTATTTTAAAACTCTGTTGGCCGGCGCCCCGCCTGGTTTTGTGGGCTCGGCGCACACTGTACCTGATTCGGCATAAAGGTAAACACGGGGCTGGATCGTCAGCCAGCGCGGTAAAACGGGAGAGGCGTTAGCAACGGCTAAATCAAGCCAGTGGTCGTCTGAGTAGTAAGGGGCGGTCGGAGAGTGGTCATTGGTGGTTTCAAGAGTTACATGGTGGTGTAAAAGTCGAATCTTTTCGCTTCCCTAGAGCAAGAGCATGGAGGGTCACGTTGCTGTCTGCGGCGTGGTGGGTGGGAAGAGAATGTCTAAGGAGGGAGACTGCTGGTGCGCACACGCTAAGGCGTAGAATGAGGCGATAGCACTGATTGACTACGACGACATTTCACCATAGTTTGAAGGTAATTTCTGGATAATAGAATTTTCAACAATGGCCCCAGCAGAGGGTTAGTAAACAAAGCTAAATTTTAGGTTCACTAGTGGACATCCCTGATCACTCTATCCCCTACTCCTGAGTTTGTGTCGACGCAAAGACGGTAGATGTGCATCGTCTATGCCGAGTATATGACGAACCATCTCAGCGACTGATGTTGCATTGGCAGCACGGTGCATGTGCTGCTCAGTATCTGGCAATTTGTCCCCCGATAGGCGTCATCGCCCAAAGCTTAATTTGTCAAACGTACGCCAACGTCGAATGAATAGTCCCTGTTCAGGGTGCTAGGGCAGATATGATCTTCTGTGATATGCTGTCATTACCTCTAACTGCTGCGGTTGCATGATGACGTGAGGAGTACTGAGAAGATGCCTTACCATTGTGCTGTGTGCCACGGGGGACCTAATTTCACCTGTACCCTGTAAACTAGTGGCGTGTGTCTACGCTTGCATTGCCAGAATGAAAAATGCGTGTACTATTAGTGTATACGGTGCTACTTTTACTCGATGACTTCTTCCTTTTCCTCGATGATCTCCTCCTTGATCTCCTCGATGGTTTCGACCTGGACGTCGGAGTGGGCCTCTTCGTTGTGGGCGTACTTCGACCGGTATTCTCTCCACTTCTCCAACGCCTTTCTGCGGGCTAGGATCGCCTCGCGCACGGCGGCATCGGCTTCCATGGCGTCCAATTCGTCGAATTGAGCCAGGTATTCGCGGAGGTTGGTTCTGACCTTCTTGCGGTCGTTGGCCGATAACAACGACGCCGGGCGGGGACGCCAGATGAACTCCTTGAATTGTTCCACCGTCTGGTCGCGCACTTGGTTACCAGTAAATTCGTACAAGTGGTACCCGTTGTCGATGGCGTGGATCCACGCCGACGACCACGCGGCCAACAAACGACCCGAGGGGTCCCATTGCAAGTTGGTCATGGCGGTGTACTTTTCCGTCTTGAGCAACTTGATCTTTTCCTTATCGTCGTCGAACTGAGTGTCGTAGAACTCAAGCTCACCGTTGTTACGCAAGATGGTGGCGATGACGGCGTAGCGGCCCTTGGGCGACCACACGATGGTGTTGGAGTGCTTGTTGGGGATGGCCTTCACCGGCTTGTATGAAGTAGCAGCAGTCTTCTTGGTACCCTTTTGGGCTTCGGGCTCGTAGAAAGTGATGGTGTTCTTGGGGATGGCGGGGTTGTTGTTGCCGTCGTCAAGACGAGAGATGGTGATGAACTTCTCCGACTTCGGTTCAAAAGCGAAGTTAACCACCACGTCCTTAAGCTCGACCTTTTCCACGGGGATGTCCTTTTCGGTGGTCTTGAAGAACTCAAGATTAGTGAAAAGAGTCTTCCCGGACTTGGTGTGCCGGTCAACCTTGACACACAACAACTTACCTTCCGATTGCCAGTGCATCTTACAGTCAGACACTTGGAACAAGTTGACGGTACGCAACACTTCACGCGACGGGATCTGCATCACCGCCACTCTCGCGGTCTTGTTCGGCGATTCGGGGGTCCAGTACGACAACAAGTGGGCGGGGGCTTCACCCTTTTGACCACCGGCCAACTTAACGCCGGCAGGGGCCCATTCGAAGTCGACAATGTCGTCGATCTTGATAAGCTTCTTGTCCAACAATTGGAAGGTTTCGGTTTCGTAGACGGCAAGAGCGTCGGGCCCTTGACGAGCACAGTACTTGTCGTCGTAAGACCACTTGACCAACGGCCACGGCATTTCCTTTTGCCCTTCCAAGTAAGGCGGCAAAGCGAACGTCCGCACCGGTTCGTTGGTGGTCAAGTCCCAGATGACCAACTTGTGGCCAATCGACTCCTTCGAGAAGGGGAATTCCGCTTTTTGTTCAGCCGATTCGGGCAAAGTGATGGGGAGGGGCGACAACGTCACCATGAATCTTTCCGTGGGCGAGAAGTCGACGAGTCTCACCTGGTTGTGGAAGAACTTGGCCACCTTGCGGAAGTCCAGAGCCCCCCACGCTTGGACACCTTGCGGGTGGATCGAGAACAAGTAGGTCCCCTTAGGCGAGAACTTGGCATACTTAGAGGTGAAGCCCTTTCTCGGTTCGACCACGGGCTCGGGTTCGCGGCCCTTCTTGTTCCAGAACATACCGACGGTCTCCGAGTAGTGGAGAACGATTTGGTCTCTACCGGTGGGGTCTTGCAACCACAGCTTGAGGTAGCCGTGCGATTCGAACGGCTTCACTTCGGGTTCGACGAATTCCGTCGAGATCTTGCCTTCAGCACCGTACTTTTCCACGTCGGACAACCGGTTGACAAGCAATCTGTGGTTTTGATCGAGCTTCTTGCCGTTCAATTGCTTGATGGCCTTCATCGCGTCTTCGGCCTTTTCGTATTGGATGAAAAGGTAACCCTTGGTCTTGCCGTTTTCGAGAGGCATGAACAAGCCTTCTTCGCCTTCAACAATGGTGCCGGCGCCCCCAAACAACTTGCGCAACACCTTGGTAAGCACGGGCACCTTAGCCTCGGGGGCGATGGGAGCGCCATCGACAACAACATAGTTGTTGAGGTCGATCGACACCTGGTATTGCTCCTCCAAGTCGGAGAAGTCGATATCGGTGAGATCGATCTCTTTCTCGATATCGGCGTCGAGATAAGTAGGCTCAGACATGTTCGTTACGTGAAAAGTTTTCGCGCGATGTGGAGAGATCTACGAAGCACTCGCGACAGTTAATACGAAAAAAAAAAAAAAGAAAGAGCGGCGAGATAACGGGGATAATAGTATGAGAGAGTGGGGCGATGAAAAATAGACAGCATGAGGTTTTCGAAGAACCAGAGACATTAGTGAATATGGCAAAAACTTGTGCCGGCCCCAGGAATCGAACCTGGGTTTGTTCGGGGTTGTGTCGCCACAACGAACCGTACTAACCACTATACTAGACCGGCTTCACGGATTTTTGAGCTTTCAGGATTTTTGGACGTAATTAGCGGTTTGTAAGATTTTCCGCCTATCTGCCTATATTTTAGCCTTTCGCATGATCGGATGACATTTTCAGGCTTTGGGGAATTCATTTACTGGGATAAGTACAGTTTCACTGTCTCGAATACATTGATAAACGTGTCGTATACCATCAAAATGGAGGGTACAACAATGTATAAATGTACAAGTGTAGTTGCTTTCCACACGCATTGACACTAGGTCTCAAACATGCTATTTTGAAAATCATCGACCTGAGTCTAAGAGTCATCTGAATCTTACTCAGTGTCTATAATTGAAGCTCAAACAATCGTACTCTGAGGTAATACACAGTTTTTAAAAAAGAAATCAATATTGAAGAGCGTGGTTGTTTTTAGGCGTTTCATTTTTAAGCGAGTAGCCATGGCTGTTTAACTCAGTGTTCGTAAGAGCTAAGCTAATGTGGTACTCTTGGTATGTTATTGTGCTCAGCTTAACATCCATTATCAGATTCATACATCGAGAATGGATGGGAACTTTACCTCAAATAAGTAATCTAATCAACCCATTCATATTGTTAGATGAGTCTTGTTGCATATATCGGTAGATGAAAAGCTCCGTTTACGTACAACTCTCCGATGATTTAATTTAGCGTGGTGTCTGTCTCCTTCCTTCCTTCCTTCATCATACATTACGTGTCATTACTATGTACATGGTGACCACTAAACTCTGTATCTCTCCAACTTGTTCAACTTGCCAGCGGTCTTGGCGTTGTTTCTCGTCTTTTGACCTCTCACAGGCAACCCGCGGACGTGACGTTGCCCCACGTACGAGCCAATGTCCTTCTTGAACTTGATGTTTTCGTTGATTTGAGCCTTAAGCGCCCCGTCGACAGTCAACCCCGAAATCTCCTTGTTGAGTTCCATGATCTGAGGTTCCGTTAAGTCCTTCATCCGCATCTGGGGGTAGATGCTGACCCGGGCACAGATTTGCCGTGCGGTCTTTTCGCCAATACCAAAGATGGCATTCTTAAGCCCAAGCCACACCTTGGTGTTGTGCCGGATGTTGTGACCGAAGATGTGCACCGCCATGGTTCAGTGAGGGAAGGCCTTTGGGTGAGGGAAGATTTTTTCAACCGTAGTGCGACTGGGACGATCTTGGGATTTTCCCCTGGCTCGCAACCGCACCATCAGCATCAGTCATACATAATCTCAATTGCCATCGTTTTGTTCTTACCACAATTCAACTATCATGAGTTCACAACCCCATGGATGTACCCCCGACCTGAGCCAGTTCACGTGTAACACGTGTGTGATCAAGTTCCCCCTGGCCGAATACCAGCGCCAACACATGAAGAGCGACTGGCATCGGTACAACTTGAAGCGCCGAGTGGCTCAGTTGCCGCTGATTTCGTCCCAGACGTTCGCCGAAAAGGTTATCGCTGCTAAGGAATTGGAACAGTATAGCAACGAAGACGAGTACGGGTTTCACGTCACTGCTAGAGACCGTCGCCGGCAACAAAGAGAGCAGCAGCAACAGCAGACTCCAACCCTGATTACAGTGGGCAAAGACCCTCATCCGACTTCAACTGTGAGAAGACAATCCAACTCTCTGGTCCACACTGAAAGACTGAACTTCTCACTCGGTACCGATGCTACTTATATCACTGACGAAACGGGGTCGCTTCAATATGATCTGGATGACTTTTCTGAAATCAATGACGATTCCGAAAGCTTTGTTGACCTCCAAAAACTGACGTCAGCGCGCTTTGAAGCGCTGGGTATCCCCGTTGACCACTGCTTATTCTGTGGTGTGTCTGCTTCTGGAATTGAGGCCAACATCAAACACATGTTTAAGCGTCACGGGCTCTACATCCCTGAACGGTCATTTTTAACCGATGTTGCCGGTCTTTTAGCATACCTCTCCGCCAAAGTGTCGCAGTTCCAGTGCCTTGTGTGCAACTTTCAAGGCCGTAATTTGGAGCTGGTGTGGCAACACATGGCGACTAAAGGTCACAGCCGCATTCCCTATGAACTGAAAGAGGACAAACGTGCCATTTCTCAATTTTACACCTTTTACGATGACGTTGAAACGAAGCCCAAGACAGAAACTAAAGTGGCATTTGCTGAACCTCTGAATGACCAAGAAAACGACGACGAAGACGAAGCATCCACTGATAGTGATCTGGATAATGGTGTTACCGATAACTACCAACTAGCTCATATTGACTCGCTGGGAGAACTCGTGTTGCCTAATGGCACGGTGATTGGTACTCGTAATCGTCAGCGCTACTACCGCCAGCACCATGATACTCTGGCCTTAGTGTTGCGTGATCAACCCACTTCGGACAACCGTGCAGTTGCTGTTAGTGACCGCCGGTTAGCTCCTGGTCTTACCGCACAAATTGTGTCTAAGCAGGAAGTACAAGCACGCCGGGCAGTTAAGGATGCCCAGCAACAATGGCTCCGCAAACAGAAGCCGGAGAAGCTCAACTACCAAAAGCACTTCCGCGACGAGATGTTGCAATGAGCACTTTCCTTATGCTAGCTATGTATGGGATGAACGACTAATGCCTACGATACACTCATAGATTTTCGATTGAATTTCTGATGCATTCTCATAATTATTTGACGTTGAGAGAGTAGTAGTTATAGATACCACGCTGGCTGAACTCTACTGGCCAGATGTCCTCGGCATCAAGCCTTTCCAGGTACGCCTTGGACTTGGACAAGTGCATGTTCATGTACCCTACCAGACAGTTGATCTTGCGCAGAGCGTACTTCAAAAATTGGGGCTGTTTTACTTTCTGGACGATCTTCTTACCTGTCTCCATATCATAGTAGGTCAAATTGCTGGTGGCATAATGACGCAGCGACGTATCGTTGAGCACTACCAGCTTGAAGGTAGGATCATTTTCCAGAAGCTTATAGATCCACGCCCGACGGCCTTCATTATCATAGAACTTCCATACTTGCGGGGTCACCACGGGATCGAGGAACAGCTGTTGTTGAGGAACAATTTTAATGTAGTCGCCCAGGGCGGACGCTTCATACAAAATTTTGTAGTCGAACTCCACCGCCTCAATGTGGGAATTGAAGTTGGCTTTGAGGAAACTCAAAATATTAAAGCGAGACAACTTCATTCCCAGTAAGTCGATGTACTTGAGACTGGGCACCCCTTGAACAAAATTATTGAGTTCTTCCAATGTCAAATTGGAGTGGCCAATCAGCAATGACTTGAGCAAGGGGAACTTCTGCTTGATAATCATCATCGTCAGGTTCTTGATGGGAAGTCCCAGTAAGTTGAGGTACTCAAGCTGCAGGGCCTTGATATGCTTGAGGGTGTAAATTAAGTAGATGTCACTGAGGGGACTGACGACGTTGGAATCGATTTGCAAGTTGAGCCATCTCAACGTGTCGTTGGCTACCGCAGGATGCTGAGTCAAAAAGTTGATCAAGTCCTTGGTGGTGAGCCGCAGGCAGCGCAGCAACAGCAAGTGGGTGAGGCGACAAGTCGTCGGCAAGTATTGGTTCAATATCGCCAGCGTGATGGACGTGTGGGTCAAGTCGAGCCGGCGGATGTGGTGCAAGTGCGGCAACACCTTGATGAAGATGTCCGAGGTGAGCAGGGAGCAGTCGTGGAAGGAAAGCTTGTACAAATGCGAGAGAGATGAAGTCTTGGTGAACTGGATCTCGTACTGGAGCTGAGGCTTCAACTCCATGGGCTCGATGTCGATGTGAGAGGTGTTGGCTAGAGTGGGATTAATCACTGGCAGCATCACCGGCGACAACTGAGGCAGGGTCACGTCATCAACATTGGGGTTGGCGGGGATATCGTTATCGATAATGAGCTCGACAAACGCCTTGGTGAACTTGTCCAGCAGGGCGCCACAAAAGTCAATCGCTTGGATTTTGTAAAGCCGGTTGAACAAGTAGTCAAGCACGTTGACGTCCATGTCGTCCTGGATGTTTTCCAGCGCCAAAAACTCGATGAGGTTAGGCGTCATCAGAAGAGCGGCGGTGATGGTGCGCAGCGTCACCATCTCGATCTCCTGGTTCATGCGCCCAGTACGGCCAAGACCAATCAGGGTGAACTGCTGGAAGTCCATGAACTCGACGTATTTGCCGATGAACCGGTTGTGGTTCAAGTTACTGAGGAACTTGTCGAATGAGTGGGGGCGATTGAAGATGGCGTAGCGGTAAAGAAAGCAAAGCAGGAGCTGGTTGAGCTTACGCAGCAAGAGGGGGATGGTGTTGGCAAAGCTTTCGAGGTTATCGTTAATGGAGCTGACATTATCATCATAATAAACGATCTCAATGATGCGGTAGAGCACCTCGAGCGGGAGGGCAAGCAACGGCGACACCTGCGACTGCGGGTTCGGCAACAGTGCCAGCACCGTTTGGAACACGGGGGGGAGCGCCGGCGACGGGGGTTCCTCCGCCAGCGTGTCATCCTCCTCCTCGGGCACCACCTCCGCCATCAGCGGGTGCAACAACGTGTCGATGGGATTGAGCAAATCGTGTTCGGAAGGGTGGATTTTGAACGTCAGGTACGGGGTGTCGTCCTGTAAATCGTGGTGGACCTCGGCCTCGTCCCAATTGATGTGCTGAGCCAGCACCAGCTTAAACAACAGCGACGCTTCCATTGGCTCATGCTGGAGGGGCGATACTGCTAGCGGATCAGCGACATCCGCTTCGGATTCGTTGGAGGTGATTGGGGAAATGAAAAAATGGGACTGGCCCAATGCCTCCGAGTTGTCGGGCAAATCGTGGCGGGTGACGTCATGGGGACGAAACGAGGTCATTGAGGTGAATACCAGGCCCCGGTGGCCTCTGGCACGCTCGGGGGAGGCGGGATTAGCCTCGGCGCCGCATGGGACCGATAACCGGTGCTGATCAGTGGGAGGGGGTTCCAAGAGATTAGACGTGGAGTACGACTCCTTTAACGCGTGCCGACGGAGAACACGGCCGTCCTGACCCTTGGCTACCGATACCTGGTGGCCCATTCCCTGTACACAGTGCAGGGGTGTGTATTCAGAAGCAAAGACAAGGCTAAGGTGGTGATGGTTTTTCTCTCGCACTCGGGGGGTTTATATTCGGGGCTAGTGATGCGAGAACGCCGTGGCGGTGACCAACGGGAAATGGGCCAACGACGCCAAAATTAGAGTGGATGTTGGGTGGCTGGGACTGCAATTTGATTACGAATAGTTTTTATAGTGTCGTCTGACAAAATTGTGTAGTTTTTACCCTGGGGGACGGGGTTTGAGGTGGGGGTGAAGGCTGGAGGCTGCCGCTTTGAGATGAGGTGCGATCTGGGGCATGCGCGGCCATTGGGCGAAGGTGGGGAAGCGAAATCGCAGGCGTCGAGACGAGGCAGCCATCGTCTGAAGAGGACTACACGTATGGCACTGGGAAGGACGGGATGATTCGAAGCGGGCTTTCAGAGTAAGAGGAAAGTAATGGTATGGTCTGCTCGTATATACTAAACCATCTTTCCCAGATGCTCATAATTGTTTTGCGTGGTGGTGCCATGTGGCACGGCGAATGGTCTCCCACAGGTTGCACTGTGAGAAGAGTAAGTGGAAGCGTGTTCGGTTTTTTCCACCCCGCTCACAATTTCTCGGCAACACCGAACGTGAGTGACATGGAAAAAGTCTCACCAGCAATTGGTCCAAGTCAGCCGCTAGTAGTACCTAAACAGCCGGAAGCAGTGTGGTTGGTCTATGAAGTTACTGGAAATTCGGGGTGACTTTGCTTCAAGAACGGATCTCTTGTAGTTCGTGATGTTAACTTATCATTGACTTAACAATTATGGCAAATGTGACAATTCTAACAATTCTAACAATTTTGACGATTTTGACGATTTCTGACTTTGAGAGACATGGTCTCAACCCTCAAGCCTCAGGCAACCCCCCATACGCCACAACATCGTCGTGTGATGCCGTCGTGGGCTCGGTGGGCAACTTACCGTTTTCGACGCAGCAAGCGAACTTCGATTGCCGCAAAAGAACATCGACCTCAAAGTCAATTGAAAAGCGAACTGACACGATAATTTGGTGCTGACAGTCAACAGTGGATCTACAAAGTAATCTTACACCTATGAGTTAATTGACACTGGTGGTGACGGCCCGATTTTAGGGTCTAAGACCCCGGATAACAGCAATGTTCATGGCTCACAACCACAGATTGTATATATCTTCTAGGGCAACCATAGTCACCGAGTCTTGATCTTACCCTCCCACCACCACTACCACCTCATATCCACCATGGCCGCTCCCGTTGCAATGCTCTTCATCGCCACCTACTTCAACTTCGCCTTCTCCGATGGCGCTTGTGTCACTGAAGAAGGTGCTCCTCCTCCCAAGGGGGTTCCCTCGCCTCCGCAGACCGTGGCGTTAGCGGCGTTTGCCGCCTCGGCGATCATTAGTTACGCTAAGGCCGCTAAGTGGCACGTTTGAGTTTCAATTAAATGAGTTAACGCAATACACAAACGATCAAATGTTAGCTATAATTTATCTGTAAGCCCGCACCTTATCATCGTTATCGCGTGCGGTTCGAGTCCCCGTGATGACATTTTACATATTTAAGTGTAAGTGTTCCAAATGTCGTTTCTATTATTATCTATATTACAACCCCACTGCTTAGTCGAACAAACCGAAGCCCATGTCGTCGTCGGATTCTTCAGCGGCTTCTTCTTCCTTTTCTTCAGCGGCAGCAGCGTCACCACCAGCGGCGGCAGCACCGCCGGCGGCGGGGGCAGCACCACCGGTAGGGACCGACGAGAGCTTTTCGGTACCTTCGGCAATCAATTCCTTGATGTCCTTGCCGTTGAGTTCTTCAACAACCTTGTTGACCTTGTCTTCTTCGACTTCGGCGCCGATCGATTCGAGCACCTTGGTGACGTCAGCCACGGTGGGGGCAGTGTTGCCGGCGTTGACCAAAAGCAAGTAAGCAGCCAAGTACTTCATTCTGTTATGTTAGTCGCTGATGCGGAGATGGAAAAGCGCGGAGGGGGCGGCGTCGGTACCTACCTTTGTGTATATGGAGGGGTGGTCGACTGGCTGCTAAATTTTTCATCGCTGGGGGTGGGTGCGCGTTAGGGTTACTACCCTAGTCACGCGCATCACGTGACACAGACACCAGGCAAATAAGCTATTCAAATCCACCGCCAACCCACGACAACATCATCGTCACTGGTGTCTACGACTATTTAGTATATCAATAAATGCTTTATTTATTACGTAGACGCACCCGCTACCGCAATATGCCTATTTTTATTGGCGCCGCACTTGGCTGCAAAATTGACCCATATAGTAGACAAATGTATCAGTTTTACGCAAATATTGATCAGTGATAAGTATTAAAATAAGCTCACGAGTCGTGGGCTTTACGAGTGTATTCGTCACTGTGTTCGTTGATCACCTCTACCTTACCTTCGTCACTGTCTTCATTGACCACTTCCACTTTGTCGCTCGATAAGTCATCGTCGTCGATCTCATTATTGAACAACTTTTCGTCGTGGGTCAAGGCTTCATTAGTACCAAAGATGTCCTTAGAGCACCCGTGCTGGATACAGTAGTTCTTGAACCGAATATCCTCCTCCATCAAGTCATTATTTTTGTCGTTCAAGTTGGGGACAAATAACAAACTGACAATGACCCCAGCAAGACCACAGATGGCAGCAATAATGAACGTCCATTTTTTACCAAGATTCTTTTGGATAGGATTGAACGCTTGGGTACCCACTACCGCTCCGACTTTACCGATGGCAGCACAAATACCATAGGCGGTGCCACGGATGGGAGTAGCAAACAGCTCCAGAGACACCGTACCAAGACAGTCACCTGGTCCCAAGTTCCCCGAACTCATAAAGAACCCGTACAACACGATAAACCCAGCCGTGTGTTTCAGAAGCAGGTCGTAAGCACAGCCGACGATGAGACCAAACACGATGTAGCCTGCAAACCCAATCATCATCGTCCACTTTCTGCCGATGATATCAATAAGGAAGGCACCAATAAACACACCCGGGATGGCCAACACCCCCAACAATAAGTTCCATTCGGCAATCTTGCGCAAATCTTTATTTTGTTCCTTAGGAATGACGTTACTGATAATTTGCGCAGAGAAGATCCCGTTGGGGAAAGTAACAAAGTCGTAAAGGAACCAGGCCATGGAAATCCCCACAAGTCTCATCCAGTAAAACTTGATCGCTAGCCAGTACGGCACTTTGCGTTTCACAGCTGATCTTTTGTAAAGTTCCAGTGTGGCAATTAACCGGAAGGGAAGCACAGCAAGCGGCCAGAAACAGCCAATCGCAAACATCAGCTTCCAGATCCCCGTGTAGTGATTCTTACAAATGGCCTGAACGATAAGGAACACGATAAGAGCGAACGGACCCCCAAAACTAAGGGGGAGATTGGTCACAAGCACGAATGCCCGACCACGACGTTTCACCGACGCGTTGGCAGCCTCTGATGCCAGTGTTGACAGTGCCGGGTATTCAGCCCCGATACCATAACCAATGATACCACGACAATACCGGATCCAGGTGAGAATGGTGTGAGGACTACCATGAGCTGTCAGAGCCACAAGCGAGCCGATAACCAAGAAGAAAGTACCACCGATGACCGCAGCTTTACGACCAATGTAGTCACAGACAACCCCCACCGTCACTTGGCCAATGATAGTGGCAATCAAGGAAGCATTGGAAATATTGGTCAGCATTTCCGACGTGTACTCCTTGGGGAACTGAAGCGAGAACACTTTGTTAAGCATAGACATCAAGTTATTCTGGTAGCCATCGGAGATCAAGGCGAAGCCAGCGCACAAGATGACAAAGGCATCCTTCCAACGGGTACCTTTGTCGAACCGGTGCTTACGAGCATCAGCATTGTACTTGAAGTGCTCGTCGTCGTCTTCAGTGGTTACGTCCACCTTTTTCCGCTCCCAATCGAAGAGAACCATGGTTGGGGCCAAGCAAACGCCACATTTTCATTTCAATTTATACCCATGGTGTTCCGTATCCCTCGGCCGTACAACCCAAAAAAAAATAAACTTTTTCCTCGTGGGAATTACATCGCCGGAGCACACCCCACTCCGGCTCTCGCCAAGAAATTGCTCACGTAATCCGGTACAAGGAAGTGTCTAATGCACAGGGCTAATGCGGTTGGTGATCGCTATTATAGGGACCTAGGAGTAGAGCTTTGTTTGTTTCCCATCTCCTATTCCCTGGAGTCTTCTGGATTAGCGAAGATCAGGGTTTGCACAGACGACCCACCCACATGGGCTGGATGATTGTCGAACGTGGGGGGGGCAGGCGTCGCACGATGCCGACATCAATTTAGATAACTCCCGATCGGGAACTCCACAGCCGCACCAGCCACGGCTTCAGGGCCTAAAACCGACCTAAGCGAGCATATGTAGCGGATTCCACATTATGAACTATCCTCCTCCGACGATGTTGGCAAAGTCCTGTTTACCCCACACTGTAGTTACCATCTCATTGATCGACGCAATTCATTAAAGTCAGCCACCAGGGGTCGTAGGGCATTTTTGGCGAAATTGTCACTGTTGCCACTTAAACGAGGTGTTTGTGGTAGCTGTCTGCAACGTCCCTTAGTAAGGAAATATTCCCTCACACGAAGCCAACGTGGGCCCTGCAGGGTCGGTGTCGGCCCGGTTGTCATGGTCTGTGTCCCGGACCGGAGATTGTAGGTGCGAAAGGGTAGTGGATTGCGATAACCTTAGAGTGGAGATCATCGCGCGAAATGTGGACTCGCCGGCTCTCCACCAAAGTCAGCCATCACACCTACAAACAGTTGGGGCTAGACCACGTCAAGGGCTTGCCTCGTCACGATGTGGTGCCGCTCAGCTGGCAGCAGTTCAAGCCGAAAAAGCTGCTAATGCCACTGCTGCTGCTGCTGTTGACACTGAAGCTGCCGGTGATTATGCTCCACGGATTTTTGGGGCTGAAACAAAACTATCTGCTGGTAGGACGCAAAATCAGCGAACTCACGGGGCACCCGGTGTTTGGAGTAGATCTCCGTAACCATGGCCAATCGCCCCACGCCAGTCCTCACACTTACCCAGTATTGGCTCACGACGTCAGTCAATTGGTCGAGGACCAGCAATGGCACGATGCCATAATTGTCGGCCACCTGATGGGGGCTAAAGTGGCGATGATCTGCGCGTTGCAGCACCCCAAACTCTATTCGAAGCTCGTGATTATCGACAATTCGCCCGTCCAGGCGGCACTTGTCGCTCTCACCCGAGATTTGGAAGCTATGGGCCACGTGGAGGCCCAGTACCGCCAATTTAGCGATAAGCCCACGGCAAAACAGCTTGACAAAATTGAAGACATTTTAAAGGAGTACGAGCCCGACGCCGGGGTTCGGCTTTTCCTCAAAAGCAACTTCGATAAGCACGACCCCCTGCGGGCATTTAGAGTACCCGTGCTCAATTTTTTGAAAGACGATGTCCTTAACGATATGGGGGGGTGGCCCGACAATATCCCCAAGCATTGTCGCTTCCCCAAGCCGACGTTAGTGATGAAAGGAGCCCATCTGAATTTCATCAAGACGGAGTACAAACCCGCCTTCGACCATTACTTCCCCAATAACCAGTTGAAAGTATACGACAGCGGCCACTGGGTGGTTCAGCAACGTCCCGAGGAAGTTGTTCGAGACATCGTCGACTTTATCAATCACTGAAGCGATCATAGAGAAACACTTTTTGATAGACACAGATAATATCATAGACGACAAGAGACATCGATAGACGATACGGTTTCTCGGGATGCTTGTAGAAGGGTCTAAATTTCATTATCTGCGCCATGCTTGTCGTAAACTGACATATAGAATTGATCATGCCACAGCTCGCTTAACTGATGATCAGAGATAAGTGGGATTAATTGAGATCAACATAATCAAGCAATTACGAATGAAGACTTTGAAGTATCTCACATAAACAATTCGAAACTAGTTTCAAGTTCATGCAATATAGATGAGTATAGGAGTAGAAGTACATTACCTGATGATGTACTCACGTCTTTGAAGCACCCACAAGCATGTCTTCTGATGACATCAACTCTCGCTTAGCAAATGTTTCGCCACATTTTTCCCCCGTTGTTGCTCATGGTTCTCGTGCTCTCGTGCTCTCGTTCGTGGCGGCGTTGCTCACGCACTGGAAAAATTCATCTCTGCTCGCTCGCCTCCACAAACCCAACCTATGGCACACCGACTTCTCGTCAACGTTATCGTCACCGGGGCCCTGGTGTTTGGCAGAGCCTTCACTGAGGCGTACAAGCAAGCGGCCAAGGCGTCGGCTGCCGGTGCCGCTGCCGGAGGACCCGCCAAAGCGGCGCTGGCCGGTGGCATCCCCCTTGAAGAAGCATACAAGATCTTGGACATCGAGGCCGCCGACTTGAACCAGGAAAAGTTGGACGAACGCTACAAGTATCTTTTTGACGTCAACCTGAAGGAAAAGGGCAACTCGTTTTACCTCCAGTCCAAGGTGTACTACGCCATGGACACGTTGAAAAAAGAGTTGGACTTTCTAGAGCAGTCGAAAAACCATGAGCATTCCGCGGGCACCGGCGGCGGCGCCCCCAACCTGTAAATAGCCGTTCTTTCTTCCCGCTTTAATCACGAATAGATAATGAGACATTTTTAACATCCCCCCTGGTCGTCGTTTAGACGTACGGAGTGTAGGTTAGTACTCGGTGGGTACCCTCACTTCACACTTACCGACAGACAATAGCGCTCTGCCTAACTCCGGTTATGATCCAAGGACGGGCTTGGCAGCTACACGGCGTAAGCTGCCTCATACGATCCAGCCTCACCAACAGGTTTTTGGCTTAAGAACGTCGTTCCCCAGTGAGGGTCGGGATTTTGGTTCCATGCCAAAAACGGTCACGCTTCGTGGCTTTGAGCGACGAAACTCACACCCCACAGTACGGTACCACTCTACTCGACGATATATATCTCTTCAATTTTACGGCATCAGCAATGAAATCGGATGTTGCCCTCACATGGCGGAGGCGGCACCTTTCCTCAGTGGTTGCTATCGAAAAAACCAAGCTTCGTTCCCCGATTGCGGGCGTCGTTTAGCCTCGAAGTGGCGTCGACGCTGGTCGTATACGCTCGACGCTACCCGAGTCTGTGTGCAGGAATCTCAAAACATGTCAGCTAGTAAAAGCCATCCTCACCACTCACACCCACCTACAGTTTACGAGCGGCGTGCCCTACCCTTCTCTTTCCGAAAGACCCTTAATTAAAGACATTGGCCTCATCCCCTTCGGTGTGCTTAGTGAACTTTTACCTGTTTGTTCCCTCCCCCGCCGGCCTGTTTGTCCTTGATGAGTCAACCGCCCCCGGACCAGGACCAGCAGCTCCTCCAGGACGCTCTGACGTTGCTCATGTTCGCCAATGCTGCTGCTGGCAATCCTAGTCTGCCTCAACAACCGTCGCCACCCCAGGTGGCGCAACCACCGCCGCTGAACCCGGCTACAAAGCCACCGGTCTTGCCACACACTGGTCGAGCTCAGCCCCTCCAAACGCTGCCGCAGATGCCATCCCAGCCGCCACTTAGACCAGTGGGGGCGATCCAGCAACCGAAATATAACTATCCTGGCTACTACAACTGGCAAGGGACGCTGTCGCCGCCGCAAACCCACGCGGCCCAGCCAGCGTTCGCTCCGCCGCAGCCGTCACATATGGCGACATCACACTCGCCCAAAGCTACCCAGAGACCCTCGCAACCATCATACCCTCGAGAGATCATCGCTCAACGCCACTTGCTGGACCCTCAGCCCGCAGCCGCCCCGCCGGTGGCTCCTCGGCCTCCTCAGGCTCCGCCTCGCAAGGTGAACATTTTCTCGCTTCTAGATGGATCAGAGAAACCCCCGGCACCAGTGAAAACCGAGTCTGACCCGGGTTTGAAGCCAACAGCGATGGCACCGCTCCCACCGCTTCCTGCTGCTCAACCGGTGGCCACAGCGCCAGCGGCGCCTCGAGCTCCTCTGGTGCCCCACAAGTCGCTGATCAACATGTTCTTGAACGAAGATACCCCTGCTGTCAGCATCAAGCAAAAGCTGGTTCTGCCGCCCCAGTCCCACGAGCCCATCGTCCCCCCCACTAATCGTCATCTGAGACTGAAACTGTCACCGGCTAATCCGGGACCGCCGCCGCTTCTGGCGACACAGGCGATGCTGGGCATTGATTTGAAGCTGAAGGAACGCAGCAACAAGAATGCCATGATTGCCGCTCGGGCGCTTGCGGCTGCCGCTGAAGTACCGTTGACTCCTCAACAGCGTGAAGTGGAACGCCAGGCCTACGACGCCACTAAGGTGAAAGTGGAGCCACACATGCCTCGCTCCATTGACGTTGCTGTTGATCAAAAGCCTCCCGTGGCCACTACAGCACCTGCAGTAGCCGCACCGCCTCGTCAGTCACCTTCCCCTAAATCGCAACAACCAAAGCCTCGCTCAAAACTGGCTACCCCGAAACCATTACCTGTGCCGTCCCAACCGGCGCAATCTGCTGGTCCTCAACACCCCGCTGGTCGGGCTGAAGCCACCGTGATCCCTCCGCTAGAGACCTATCGTGTCGACCCCGACCTGGGACTCATTGGGTGTATTTGTGGTCTTGAGGACGACGATGGCTTTACTATCCAGTGTGACCAGTGTTTCCGGTGGCAGCACTGTTTGTGCATGGGCTACAAGACTCAGGAAGAAGTCCCCGAGAACGAGTACAAGTGCTACTACTGTGACCCGGCTAAACACGGTAAGTTCGATCCATCATCGTGCCGTGAAGCTACTCTCAGACGGTTAAACGTGGAACTGACGAAGCAACCGCTGCCGAAAAAGCGCAAGCCGCTGAGCGGCGACTCTTCTGCCAATAAGAAACGCAAACTGGTACCCACGGAGCCGGTGAAGCCGGCACCAAGACCACCGCTGCCGGTTCTGATTTTGGACCAACTTCCAATCAAGGACAATCCATTGCTTACTGATGGCGTTACCACGGAAACTTACCAACTGGTGTACTTTAAAGTGAAACAAAATGACTTTAAGACCCCTGAGTTGCGTCGCAGTCTTACTTCACTTCTGACCACGAAAGCGGTTGAGCATTTGGAAGACGAAGATGGCAAATTCAAGCATTTGAAGTTTGCCAAAGTGGTGTTACCCAATCATCAAAAGTACATGGCTGAACACCTTCGCAATATCCTCACCAAGAAAAAGCGTCACAATCAATTCAGTATCCAAGTGAAGCCGTATGTGGAGAACACCAAGCTGAAGTTCAATGGTATCTCGAAGATGGGGTTATTCATTGGTAGCAGTGACTCTGACATTAATGTGGTACCTAAGGGTACACTCGTGGTGGAGTATCTTGGTGAGATTGATCTCTTTGAAAACTACGTGAGTGAAAAGATAAACCAGTACCCTCACTGGGGGGTCCCCAAGCCGCACGTGCTCAAGCTGAAACTTGGGGATTCCGAGATTGTGGTGGATGCCCGCTTCGTTGGTAACGAGCTGAGATTCATTCGTAAACTGTGTCCGCACGCGGCTAACTGTCGGGTCCGTCCAGTGTACGATGCCGAGGCTGGTCTTCGTTTTCTCGTGGAAACTACCAAAGATATTGAGATTAAGGATGACCTCATGACCGAATTGAAGTTGCCCTGGGAGTGGGACCCGACTCACCCGATCCTTTCTCTCTACGGCCCCAATCCTGCAGAGCTCAAGTTTGATCTGGCGGTGCCGCTGGCCGATAAGCCGGCGCTTATGCTGTACATCGACAACATCCTCTTCTTCTGCGAGTGTGCGTGTATGACTGGTCCCGATGCTGTTTCCAGCTGTGCTGTACTTAAGGTGAAGAAGGCGATGGCTCAAGTGATGAGAAGCACGCGTAAAGCTCTGAGTATTGCCAATGTCAACTTAGTTAAAACTAAGGAAGAAGTCATTTTCCCTCAACTGCATAAACAGTACGTTCTGTGGGCAGAGAGACTCGTACAACGAGACAATATCATTCGTCTTCAGGTCGAAGTGAAGCTGGAGGATACTATGGCCGAGGGTGTATTGGTGGAGAAGCCTCAAGCTAAGCCGAAGGAATTATTTGATGTACCGTACCGGGAACAATTGATTGAGCGTCACCAACCGGCAGTGCCACCAGCAAAGTCCAATCCTGTGGATGCTGACATGGCGTTCCCCATTGTGCCTGAGCTTGCTCAACGCATTGACAAAATTATCGATGAAAGACTTAAGCCGATTCAAGCCACCTCCAGTGGTCAAAATGATGACACTACTAAGAAGGAGCTCATCTCAGCATCGTCGCCGATACTGGCATCTAACGTGGTCAAGGAGGAAGCGGTGAAGAAAGAAGCCAAGCCTGAACTGGCGCCTCAACCACCCAAACCGGTGAAAAAGCTTTCATTTGCCGATTACAAGAAGAAGATGAAGTAGTTAATATCATAGATGACAACAACAATTATTAAGCGCTTTCAATCTAAAGTCACTGTTTGCGACTTAGTTCTAAGTTCACAAGTGAATGACTTTTCTGGAGGCAAATTCATAAGGGACGTAAGGAATATACTATTAAGTTCAAACAAAAGAGAATTGAGTAAATTGAGTGCATTTTGCCAAGAAGCAACAGCAATCCCAAATACTAGTGAATTCTTGTCTAACCGTCTGGTCAGCAATTCCGATTACCAAGAAAGTGACATCTTAGTACTCACAGCATCCTTTGCTTTGTAGCGAACCACAGATTTCTTAGTTTTTTCCGCTTTTGCTCTCGGCGCGTCTCAAATGACAATGCACGTTCACGTGAGCGAAAAATTAAGGTTTCGACCGTGCTTCATTTTACTTTTGTGGTGTTGTTATTGAAGTACCATTGTCAGCATGTGTCAGCCACTTGGCAGACGCTTCATTCCCAATAAACCATCGTGCATGGGGTGAGGAGTATTTCTTGTCGGCCATTTGCCTCCTCGATATCAAGGGTTTACTAAGCTTGTCCCCTATTCCCACAAAAGGGGGGGGGGCGGTGTGCAAAACGTGAGACCCCTACCCCATGCGCGATACTAGCAGCGCCTCCTCGAAGGCTTAGCCGAATGGCCAAAAATAGCAAAATAGGTGTGAAAGTGGGTGTGTCAGGTATGCAGTAAAAATTTTCTTGAAAAGTGAATTGAATGGTACTATTGATGCCGTGCCATCACAAGCAAAATAGCAATGAACAATCACCGTGAAACGGTTTACAGTTTGGTTTCGAAATATCGTTAACGCATTAAATTATATCAAAAGAGGAAAATGGTATAGGGTACACGTACCCGGTTAGAAAAGAAGACAGTCTATTTAGAGCAAAGCGCCAATCAAACCAGCGATGGCCACGAACCCGCTGACGGTGCCTTGAACACCCATACCCGGTTGCGACGACGACGACGCCGAGGCGGTTTTCGAGGCCGACGACGAGCCCAGAGTTCTCGAGCCACCGGTGGACGAAGCTTCTTCTTCGCCAGCCAGCGACACGGTGTCGGCGTCCGACACCAGCGACGAGCCGTCGTCAGAGCTGTCGCCACCACCAATGACGGTACCGTTGTTGGCACCAGCACCACCAGTGCTGTTGTTAGCAACGACGCCACCAATGACACCGCCTTGCGATTCGGTGGCGGTGGGGGCGGGGCCCGAGGAGAGGTCGTCCGACGATTCGAGGGCGGACGAGATGGCGTCAGAGGCGGATTCACCCGAGGCCGACGAGTCGGCGGAGGCGGAGGAGTCAGCAGAAGCGGAGGAGTCAGCAGAAGCCGACAGGTCAGCCGAGGCAGAGGAGTCAGCAGAGGCCAGCGAGTCAGCCGAAGCCGAAGAGTCAGCCGAAGCCGACGATTCGGCGGTGGCCGACGATTCAGCAGAGTTAGCCGACAGGTTAGCCGACGATTCAGCGGTAGCCGACGACTCAGAGTCCGCCGACGAATTAGCGGAGGTGGCCGAGGAGGCAGGGTCAGCCGACGAGTCGGCGCCCGAGCCCGACGCGTCCGCTTGCAAGCCGGTGTAGAAGGCGGTGATGGGGATACGGCCGTTGTTTTGGTCGTAAAGCTCCGAGTATCTCGAGGCGGCCAGTTCTCTGTCAGCGGTGGGGAAGTCGTTCAGGTCTTGGATCGATTGAGCCATAACCTCAGGCGAAATGGTCAAGAAGTCTTCGGCGGCGACAAGGGAGGCCGCGGCGATTAAACCGACAGTGGTGTACTTCATCTCGTTTGTATTTGGATGTTTTCGGTAAAGTAGTGGTGTGCTTCGACGTGGGGGGTGGCAGTGCTTTTATATTCGTCGAGAAAATGCCGACCTGAGGTGATCTTCCACCGAGCCGATATTTTTTGGGGCGCCAGCGTGAGGTTCCACCACGATCGGGGACGCGATTAGTGCATGGCACAGGCGCCCTGGCGCAGGTTCCAGCCCAGACACAGGAAATATTGCGAAGAACAAAAACAACGCGGGCGATGGCTGGGAGGCTATTGTTGGCCCATTAATGACCTCGGGGTCACCCCATCTATTTTTGTTTTCCAAAGGATAAACAAATCTAAACGCAAACGCTACCATTTGTTGGTGAAGGCTGGCTCCATAACAAGCAGAAAGCTGGGGGGCGTAAATTGCCTGCGAGGGCCGACATGCTTGAAGCAGGCCTCGGGCAGGTGCGAACTTTTCGCCTCACCAGCCTGGTGTGATGATTGCTGTTTCTGAGCTGGAAAGACGGCGGTTTGGCCGGGGCTAAGAAAAGTATCGAGCCGAAACCCGTCACCACTAGTCCGTTGCCAATTTTTCCGACGTGGCTCGTTGCCAGGGGCTCATACGTGGTTGACCGGTGAGCCGGTGGTTGTAGTGGGCAACGACTCCGCCAACATGCACATTGTTTGCGGAAAGCGGTGGACCCGCCTTCATGAGACGCACGATTACATCAGCACAAACGACCGCCGGGAGAGGAAAGAGGTCCATGAAATTTAAGGTGTGGAATAATAGAGACGGCCATCGAAATTAGTTCTATTGAGCGAGGGAGAGAATGGCGTCCACGAGCAGTTTGGCGGTGGGCTTCGCCGCCACCACCGTGGGAGTGATGTGGTTGTCTTTGAGGTATTCTTCAGTGGTGGGGCCGATCAGTGCCACCGGCACCTGCCCCGCTGCCGGCGCTTCTCCCGACTGTCGCGGCGCCGTAAGTGTCGCGACAATTGACTCAGTCCCCTGAGGCAGAAAAAACACAATCCACGGGTTCTGGTCACGGTGTTGAGTCCATGCCTGGGTAAATTGGTCTTCGATATCATCGCGGTCTTCAGTCTTGTAGATCACTCTCTCAGTAAGGTCAAAGCCGTAGTTTAAAAGCGCCTTGGGAAGAATGTCTTTACGAATCTCACCAGTGAAAAACACCATGCGATGGTTACCGGGGCCAAGCTCTTGGTAGATGATTTCCGCAAGCTTACGTCCATTTCCCGCTTGTTCCCCACCTCTGACATTGGTAAAGCCAATGCGACTGAGCTCATCGGCGGTAGCCGGGCCCACGGTGTAGGCGGTTTTGCCGAAGATCTCGCAGCGGGTAGCCTCGTCCACGTCCAGGAGACAGTCATCAAACATCTCCACCCCCCGTTTACTGGTGATAATGAACGTGGGCGTGGTTAAGAACTCGTTACTGGTCAAGTAGCCAATGGTGTCATTTCGGTCCCAGTGAGAGTGGTGGAGAAGCGGGATGAACACAGGATGGTATCCATGCCTCCTAAACTCTTCGTCGTAAGGGTCCAGTGGAGTACTGGGGTTCTTCAAAAGAAGTACTGGCCGTGCCATGGCGGGGGTATTATCTGGAGGCTGCGACCCGCGACCGAGATTTCAGGGTGAAATATTCGTTTAAAGTTTAGCAGCCTCGCTAATCAGGAACGAACTGAAATTAAGTGATGGGTTGCGATGTCGATGGAGAAAATTTGGTGAGATTAATTTTTGGTGATAGTTGTCGTAGTTTTTTGGTAGGTTAAGCGTAGACTAGCTGCTCTGTCACCACTATAATCTTCCGTCACCGATTGCGTTATTCTCGACAGGTTCCGGCGCCAATCTGGGGTTTGTTTCTGCAATGCCAACGTTGCGTCATTGATCTATGATGATCTTTCTCTAGCCAGCACCACGAAGCACGCTATTTAGATTCGTGGCAGGTGCATTTGTGTGTTGGTAAACAGACGACATGGCTGGTGGTCGTCGCACTTTTTGTGTGACGTAACCAACGGCGGCTACTTAGTTGCGGGATCGGCTATCCGTGATCCAGCGTTGTTTGTGTTGATTTGTGGTCCAGCATCATCTCGAATAAACCAGCATTTACGTAGCTTCGGATAAACCCAGCCCTCAGCCCACATGAGGGTGGTGAGGATGAGCGATTATCAAACTAATGGCGGCATTAATCTAAGTTAACCGTTAGCCGAACCGATCAGACGCCGGAATTGATTGAATCTGAAATTGTAGTCGTCAGTTCGTCAGTTTCTTCGACCCAACTGGCAAGAATCTTCAATGTATAGAGCCAATTCTTGTATAATTCTTTGGATCCTAAATAAAGTAATGTAAGGGCAATCTACTAATAAGTCAACTGGATAGAATAAACAAAAAAAAACGAAAGAGAACAAGTGAGTCTCATACTTCAATTGACTCGCTCTGTTTCTCTCTTGTTCTACGGCTTTCGACTTACCCAAACGGGTTTGGTGACGAAGACGCGCGCGACGCGGTTCACCTCCCATCGCATGGCCCCGACTCAAGCGACCCAGCCTACGCAGACTCAGGCGACACAGCCTCTGACCGGGACCCCTGCCACTGGTGACCCTCGGCTGAGGATTCTCCAGTTGGTGTGCACCACGGGGCAGTACCCGCCCTTCGACATACGCGCCGATGCTAAACCGGTGGTCGAGGAACCAGGCATGTCCCCCCGCCAAGTGTGGTGGGTGGGCCGCTCTGCCGAGGCCGACTTGCACTTGACAACCCTGACCCGGTTACTGAGTCGACATTTCAAGATCTATTTGGACGTCAACGACAAGCTGGTGTGGATTGTCGACATTCTGACTAATGGTACTAAAGTGAACGGCAAACGACTAGTTAAAGGTCAAAATTATATGTTGAACCAAGGTGACGAAATCTTGGTGGGGTTTAACGTTGATAAGGATGAGATCTCATGGATTGTGGTGTTCTCTGATGAATATAATCCGCAAAAACGGCTGCCGTTACCATCAGTTACTGCCGCCGCCCTGGGAATTTATCGTGACTACGAAATCAAACAGGAGACCATTGGCCAAGGGGCCTTCGCCACGGTGAAGAAATGTGTTCAAAGATCTACCGGCACCGCCTACGCCGTGAAAATCATCAACCGCCGCAAAGCTTTAAATACTCAAGGGGCACTTCAGGGTGTGGATCGAGAGTTAGAGATTCTTCGTCAATTGGATCATCCGCACATTGTTCGCCTTCAGGACTACTATGAAGACCAAGACAACTACTATATCGTGATGGAGCTTGTCCCCGGGGGTGATTTGATGGACTTCGTCGCTGCTAACGGTTCCATCGGTGAGGAAGCCACCCAAGTGGTGGCGAAACAAATCCTTGAAGGGATTGCTTACGTCCATTCTAAGGGTATCAGTCATCGTGATCTTAAACCCGACAATATCTTGATTGCTCAAGACGACCCCATCCAAGTCAAGATTACTGATTTTGGCCTTGCTAAGTTCAGTGATGGCCAAACATTTATGAAGACGTTCTGCGGGACGTTAGCTTACGTGGCCCCTGAAGTGATTACCGGTGCCCGTGCCGAGTCGCAAAATCCAAAGTATCTGCTGTTGGTCGACATGTGGCTGTTGGGGTGTCTTATTTACGTGCTCCTTACCTCACACCTCCCCTTCAATGGCAAGACCCAGCCACAGCTCTTCCAAAAGATTAAGCTGGGAGAATTTCACGAAGCCCCGCTTAAGCAGTTTCTGGTCAGCGACCAAGGAATTGATTTCCTTCGTCGGTGTCTTCAGGTTGATCCCAGCATGCGCATCACTGCAAAAGAAGCCTTACATCACGCATGGATTGAGGATGCGTGGAACGAGGAAACTCAACTGCAAAAGGTCCTGAGTCTTTCTCAACTGCAACTGCAACAACAGCGCCGCTTCGATATCAATTTGGAAGCATCGATGGTCGACGATATCATGGCCCGGGCGCTCGATGGCGACCGTGCCGCCACTCCTCGCAAAGCCCTGTTCAAAAAGCCAGCTAGAGTTCAGCCGCGAACTCAACCAAAGCCTCTGGGACCTCAGCGAGCTCAGGTGGTACCGGCACCAGTTCCGGCACGCCCGTTGGCCGAGCTGTCATTTGCATTAGGGCCGTCACAACCTATGCCCAAGCGGCCACTCGAAGCGATTGAGGAGACTCTGGAACGCAGCAGCAAACGGCTGCGTTCACAGACGCCACTGGACGTGTTTATCACATTGAATCCCTTGGCTGGATCGCAACATCCCACCCCAATTCACATTCGTCAAGGTGTAGGGGCCTACCAGGTGGGGCGTAATGCTACTTGCGATACCATTTTATTGGACGAGCGACTTTCCAAGATTCATTGCATTTTCAGTCGCCAACGCCACCCCACTACCGCCAATTCCATCTACGAGCTGCCGGCGATGTGTCTCGATGACATTTGGCTTTTAGACGTACTGACAAACTCCTGTTACGTCAACGATATGATTCTTGGAAAGGGGAAGAAGGTGAAGATCTATAATGGCGACAAGATCTTCTTTTTCATCGACCATAACCTCAACGAGCAACTTGGCTTTGAAGTCATCATCCGCGATGCCACAGGTTTATTCTGTGGTGGCGAACGTGTTGAAGGCGTCAACGACGACCAGAAGATCATCCCTCAGGATGCATTTGATGCCAGTCTCAAGTCCCGGCCGGTCCAGGACCAAGGCACCATAACTCCAGGGTATGGCGGCACCTTCAATGAGAAATTGAGAAAACAACGACGCCAGGATTTGCTCAATCGGGCCAGTCGGATCAGCGAAAATTAGTATCGACCTGGATAATTGACGGTCTTGCATTGGTATATAGATATTAGTTTTACAACTGCGACAACTATGATAGCCACTTTAAATAATGATATTTAGACGACAGCTTGTAAAGCAGCAGACTCACGAACTATCCTTTTAGCGTTGTATAGAAAGAGTGGAATTGGTGTAACAGGGAGAAGTTGATTTAGTGTTCGCTAGGGAATGCAGCTGGTTGGATATGTCAGGCAACACGCGTAAATCAACCCTCAAAGGAGCACGCAAAATTCAATACGGTACACCTCACCATCGAGAGGCAACACCTGCAGACAATGTCGTCAAAATGGTGAGGCGTCACATTCCTCAATTGCTAATTCTAGTCTACTGGAGTGCACAAATTATAATCTGCCTCAATTGGAAAGCCTCACGCCCAAAATGTCCTCGGTGGCGAATTCAATAAATGCTTACAAATGCCGTGTAAGTGGCAGGTTGTGCGCTCATTGCACTTCTGACTATGAGCCCCTGGCATTAGCTTGAGTATCCCCATCGATTATGCAGGACAATTGCTACTGCCCGACTTATAAGATCGCCATCCCTTGGTCACTCATAAAACTAAATCCAAGTCAATTATCATGCACAAGAAAGTCGCCATTGCCGTTTCCTCGTACAACGAAGTCTTCTACAAGGACGGCGCCAAGACCGGGGTGTTTGTTGTCGAAGCGCTCCACCCTTTCGAAGTGTTCCACGAAAACAAATTCGACATTGACTTTATCCTGGAAACTGGATCATTTGGATGGGATGAACACTCTTTGTCTTCGGATTTTCTTCCCGAAAACGATAAGGCGGTGTGGAAGGATAAGAACTCTGCCTTCAGCAAGGCCTTAGCCCAAATCAAGACCCCACAACAAGTCAATGCTCTGGACTACGATATTTTCTTTGCCAGTGCTGGTCACGCCACTTTATTCGACTACCCTAAGGCTAAAGGCTTGCAAAAGCTCGCCGAAGACATCTACGCCCAGGGCGGCATTGTGTCCGCGGTATGCCACGGCCCGGCGATTTTCCATGGTATGAAGGACCCTAACACTGGCAAGGCTTTCATCAATGGTAAAGCTATCACTGGTTTCACCGACTTGGGCGAAAAGCTTTTAGGAGTGGAAGGTACCATGAAGGAGAAGGGGTTACTCAGTATTGAGGACCTTGCCAAGCACGACAATGCTATCTACTTGCCACCCATTGGTCCCTGGGACGACTACAGTGCCACCGATGGTAGAGTTGTCACTGGGGTAAACCCCGCGAGTGCCGCTTCCACTGCTAAGCGGTGTATCATTGCCCTCAAGCACGCGCACAAGAAGATTCCTCACCAATCTGTGACAGACTTGAAGGAACTTGCTGCTGAGTCCATCCACTAATCGATTTAACCATGTAGTTTAAGTATACGAAATGCCACGAATCACTGCTTTATAGCGATCATTGAGCTATTTTTGTAGTCGCGAAAAAAACATCCGTGCTTCAATGTCGCATTCTCATAACGGTAGGGATCGGAGGCGCCGAGGCCGACCTCATCGCTGACGCCACTATGTTTGAGTTCGTCTACAACTATGTTGAACCGGAAAAGTTCAAGCAATACTTTCGTCTCTTCCTTTTCATCGTCGTCTACATCATGTTTCGAGGCTATTACTCCAATTGGGCTAAGCAACGCCAGGTGAAGGCCCAACTCGAGCAAGACAAGCGAGAAGCAGAGGAAAAGCCTGAAAGAGAGAGACAAGAACGCGAAGCCCAACTTCAAAAAATCGAGGAAGAAGCTCAACTGTTCGGCTGGGGTAAGCAAACCCGCAGCAAGGCCAAGCGAAACGAAGCGATCTTGCAAGAAGCCGTAGCTGAGTTGAGAGAACGCAACCAGCTGGCTTACGATGCCGCTGAGGACCACGACATCGAGGAATTGTTGGAGGATTAATCGAAGTGGTTTAACTGCACGTATTCACGATAAACGACTGAATGGATATACGTAACACATCCACATATGTTGGATATAAGAATCAGACAAATTTATTGTCACTAGGTAGAGATTACGAGTATATCTTCAACCACCATTAAAGTACTCGCAATCGACACAAGATGCTCAGAGGTAGACCATCTTAACTCCCTCCATGAACCTAAATCATCATTCTTTTTAAGAAAGGTTCAATCCAATTTGTTAGGGGAAATGGATGCGTTCAAAATTGCACCGCATACCTTCTCTTAAACTACTCGGAGTATTCTAGTTATATCAACGCGTTGAGGACAAGTCCAATGTGTGTCCTTCTCTGTTCATATATATCTCTATGAGATCCCCACGACATTTCCCCAATGAGCTGTTGGTGGAATTTGAACTCCGGAAAGTATAACTGGCTCAGCCATAGTATTCCACACTTGAACAAGTAAGCTTCAATCATGTTGTCTGATCTTACAGTCATCGTATTGAATGCATACTCAACCTGCTTGATATCAGCAAATGAAGATTGGATGGCGATTAAATTGTGACTCAACGTGAGTCAATGGTATCCCAGAACATCTTGTTGATAGGCCACGTCAAGACCTCTTTTCTATAACTACATGGAACATTTCCGCTGCTGTTCCATCATTTCTACTCACATATCGAAGACTTACATCGAATTTGAAGCCCAATTGCGAGGTGCTCAATTGTTGAATAATTTGACGCAACAAGTAGTTACGATGAAATTTTGCTCTGCTTCAAGACAACTATATTAAGCAATCGTGACTATAGCGAGTTTCACTTTTTCGACCCCGTCGTTGGTATCATGAAGTGAAGTTACACTTCTTGCGGACAAACGAGTATGGTGAAACTTGAAGACAGATTGCGACCCTAAACTGAGGGGTTTTTAGAAAGATATTGAACGATGATTCCATTCGGTATACGAGAGCTAAGATATAGGGAACGCGGATATCACTGGATTTGCCTCACCCCCCACTAAGTCTTGCTCCAAGTTTACCACATCTTATAGAGTTTGATTGCGAAGAATAGCAGCCTATCCACCACAATGAAGTTCATATTTTTCATGCTTGATGGCTTTGTCACCTCCAAATGACGACAACAACTCGCAGCGAGTTGTGACACAAGGTGTATTGAAACACGAATGGAATACTGCCTGGACTACTCCGATTCCAACGTAGACTTGCCCAGACAACACCAGCTATACTTCAACTGCAGACAAGTAATATAAAGCAGAGAGATCATTTTTGTCGACCCTCTTTCATGTGTTCTTCTGACACTGCTGCCACCTCTTTAGATCGAACGTCAACTCGCACGAATCTTCATGTACTATACTTCTTATGCCAACAAATCTATGGAGTGAAAAGTCTGATCTTATCCATGGACTGCCTCAGTGTTCACTTTAACTGCATTATTTTGCATTCTTTGATAGCATATCAGTGAAGTTGAAATGATAGTGGTTGAAGC